GTGTGGACTGTGCCGCTCGCGGGAAAACTCCACCTGTTCCAACCTAACAAACGAACGAACGCTCGTCATTTTGTCAAGGCAAGTGTGGATTCTGTTTCCGGCCTTGTCGTTCATTCCCGTCTTTAAAACCAGTCCAGAGATACCACCCATTGCGCCGCACGATCTTGATACGTTCCTTGTCCTGGCACAGAACAAGAAGGAAGCAGATGAAGACCAGAGCAAAGTTGGTAACGAAATGGACCCGCGGCCAAGAGGCTAAGGGGAAGGGAGAAAAAAAAAAATAAAAAAAACTCTCCCATCTCTAGGCCCAGAGATGCTCACTAAGGCATGCGAGAGTAGGGTAGTTGCATCTCCGGAATAATCTGGAAGCTGCATGGCCGTCTTGCGCTAGGAGGGAGCGGGTGATAGGGATAGGCAGGCCACCCAGCACCATCCCATCGTTAGCACAGGATATATAACCAGGCTCCTAACTCCTTATTTGACCTGGGGCCTGGGCAGTTCAGATCCAAAAAAGCAAGCCATCGATGTTTGCAGTAGATGTTGTCGTTACATAATTTCTTGGATCGAAACTGTTTTAAATCTCCTTCCCCTTCCCTCTCCCCCTCCCCTCCCAAGCCACCAGGCGGCAAGTCATACTCCGTACCGCAAAGCGGCAATGGCCAGGTTGACAATTAGCCCAGGAACAAACACTTAACAACCCTGGAGTCGTTGTGTGTGTGTGTGTTTTTTTTTCCTTGCGGGACTTATGCAGCGTTTAAAAAGGGGGATCCACCAGAATCCCGTATGGCGGGATAAGGAGGCCACGAGCGATGGCTAACGAAGACGGGAAGAGAATGGGATGGGCATGGGATGTCGACATGGTCCACGGACTCTCTCAAGAGGGATTGTTATGGAGTGCGTATTGCGCAGGTTGACGACGGAACAGGAGAGCAGGGCAGGGCAGCCTGGCGAGTGGCTTGAAAACACAACCGGCAGCTCATCGAATGAGAGGATGTGATCGAGTTAATCACCAGTCGAGTCGGCGACGCAACGGCTGCTGGCTGGATAGGCGAGCGAACGGGCAGGCAGGCGAAGCCCCTGGGTTAACCGTGCTACTTATTTTGCTTGCTTTCCTTTGCCTTGCACGCCAGCCTCACCACTTCTTCGGGCGATAAAACACAGTATCTTGTACGTAAAAAATTTCGTTCTTCCATGCCCATTCAGTCCAGGCCAGGCCAGAGTTGGGTTTGCTCTGTAATGCGATCATCTAAACTTTCTGTGGCTTGCTGTTCCAAGCCCGAGTCTTTCAACGTTTCCCTTCGTCCTTCTCTATTGAGCGACCAAACGGTGCCAGCCGAAGATATTCACCTGCTTAAAGCGGCCGAATAGAGAGCAGCCGATGGCCGCAACATGTTGGAAATCCGACAGAGCTCAGATCAGGAGTCTGGCCGATGGCTGCCGGAGAGAGATGAATCTCAAACTGTTGTTTACTCCGTACTTCATATCGCTGTCATATCTGCTGTAAACAATGACCTAATTGACTTTGACTAGCCGGTCATCTTGATACTCTATATACAGAGTTGAAGCCGATGCTACGTATATGTAGATGTATAGATGTATAGATGTATATCTGTCGTGGCTCATCTGCCAGAATGATTCCTCACCGGTTAATCTGTCAGCCTCCGGTTATTCGTTAGACTTGTTTAAGTCCCGTCGGCGATGCACGTAATAGCGATCGTCATATAGCTATGCTGGCTGTGACAGTTGCTGATCACTGCCCGGTCTCTTGGCTGGATCGAACAACAGACAACGTATTAGGCATCCAACCTCATGTATGTGGCATCGATAAGCATTTTGGATGCATGAGTTGGGGCGCTCCGTGTCTTAAAAGAGGCCTTCTCCATGCGCATCTCCCCCCGTAGCCATGTCCCCGGCGAACTGCTGGCTGGCATTTTGAGATCTGAGCATCCATCATCCTCCCCGGCCGTCACGTCATCTCTCTTCCTCTGCCAGCTGCCCTGCATAGAACGGCGATCGTTACTTCGGAGGCTCAAAAACCCCACGCCGGAACAGCAAACCATGTCCAGCTTGAACGCCGGCCGTCTCCCCGAGCAGAAAGGGCAGTGCGCACCGATGTAGAGATTACGCGTTCGTGAGGAATCTAGCTTGAGCATGAGCACAGATATTGAAAGAAAGCCACACACTCGGCGAGCTAGGAGACGCCGACGTAGCATCGGTAGCATCGATAGCATCGGTCGTCATGTCCGTGAGATGATGCAATAATGGGACCCGGGGTAAATCAGTCAATCAATCAGCTGAAAAAAACTAAATATGGGGTGAAAGGCGGAACTCAATCTCTGGGAAGAAACAAAACGTCAAATTTCCTTCTAACAAGTGACGGATGACCATCCTGTACAAGGACCAAGGGCCGTTGATTTGTTTTGTTTCTGGTCGGAGGAGACAGGTTAACTAGGTCTCCCCAGCATGGCTTCCTTGATCATTTCCCGACCGAGGGGGGAGAGGACAAAACATCTCGATGGTGACCAATCTTTCTTTGCAAACCAGCGGTCTGTCTAGACATCGCCGTTGAGGATGGAGTCCTGTCGGGTGTTTCCTGATACTCTTTGCCTGCCTGCCTGTCTCCTGCTACGGCGTCCCCCCCACGCCATGGAAAGCAGTGAAACTGCTGCCCTAGTGCTACCAGGTATGCACCCAAGGTATGCGCAGGATGCAGAGACCCCTTTAATCCGGTCATGGCGTCGGCTTGAGCCCGAAGCCGATAGGAGCGTTCGCTGAGGCCGAGCGGCGGTTAAACTATTCCAAGGCCTTCAGCTCTTTGACTTCAAGCCATAGCCGTGATGCATCGCCACCGGCACACCGATATCAACCTCCCATGACGAGACACTAGCCTTGCGGACTGTTTAACTGTTTAACTGTTAGGAATACCCCATATCCCGAGAGGCAGGGCAGGGTATACTCGGCCAACTCCAACGCCAGCGATGACACGAGCCACCGCAGCTCCCTTCTGATGTGTTTCTGTTCTCGGCCCCGGTGGTTTCAAGACACCTTGATCTGATTCTCGAGGCAGGCCGGGTCAAATTACTGTGAGGCAACATGTCCGAACGATCTTCGGGCTCGATGAAACCGAGAGGCAAACAGATGATACCGACTCATATCAAAATCTCACTGTCTTCAGGTCCCTGCGCTTGGGAAGGATGAAATATAAATTACCACATCCGACTTGCAACTTTGCAAAAAAGAAAGGACTCAAGACTCAGGGCAAGGCTCGCGTAACCGTTTAACCCATTAAAAATCTATCACTCAATCGTTAAACAACAATATCTATAAAACACCAGGGATAACTCTCATCGCCAGCAAGTCAGACCTCACGTGGCAGGATGTTTGAGCATACGAACAGTCATGTGAACCAGAAGGAAAAGAGAGTGGCCAATTAATCGATCAAGACGCGATACAGACATCGGCGTCCCTCGTTTTTTGCTCATGCGCTTCCTTGTCTGCTTCTCTCGGACGATAGGGCCGAGAAACGACGCTGAGAAGAAGCAAAACAGAGGTATACCGCCTGGCTGAGCGCGTGGTCAGTGTCAGCGGTTAAAAGAAGAGAAGATGGACGACGGACCGAGCAGCTACCAGGGATATCCTTAGTATTGTATTATTCTCTTGTTGGTTTTGATGTTTTTGATGTTTTTGCTGTTTTTGATGTTTTTTCTTACATATATGGGGCTGACTGGTAAGCAGGCTATACGGAGGCTTCTCCATCTATTTTTAACCTAAAGCCCCATACGTGGTTAAGGAGAAGCACAGCATCACGCCAGAGATACAGATATATCGTAGAGACACAGATATATCGGTCTATCGACTGAGGATGAGCAGAGCGGATAGTTCTGTACATATCGGCGCATCCGTCACGCCATGTCTGCCGGTCTGCTGGTCTGCTGCCCGCGATAGCCCATGGCCTGGCATGGCATGGCATGGCACGGCGTAGATATCCCTACAATCACGCCATTTCATCAACATCCACACCTGCGGACGAAGCACTTGCAATAGCCCATCTATCCATGTCCATAAATAACCGGATAAGAAATGCGTTTCAGAGAGTTCGTTGCGGTCGATCACCCTGTGCTCCATCGGACACCCTATACTCGGTTCCGGGGAAAGAATCCTTTCTGCAAAAAAAGGGAGGAGGATGGAGTGAATGAACATACGAGTGAATGAACATACGTAGATACGTAGTAATTAACAACTAGGATTAATAAGACTACCTCGGCCTAACTTGGGGATCTCTTGGGTATAACTACATCAAGGAACAGGTAAAGTACAGCAATAGACAGCTAGAATAAAAAAAACATCTAAGTCTAGACGTGGAGGAGAAGAAGGTAAATAAAAGGGTCATCGAGTCGACGAGCTGAAGGGCCTCGCAAGCTGGCTAGCAGGCTGGCTGGGGGTTCACGCAGCATGCAGCATGCGAAGGTAGTAAAGGAAACTTCCATCTAGTAGAGGAGTTGGGTAAATGAGCGCCCTGGCAAAACAGGAGTGGCTGACGTGTATCAGGCGAAATTAGAAAAGGTCGGAAAGAACCGAATTAAGTTGACAGACCAACACAGATAGACAGTTCGGGCGAGCGTATCGTGTCAAATGGCGTAGTTCAGTTTTTGGTCGAACTATTTGGAATATGTCGAAATATCTGAGATTGGATATTGGAAAACCGAAACCATTTAACTGGTTGCCGTAAAGAAAGAGGGAGACTGTCCCCCGGGAAAATAGAAAACGTAATGGATATCGGTACGATCAAAGCAAGAAACCAGATCGCAACGAGTTATTTGCAGCAGTAGAGAATCAACTCTTTAGTCCACAGATAAGAACAAGGGCAGCAGAAGGGGAATAAAAAAGGGGGGAGGGCTGTGAAACGAAATAAAACAACGCCAAAGCCTGGAACGAGTGGAACAAGTCGTCATCAACACATGAAAAAACGTAGGCAACGCCTGACGAGTATGGAGGCATGTTTAAATTGGAGGGTCTTGGTCGCCTCCTTCAACGTAGCCGTCAATTGTTTTTCGCCAGTGCTCGGGGAGGCATACACAGACAAGCTAGATACGTGTTAGTCGTATAGTAAATAAAAAAAGAACGGAAGAAAGGGGACAACATACTGGGAATGCTTTTATCTCTCCTGCAGCCGGCGAAGATGGTGGTCGTGCCTCTGACCCCTGAGAGACGCCGCTGTCTCTGTGTGGGTTGTGCTTGTTTTTTCCATCATAGTCCTCTGCCCCCTCGTTGATGCGAACACCAGTCGCCCAACCGTCGTCCCATATACCGACAATCTTCAACATGTCGCCTCTGTCTAGCTCAAACTCATCGGCCGCACGAGGCTGGTATGCCCAGAGAACGGCAACCTTGTCGTTCGGGTGGACATCATCCTGTGAGTAGTAGTCTCTGAAATATGGAAGTTGCTCTGACTGGCCGCTGGTGAGGCCCTCGGGAGACGAGAACTGTCCGCCGCTACCGGATTTGGGAGACAACGTTTCGCCATCGCCAGCGAGGACGGACGCACTGGAAAGTGAGCCGTTTCTCCTTCCGGTAACTGGCGGTATACGTCTCGACCTACCGCCGGCTGGGCTATCTCCGAATACGTCTGAATCCGAGTCATGGTACTTGTTGGATTCTGCTGCGCGACTTGAGGGGGCGTTGCTGGTGGCGCCGCCTTGGAGTGCTGACATGCGTGCGACACGGCCTCCGGGAATGGCTTCGTATACATTCTGCTTGTTGGCCGAGCTGGCAGCAGGATATGATGGTGCCGTGGCCATGGTTCGAGGAGGGCTAGGCTGGTTGAATATGCTTCCTGCGGATTCGTTCCTTTGACGTCGTCGCCAAAGGAGGAATAAAACTGCCAATGCGATTAGTAGAGCGCATGCCGACACTGTTCCAACCGCGATGCCGGCAATCTGACCGCCGGAGAGACCTTTGTTACCTGGTCCTGCGGTGGACGAGGGAGTCGACGAGGTGGTTGGGTACGGAAATAGCGGCGGTACCGAGGTGATGGTAGGGAGCTTGACGTCCTTGCAGCGGGTACTGGCGTTCGATGCATAGCAGCAAGTGTCGGTGCCATTGACTGAACTCTGTGCACAGAAACCGCATAAACCTAGAAGATTGGGTCCGAACCCGCACTCGTTTGGCTCGTTGTCGGCACCCGGTATGCATTGACCTGATAACGAGTTGGCTGGGATGGCGCACACGGTAAAGTCGGCGCGGATCTGGTCCATGAAATTGCTCTTGGGAGAACGACATAGGTCCGGGTTGACGGCAATGATCTCTTCACTCGTAGCCGCCAAAGCCTATTCATTGGACAATTAGCATTGATATCGATATGTATAAAAAAAAGGCGAACTTACACAGCTCTCTGCACAGAGGGGCCTCGAATGGTCATCCGACAAGCCACACGGCTCTTTCGAGTTTTGAATTATTCCATTACAAATTACGCTGGTCGTATATCGAGCATAGAGAGAAGTGGTGTTCTTGAGGTCCAAACCTTCGCATCCGAGGAGGTCCTGGTACCTATCAGAAGCGGAATATGATCAGTCATTTTTGTGCGTGGAGCAAAGAAGCGCACAGAAAAAACGGCGAAGAAGCTTGACATACTTGGTTTTGACATAATCGTTTTGAACGTACGAGCCGAGCTTTTTATCAAAGTCGTCGAGATTGGAGACGTATTGGAGGAAAGGACTGCGGTGATGAAAGTTAACCCCTATAGTTTCTCCTGATTTCTGGCGGGTACCAAACACGTACTATTGACCGACCAAGCTGGAGCTGGTAGAGATGGAAGCCGAATGGAACGCGGGGCATTGCTTTGATCCCTTCAAGGAGATACAGTCTTTGGCCATGACGAGAGAGAGAGAAGTTTGAGCTTGAGCTTGCGGGTTGATGTTTAGAGTTGTCGCAATGGAGGGACTACTATGGACGAAGTAACGTCAAGTTGCATCGACATGAATGCGGAATCCGGGAAAATCGACGTAGCAGCAGGCAGTCCCCGGCGCAGGCGAGTCCCCAGAAGTAAATAGTACAAGGACCGACGTGTTGCTGGCTTCGACGTGGTCACTGGCGATGTGTTGTTGTTCGTGAAGGTTGTTATTAGTAATTAGATGTTCCTTTGCTGAAGCGACTGGCGAGAAAGAGAAAAAAGTGCCCTCCGGTGACAGGCCAAGGATGGAAGAAACGAGTGGACGGGCGTGTCTACCGCGAATTGGGCGCAACGAGAGACGGAGAACCAGCGACGGACTGAAGAGCGATGACCGTGAAGACCGCGAGAGAGAGAGGGAGAAGAGGTTGAGACAGGAGGAGGAGGTTCGTCCCTTAGAAGAAAGTCCAGGGAGAAGTCGGCGACAACGTCCGAAAGAGGAAAGGCGCGGTGTATAGGCATGTACGGCGTAAGATACTTTTGATACGGCAGCTTCTGGTTGGTGGAAGCTTAAGAGCAGCCAATGAGAAGAGCGGATGAGGACCCACTTGGAGCCACCTCGGGACAGCCCGTCACGCCCCTGAAGTTAACGCAGCCTGTTTACAGTACGTTACGCTTAGTCATCGCCTGTATATATGCATACCTTATCTATATATAGACACACATATATATAGATGTAGATGTATGTAGATATAGATAGATGTAGATGGATGTAGAGGATGTAGAGGATATAGATGTAGATATAGATGTAGAGGTAGATGTAGGTAGATGTAGGTAGATGATAGGTGGTGGTACACGTGACCTTACTAAGCAGCGACGTCACCACGGACCGTGGAAACCGCGGGACGAAAAAGCAGGCAGCCACTTCAGCTTCACCAGAAGAACAGAAAAAGGATAGAAAGGATATAAAAACAAGAGAAAGAGCAGCTGTGCACACTGACTCCAGATCGACACGGTCTCATTTCCACAATGTGCTCGCCAGACGCCTTGCTGGCCATTCTTGCCGTCCTCTTCCCGCCCATCGCAGGTGCGCTACCCTTATCTCCTCCCTAGTCGTGCGACATAGATAGCTCTACAGAACACTAACTGCTACCCCGATACCGTACAGTCTGGATAAAGGTCGGCATCTGCTCTGCAGACTCGCTCATCAACATCGCCCTTTGCTGTCTGGGCTATGTCCCCGGCCTGCTGCACGCCTGGTATACGATCTTAAAGTATCCAGAGGCAGACGACGAGTATCCGGACGGATACAGGCCGATCGTGGGACACAGGAACCGAGGAGACGCCGAAGCAGGGCGGGTCACGTATTACTATATCGCCCATGAACAGGCTCATCCGAACCAGCAGCATCAACCTCAGCAGCAGCGCACGTACGGGACCAACCAGCACCCTGCGTCGAGGGCAGCTCCCCCGCCTCCCGTCCCCCAGAAGCCGCAGGGTGATGCCGGATATGTTGCTGCTGGTGCGCCGGGTCAGGGAAGCAGCAGCAGCAGGCCAGAGGGTGAACACAGAGCTCCACCTACCTACGCCGAGGCCGTGAAGGGCGACAATAAGATCCAATCTTAGCCATGCCGCCACGGCTCCATGAATGAATATTATAATGATACCACTCAAACGCTACAGAACCGACCTCGACAGTTCTCTCTCAGAGGGGCGGGTAGCCTGTATTTTCATCTCTCTCTCTCTTTTTTTTTTTTTTCTTTTTTTTTTTACCATTCCTGGTTTGGTCGTGCTTGGTTTCGTACGATACTCATATACACACTTATACTTTGCCACGGACGGGACCGAGCGACAGTCAACAAGGGAAGGTGTTCTTCTGGTCGGTCTTGGTATTTAGGGGCCTGTATTTCACTTGTGTTTGTCTTGATATGCTTGTTCGATAACTTCTGTTTTTGATAGAAGAATGGGGATGAACCTACATATTTGACTTGATTCTATCAATAGACTATGATAGTCGTAGAACTAGACGGGGTTGGAATACTCCTTGAGGTTCATTTAATGGGTCGTATAGTAGAAACTACCAATCCTTAAGCTTGCCTTACATTATCCGTAAGCCCACCCTTACATGCTTTTGTTCTTAACTTGATTTAGGCTTGCTTTGTGAAAAAGATGGCACTCTTGTCCAGCCCTGATAACGCACAGGGCCTTCACGGAGTTCTATTCATGCTATTTACACTCAAACATAAACATTCGCCATTCAATAGCTATATTCTAGCAGCAACATTGCGGAGTCGGCAGAAACAGGACGATCTGATCGGCACGTCCGTCAGTGCAAGCGCTGTAGCCAGCTGTTGTCCAACTTTAGCAGCTTCATCCACCTTCCCGAGCGCTTCAAGGCATTCATGGTACCCGTGTAACGCCCAGACATTGTTCGGATGCTGAAGGGCGCGTGGCACAGTATTATCAAGTCCGAGATCCGCACTATATGCGGCAGCTGCTTCCTGGATGTGTCCTCTCTCGAGTAGAAGTGCACCATAGGCATGTCTGGTCGGTTGCATCCAGCCCCAAGGTTCGTCGTAATGCAGTGAGTCGTATAATTTTATCGACCGTCGCAGGTGGTCAAATGCCGCGTCGTAGTTTCCGAGACGATATTCAAGTTCCCCATCTAACATCGCAGAGGCGACGGCTAAGATGTCGCCACAAGTATTGTTGAATACCATGCGCTTTGGCAGGACACATTTCATCGCCTCATGGAAGGCCTCGCGTGCCTCTCGCGCCTTTTCGATGTTGCCAGTAGCTGCATACGCAACTCCCTTCCCGTATAGCCTCATTGCTGTAGTTACACAGTATAGCTTCCGATCCTCTGGAATTTCGAGCGCGATGATATCTTCCCACATTCCGAAACGGATAAGAACATGTACCCGCATTGCGACAAACGACTCTAGCAAGTTTGCCATTGCCGGGGATTCACGTAGTCCTTGCTCCGGTATATTCGCCTCCATCTGCGCGATTGTATCAAGCGAGATTTTTGATTGGCCCGAGAACATGGCTGCATATATTTTAAAATGATAGTTGTGGCACCTGTAGAGGGTGTAGAAATTCAACTTGCCGTCTTGGGGTGCAAATTTTTCATCGGCCACAATGGCGTCTGAGTTTGACTTGACTGCATTCTGATAATCACCACAGAGAATGTCTATGTGAGATGGCATATGTTCCAAATGGCCAGAATCTGGGACGAGACGTCTTAGGCGGTTGGCTGGCGGTAATGCCGTCTCGGGTGAGGTAGACATCTCCAAAAGATGGATATATAAATGGAGTAGTCCAGGGTGAGCAAGCCCGCCTTCCTGGGCTAACGCACGATCAAGAATATCCTTAGCCTCAAGGGTATGCGCCCCCTTAGCTGGATGTCCAGTAACCAGGTCCCATAGTTTCCAGGGCGTCAGGTTCATCAGCGCGTCTACATAGAGTGTCGCCACATCTAGGTCGTCCGGGAATTCCTGATATACCAATTTCATAGCCTCAGCATATCCTTTGTTCCACACCGAGCAATCTTCTGCGGGGTGTTCTTGCGGGTATCGAAATGTGAGCGCCTTGGTTAGCGCCTTCTCAACCGCCGATACAGTTGGTGCTTTTGCTTTTGCTTCCGCCTGTAAAGCCGCAGTGTGAGTTTTGTTCACCACCTCTCCCAACTGTTTGGCATTGAAAAACGCCCATGGCATATTATAGTTGGGTCCAGATGAGTATGCTAGTCCCCAATATGCCATGGCGCAGTCTGGATCAATCTCGATAGCTCGCTGAAAGCATTGAGCTGCCTCGTCATGGTTGAAGGCATAGCTCCAGATCAACCCACGATCGAACCAGGTTTGAGCATCGGGGCTACTTGTGCTCACGGGGCGATGATAGCTCCCGAGATCAAAGTATTCGTCTTGCGAGCGAGCGGTGCCTGGCTTCCTATCACCCGTCATTCTCACTCGATGTTAGATAAACCGCGCGTCTTGCACGAATTGCTTGGACCGAGGTGGGTTTTTTTTGGAAGAAGTAATGTTGAAGAGTCACTGTGCGAGCTCAATATTGGAAGGGCTGGGAACTCCCTTGGATGATATATATCTACATCCCTTCCGCTGAGGGGTTGTGTTGTTCCTTCTGGGGTAACATCCAATCCCTCGGCTTTAACTACCATAGGGTCACGTGGAACAGGGGAAAGCTGGGGTAAAAAATAGGCTTCATTTTTCTACTTCCATACCCCAGGGGCTTCTATCTATGCATATTGTTTTTGGGAAACAGTTATTAGTGGTAAAGAAATAGGCAGACTCGTCCTCCTTTTCTAGAGACGTTGGTTACCCTTCAGTATTGCCATCCACCCCTCCGGGACGGTTATCGGTATGATCATCAAACTCTTCGCAGTGGTTATCCTCATCCTCTGAGCATTCAGCAACTGGCTTTTTGGTGCCGCTTCCTTTGCCAGATAGATAAGCGAATCCTGTCTCCGAGTTCTCGTCTTCAACCATATTGAATAACTTCAAAACGTCCTCGAGGGTATCCCTATAGCTGTGTCAAGAATCCTGAAGGTAAGGTATGGGAACGAAGTAACTTACCTTCCTGCGAGTACCTTGGATCCCATTGCACCTTCAATGTGAGCGGTTTTTTTATTCTGAAGTAGTTGTATCCTGTCGTCGACAGTGTCTTCGACACATATTCTAACAACCTCAACGTCCTTCTTTTGTCCAATACGAAATAGTCGGCAAAATGCCTGAGAGGATGTTAGCAAGTCAAAAATCGATGGGTATACTGAGGTGTTCGTCACCTGTTGTTCTATGGCTTCGTTCCACCATAGGTCCACAAGGAGACATTTTGTCGCCACGGTGAGATCCAGGCCAGTCCCTCCGGTTCGAAGGGAAGAGATTAATACGCGGGTTTCCGGATTTTCACGAAAAGCTTGGATCCGAGTTAGTCGTGCCGGAAGAGGAACTTTTCCAGAAAGCTAGTTTTAATTCGATATGCAATAAGTATCGTAGCTCGTTATAGGCTGATAAAGAGAAATTATACGGGTCAAGATGTTCATACCGTGGTATATCCCCAATCCTCGCTTTCGCACATGGAACACAATATGCTCATCATCCCAAGAAACTGGGTAAATATTGTGACCTTTGTATGTGGGGATTCACTTATCCATTTCGAAACACACGCTTTCACAGCGTTCAATTTTGCACCCGGCATTGAACCCCCTGCAACAGAAACCCAGTTAATAACTTCCGGGTTGTCATTGTCCGGCTGGTTGGATCCTTTGGAACTCGATTCCCGGAGGTTCTTAATATTGCGAGTAAACTGAAGCTTTATAGAACGCCCACATCTGCATAGTGTTTTATCGCCTTTCCGCGGTAGGGCGGTCATACATAACTCGCAGCAAATATGCATGCATGATAAAATGAATGCATCCGGAGCTTTATTTAAGCAGAAAATGCATTCCAGCATACTGTCACTGGCGTCTGGGTTGTTTAGCGTGTCTTGAAACGCTTCAGCCAAACTAGTCGGTTTCCCCCTTTTTTCCCCTGTAGGTGGAGCCCCTGGAGAGAATGCCTCATTCGCCAGCAGCCTTTTTAATAAGACGTACATTTCAACATTCTCACTTTGTGGATTTTGGGCCACCAGGGCACCGAGCTCTTCCATGATAGGAAGGGTCATGGCGTCTTGTATAAAGTCCTGCGACAGCAGCATATGGCTTGTAAACATACGAAGCTTGAGTAGGAGGACCAAGTACTGTTTGTTGCCTTCGGCAGTGCGTATCTGATCTATATAGTTCGTTAGAAGAAGTTATTTGTAAGACCAAGCTCAAGCCAGTATTGATTGACTAACAAAAATTGTTGACCATGAAATTGTTGACGATTTGGTTATAGACAAATCTTTCCACAATAGAAAATTTCGTTGTGATCGTGTTTTCATCAATGTCTGGGAGGTCAAGTAATGGCAGACCAAACAAGCTTTCTTCGTGAGTTCTCCGTAACATGTACGCTCGGAGGTAGTTTCTGAGACAGCGGTTTCCGGGTTCATCCTAGCGAGTCGAAGTCAGATTGGCATTTAAATTGAGAAGAATAGTATTCTTGTACCTGGATAAGTTTCTTCGAGAAGATTTCGAAGTTGTCCATTCCGGGGACGTCCAGAAAATCGAAGTATGGATAGAACTCTTTGATAGAGCTGATAAAAGTAAATAAATAACTTGTATGTCAGTTTCATTCAACACTAGTGCAGTAGGGGGAAATGAGCGCACTTGTGGATAGGTGTTCCCGAAATGACCCATCGAAATTTTGCCGACAGAAATCTAACCGCCTTGCTTGTTTTGGTGAGATAATTTTTTATCTCATGTGCCTCTAGCCTACATTAGCTATGTTTCTCCTGCAGTAGAGCTTTGGGTCTGCTTACCGTCCAAGTAAATTCGACGGAAACGGATTCTATGGAGGGGACCGCAGTTTTGCAGTTTCCATTTCATCTGTTCGTTTTTATCGGTAGTAGCAGGAAGTGGAAATTTGCAAGAAGTCAGGACCTCCCTATACGTTGTGATACTGCTGGCTATTAGTTACCTAACATTTCTTGGTAAAAACGGCAACGACTTACATGACACCAACAGTTTTAAGCCCCCCCGACTGGATAAAAAGATCGAGGTCAGTCTTCTCGCGTGAACAGTACATAATGATATGCCCTAAGACTCTAGGTTTGACGTGCTCCAGCAATTGATTTTTCCTATCTTTGTTAACCGATATCCTTACATGCATGGGGGCAGTACTTGGTTAACTACCAGTGGGTCGTTAGATGCGGTGGAGCAACTATCAGAGTTACTCCTGACTCCTTGCTATCGGGTGGCGCTTTCCCATCGACCATGTTCGCTTTTGCAGTAGCCTAAATTAGTAACAAGCAAGAATTTGAGAGGGGTTTATCGTTAACCTATTGCTTGGATGGATCTCCCAAATCCCATCTCATCGCATAATAATCCCCCCTTTGGCTTTGCGGTGACATTCTCGCGGTCGCGCTTGACGAGTCAGCGTCATAGTCAGGAAGATAGGAAAATGAATAATACTTACCATGAAGCCGACGCCGAGAAGCTATTGCTGTTAGCTTGCTGTTATATAGGTATCGAAGAAGATCATACCTGGTAATGGAAAAGGCTTGTTGTCATATCTGGGTGTTTCCAGCCCCCATTCCCATCTGCCCTGGGCTTTCTTGTAAATTTTAAAGAAGCACCCATAATTGCTCTTCTATCCCCCGTGACAGTAGCGCCATCTGATGTTGGAATAGCACTAACAAGCTCCTTCAAATAATCTTTTTTATTTGTCGCGGAAACCTTAGGAAGTACGGGCTTCGATCTATTCTCCTTCGCCTTCTCCACTAGGTTTGAAGAGAATATACTCTCGAAATTCATATTACTGAGAGTTTTTCCCTTCCGGGCCTTCCTTTGTCGTTTGGGTGGACCCGCATGTTTTCTAACGCGGCTTGTGCAGACCTTTTTCTAGAAATCGTTAGTATCCATAACTATCAATTGTAACCGGGATAACTCTGGATGGGAGTTACATTTTTATTTTTATCCCCATTTTTAGCCGTTCTCTGGCCGGGTGGAGTGGTCCCTCTTTTTGGTCGACATTTGCGAGTGCTCCCTCCTTTAGGTTTGGCCCCTTTATTTGACACTGTTGGATTCTCGGGGGCGACAAGTAAGGCAGTCGTATTCTCCGGAAAGTTATAGCCAGCTAGATCCATAGGAGTATCAAAATCCTCATCATCCGAGCAAAAGAGGCCAAATTGTTCGTCACCATTTTGTTGCCCATCATTCATTTCTACTATTTCCTCCATTTCCTGTCCTTGGAATTCGTCCTCATGATCATCCAAACTGAAGGTATGCGCTGGTGCATTGTTTTCTAGCCTACCATTTACCTCTCGAAGTTTCATCCGGGAACGGCGCATTTGGTCTTTTATCTCAATTTTCCTAAATCGGATTTCGCTTTCCAGACTTGGGTTTACTTCAGCCTCGAAGGCCGCCTTCGCCTTCTGGTACCTACTCAATATTAGTATTGCAGCACGTATAATATTATAATCACACTTACTCTAAATCATCGTTGTCCAAGTCGATGCCATCTAAGTTCTGCTCCATGTCTATCCACATATCATTGATATTACCAGTATCCGGCAACTCGTCGATCTGATTGTGTAACTCTTTACCTGTTTCACAATTCACGGAATCGTCGGGGCTGGGCGAAGATTTGAAGGTACTCTGTGTAAGTGGTGGAGCATCTAAGTCCATATAACCTAGGTGCTTTGGGAATGGCGGTTCGTCTTCCGTGACTCGAGTTCCTTTGGTAATTAGAGTGGCATTGTACTCAGTTAGAGGAGTCAACAGCTGTATATCTTCATCAGGAGCGATTCTCTCGGTGTCATCCATTTTAGTTGTTGTAGAGGTATCGAGTAAATCCATTATAAATGGAAGATAAGAGGGGTTAAATTTGAGGTATTTGACGAGAAGCGAGAATTGTCAAACGCTGATGGGGTTAGGAGAAGGGATGACGTTAACCACTCGACGTAAGAGGGGTAATACGCAAAGATATGGTGAATTGTGCGAGTATAAACACTTGGCGTAGTTTGATCAATGAATCTGTGAAGGTCGGGATCAAAAGGACAATAGACGGCGGATTCCAACTAGTAAATCGAGAAAATGACAAATTAAGGCAGTAGGCAATTGGGGTATTAGTTTAAGTTGAATTGAGATGGGAGGTAGGTAAGTAGAAAATTGAGCCAAAAAGGTCAAGAAATGAAAGGTAGTATTTTATGGGTAGCTGAGAACTGCTGGTAGAGAGAGAAAGGGAAAAGTTCAAAGTGATTTTCGACTTAGGCTTCAATGAGCTGGAAGTAAAATCAAGCTGAAGTGAACCTTAAAGGTATAGGGTGCAATTAATGAAACCAGATAAACAGAGAGGAGGATAATTACGTCAAAGATGAAGAAGACCCAACGAGATGTAAATTGAGAAATAACCGAAGAAGTCTGAAGAGCGGGTTTATGAGCGAGATATGATCCTTTTTCAGGTCCTGAAAGTAGATTAGTGCACGGTATAGAGGCAAATGAGGCTGGGGTGTAGAAGGTATGAAAGCTTCTACTGGTGAAGGGTCTTGAATGGGGGAAGGTAAAGACGAGAAGGGCTGAGCTCGTGCTAATTGTAATCATATGAGAGGTAGAAAGGTAGGCTGAAAAGATGAAGGCGGCGCTAGAGCTTAGAAATCTAGGCAGCAGTTGAAGATACTGAGAAATGGATAAGGTGCATGAAAGGTACCAAAGTTAAGTATCATTAAGCAGGTGAGGTTATTTGGTTCTCCGGGGCCAAAAAATGACAGTAATAGCACTGTCGAGGTCTAGATATAGACCATGACTCAAAGTCAACAATATATAGCATGTTAAAAAATTGCCATTCGGAACCAAAGGCGTGATGAGCAGCGGGTGACAGCTCCCCATTTTCTGGTGAAGGACAAGAGACCTCACTTTCACAGTCCAAGTCCATGTTATGGATTCTAACAGTAGGTAATTCCGTCTTCTAGAACACCTTCCAATAAATATACAGATATGTGTATATTTTGTAAAGTTCATCTCTTGTCCACAAAATTGGTGAGTGTGATGTTAGGTTGTCGTTGGATGGTCGACGTTGTTTATCACAACAATATCACGTGATATAATGACTAAGGATGTGGCTTAAAGCTTGTCGTTCTAATGGCCAATAGGAACCATAGTAGCGGGTCCAGAACTCGAGAGCATCAAGTTGTTGTTGTCGAGTAAACATAGCATAGGAACTCGATAGATGTCTTGCTCCACGGAAATATGATTAATATTTCGCCTAGCAGTACTCCGTACGTGTTCTATAAATGATTGACTGTCGGCTACCAGAGACCACCAGGTCAACAGCACTCGGTAGCTAACCGTCAAACTAAATCAAGCTCTCTAATACGGAGTACTCTCTTAATACTTGCTATACTTTTGGCTGCTATCTTTAAACACTAGCCTGATTTGAATCTGCCTATTTTGCAGCATGTCGACAGTATAGTGGTTTGCCAGAAAAGTGAACTATGCCACAGGGAAGTGCACAACATGTTTAGCCCCATTGGTGGCAGACTCATCAGAGGTATAGAGTGCATCGACAACTGAGAAGAAACTAGATGGCCTAGACTGGCTGAGCGACTGATAAGGAGCCCTTATTTTATCGGGGACCAAGGTAATGGCATCAGCGCTTTTATATAGGTAAGCCTAAGGGCCATATGAGGATAAGTATAAGAACAATTCAGGATTAATACCTGAAACATGTCTCAATGAATCCTCTTGATGAAATGTTTTGGTCCCGACTTCCCCGCGGAGATACCTTTGACGTTGAAATAATGTGCAAGTCACATGCCAGGTTAGCTAATACCATGAGTCAGCAATTTGACTTTCCGAAAGCGGCTAGAGTTCTCCGCGCCGTTACGTTAGCCGGCCCGGGGATGCCAAAAGCTTATTCCCGACGGTTAAATCAACAAAGCAGCAATTGAATTGGGTTGACAATGAAAGTTCTTGCACATAGCTAAAAGTAAGATGGACGATAAGCTTGAAATAGCTACGGTGTATGAACCTATTATTGCAACCTTTAATTAAAGCTAGCTTACCCTGCTTCCAACTTTATTTAATTATTTTCGCCTCCATAATTTTCCTGACAATGGTGATGAAACAGTTCGTGACCAAATTACTTCTTGCTCTGTCAAGGGCAATTTTTCCACTCGACTCAATCAATGATAAGGAGTTATACATATCATTGGCGGATTGGATGTCGCTGAGGTGGCTTCCAAATCAGTAAACTCGGATCTTGCGTCAATATGTGCTATTCGTTGCCTATGGTAGCCTCGAACCATAGGAGGGTCTGAGTGGTTTCATTGTTAGCGATAAGTGGCCTAAAATAATGTCCATCAGCGCTTACGATTGGATCAAATTTTTGCACAGCCTTCCGCGTTTTCGGGTCACGAGTTCAGACCACTAACATTCTTCCAATCGTCCATCGTACGAGTCCCACTGAAAAGGCCGGCTTTCCGGGTCCTCAGGGTTTGGAGAGTGGTATTTTGTCTCCTTAGAATGGTTGCCTAGTCTGCAAAATTCTTTGTTATTGAATGGCGATACTTGCTGGACGGGGTGGGTAATAAAGGAGAGTTAAGTGTTCGCTTCTCTTTACTTTTGTTGACGTTGACATATCGAGAATTTTCGACTAGTACGTAAGTGGCATCCCTGAGACTTCTGTAGCGAAACTCCACTTTAAGAGTAAGAAGACCGAGTAGGCGGGTGTTTCCCCCTTCTCTCGAAAGACAAGCTGTAGGTTAGGCTTAACCTTTTGCCAAATGCCTTGAAGGTTGCGGGTTGGTTGCAGGTTGACTGGATGGACTAAAATTAACAAAGACGATGTAAAACCCAACGAAAATTGTGGAGGAGAAGGTGGCTCACACATCCATAAGAGGAAGGAGGAATACTGCGTTACTACCTCCAACAAATGAATGGTAACATATTGAGTGTAGCCCATGGTCCTATATTGAGATAGAAGATATATAACCCTACCTTTATAACTTGATTAGACTAGAGACTGCTAAGTTGGGATACTAGAGTGCAGCTTACAGTGCTGCTTGTAAGACACCAAAATATATACATCTACCAAGGCCAGGTAAACATCTCAACCCTTGCTGCCTTGATAGGGCTGGGGATGTAATGATATCATGCGGCATGAGAAACCTGGAGAGCATAACTTACCTAAGCAAAAGCTTATAATGACGACGGAGGGCGTAGCCGAAAAGAGCGCGCGCTAAACCACATGCGGGCACGAGCGCCGGGCCGATTGACCAATCAGATAAGACTTTGGCGGCCTGGCCAGCCGAGGATTTTCCGAAAGCAGCTAGCGTATTACACCCAACCAATCGGTACGTGCTTATTCAGCAAGCTAAACCCAAGATAGCTAGCGTGGATGGTCCGGCAGAAAGGGATGCGGCTCCGCTTAATACTTACATAAGCGTAAGCAAGGCCTTGGTGTTTCCCTCACCGCCTCTTGGCCAGCCCGCGGGTCCCAGTGCACCAACACCTTGCCTTGTCCCCGGGAAGCCTGGACACCTCGAACATCGCGAGACGACATCTCATCCTCTACCCTTGCTGCACTGCACAGCTACGCCCTCACCACGCCCTCGACACTGTGTCTGGCATCTCGAGACCGACCTGCTCTGTGTTGCTGCGTGCTTAGCGTACCTCGATCAGCTGTGTGCGGCCTGCTTGCTGCACGCTGACGACCGAACTCAATCCCACCTCCAACCCTCGTCTCGCTCTCGCGACTGCATATCGAATATCGAGCATGAGCCATGAATCTGCGCGTGAGGCGACCTTATAGAACCCTTCACCCCCGCTCCGCCCTACCTGGACTTCCTGTCGCATTCTAAGGAACGGCCTCGGCCCCGTCGACAGCCCAGCATAGAGCGTACGTCACTACAAAGATGTTGGGTAGGCTGCTGAATACCGCTGCAGCTACGCTCAACCCCGCCTCCTATGCCTCCCGCAACTCGAACCAGCTCGAATCAGTAACGGAGGAAGAACACACCTCAGGCCTCCTCTTTCCTGACGTGAGCCTGCTCCATCGATCGAGAACACACGCATACCCACTACAGACCAGCTCGGTCTCATCCAGCCCGTCCTCAGCCGGCAGTTTCGATGACAAGGGTGGTTTGGAGCTTGATTCTGCAAAGGACTTGAGAGTTATCATTGCACAGAATGCGATAGGAGACCGTGATGACCCTTGTATCCTCCTCGATACTCAGGCTCCGGCGAGGATAGAGAAGCCTCCCCGACCTCCACTGGACCGTCCATCTCCAGAAAAACCACGATCTCGACATACTCGTACCTCGACCCTTCCTCGGAACGGTGGACGAGTGTCCCACCATGCACCACGTGCCTCAGTCTCCGATCTAGCTCCACTGTCCACATTTTCTACACACGATGCAGCAAATAGTGCCTTTTTCCGTGCGCGGAATCGGCGATCCACATTCTCGAACTCAAGGGAAGATGACGATCAGCAACACGGTAGACTGTCCGGGGATTCTAACGAGCTCGGATTGCTCAATTGTATCTTCGGAAGTAGCGCGTTCAGCTACCGTGGACCTTCGACGAAGATGCACATAGTTCCGGCGGACGAAAAGGGTCCGTCTGAGGATTCTGCTTCCGGGTTTTCTGATCCTTACCGACGAACCCTCCGTCGTGCTGATACGTTCAGTGGTTCGCCCAGGAGTGTCAGTCAGAGCCGCGAACGGCTGAGCAGCGATGGCTCTCGATTATCCACATCATCGTCATCTTCAAGTGTAACGGTACTGGTAACTAGGATGTTTAGTGTCAACTTGCCTGAATCGTATGGTGCACCAGTCGACACCCCAGTGCAGCCACAACCAGCGGTTCCCTCATCTCCATATGACCCAGAATTCAAGTTCTCTCCGCGTGCCAAGGCCAAAAAGATCAAAGAAAAGAAGACCCCAATGTACGCTGTGGCCATAACTGTTCGGCTCCCGATAATGGCAAAATCAAATGCCCGCCAGCCACGAAATCCGTATCGGCAAGATCCCGCAAAGCCTTGTGCTGGAATGTCAGTATCCTTGGATTCGCACCCAAAATGGTCCCTTTTTGACGAAGCGTCCTATTCATCCAATGGCTCCAGCATTGATGACCGAATCGACTTACTTGTTGATTATTGGGATGTCATTGCTCGAACCTTGTCACGTCTCGAGAAGCTGGCAAGCAAGGAAATCCTCGAACTTTTAAAGCAGACCGTACAGCATGCAACCCAGATGCCTAAGCCAGCAAAGGGACCGAATATGCAGAGAACTAACCAGACAATTGTACAACTTTCACCCAATTGCCTGGCCCAGAACAAGCTACTCCGTGAGGAGGCACTCCATGCGACTTTCAGGGTTTGCATGGCCCTTAGAATCCCACCCGTCATTTCTGGTCAGAGCCGCTGGGGTGTCTGGAGGGAAGAGGCTCGATGGATTGCTAGAAGTCTAAGTGAGAAGGAACACAACTTTTTCTTCCTGGTCCTCATCACTGCGTTTCTCGGTAATCATACAGAATGGCTCAGTCTCCTGGGGCCCGATTGGTATCGACGTCGGCATTTTCTGCAACAACGGGCACAACAGGACAGTGAATTAAGCATTTGCAACAGAACAGTAGTCATTTCTTCAGATAAAATGGCTGCAAGGCGTCTGATATTTGTTCTATCTGCTTTTCTTCCTGCTCAACAACGCACAGACCCACTAGCTTCCCCCTTACGACCAAGCACGTCCACCTCTTTCCGCCAAACTTCTCAGAGTCCCCCAAACCCAACCATGTTTCGACAAGAATCGTTGCGTCGAACTATAAACCGTCGAGCCCGGACACGTCAGTTTCCTCACGAACGTGGACCAGCCAAACGATCTGCCAGCGTCTCTTCCAATGAGACTTCCAATGTAGTTTCTGAGGAGCTGGAGTTTAGCAAGTCCCCCATTACTCAAGGGCGACGTGGCTCTGATACCCGTTCCATGAGAACGTCCAGTTTATCCATCCCACCAGGAGGCGTTGCTGGACCAATGAAAAGCGGCACAGCATCCGCCGCAACAGCAGCGCCGGGCACAGCAACTCCAGTCCCGCACTTTGCATCCCAGCCTCGAAAGCCACATAGTACCCATCATGAACCACGGGACCGCACAGGATCGGCCTCTGCAAACTTGCTTCTGAATTTGCAGAAGAGTGAGACATCGGCCAATGCCGACCAACAGCCAAGCAAATGGGGGAACATCCTCGCTGGGTTTTGGAACGCCCGCGAAGATCCCCTAGTGAAGGACGGTACCCTTAGGTCTCGCAGAGCATCGGCACTAATGACAGATCTTAAGTCGCAGCCGCCTGCTGTGTCAGCCATATTAGGAGAGAACGGAAATATGATTCAGGATGATATACCTGCCTCCTCCATTGATACGATGTCAGTACCCACTTCTTCGTCAGCACAAACGGATAGCATTAAAATCAAGGACGAGGATAGTCTGGCCAATCGGCAACCTACATCACCCGTCAAACTATGCGTCAAGCCGAATGAAGGCATTGTCGATGTTGAGGTGCCGTTGCCTGGGTTCATGTCTCTCTCATCTTCAAACGACTCCACATTGACTTCGCCCAAAAAGACTCGAACGTCAATCACAAGCATTGATTGCGATGGTTCTTTCCACAGCACTAGTCCGTGGTCTCACAACAATTACAAAGACTGGGACGGACCTAGCGTCAATGTAGCTGGTTGGCTCAAGTATTACCATGAAGACTTTGCCCTTCAAGCCGTTCGTCCTTACCCGAATCTTGAGTCTGCCATTAAACGCTCCATGTCTGCTGAACCTACACCAAATCCGCTGAATTTGGGGCAATCATCGTATTTTGACGGCGGTTCCGAACGATGGGTTGATGTCTGTTCTACCCTAGTAGCTGACACGAGGACATTCACTGTCAAACGAATTCGCCTTCGCCGCAAGATAACAACTATCGATGACCGAGCTCAAGATTACTCACAGACCCCATCCCCTCAATTTCCATACCAACCATTCGGTGTGCACATGGATAGTGCGGATGCTACACCCACACCTTCACTTCGGAAATCCCTGCCATATACCGTGGAAGAAGAGTTCATCGAGGAACCGATCATGGACCTGGATGCCACACTTGTCGATGCCGTTGAGCGAGTCTTGGCCTGTTCTGGTCCTACATCTGCTATCCACTCGCGTGCACCGTCACCAAGCCGAATGCGCAAAAGTCGAGTTAACGTTCTACCCATGGAAGATAGCAGGAAGTACAATGATACTGCTAATCGAACGGACGTACCTTCTGTCGAAATTCCGCGTAATGAGTGTCGGCGTATGGTCCTTGGAGCGCTCGATGAGGTCGTGCGTAGCGTTGCCGCTGAGCACCGCCAGGAAGAACCGAATATCGGTACGGACACCACTCCGGCCGGATTCCCCAGGTCGAGCCATAAGAAGTTCGGCGGTATTACTGATAATACCCTGAGGGAAGGCATTCGTAAATGGCTTCAGGACATCGACGAATCTTGCTAACGCGCGTCGTCACCCATACCTTCTACAGTCTCTGGTTATTCTGACCAGAGAAACCCCTGTTTCTCAATATCCTGTTATTTTGCGCACCTTATCGGTGTTCTGCTTTGATATATTTTGTTTTTGCATTGCCGCGTTTCAATCCGGGTTTCATAGCTTTTTCCTTGATATTTTTTCCTGGTCCTTCCTGTTGTCGATATCTCTCGCTACAACCCTTCTGATACCCTGGGACTTGCATTTGCGTCATTTACTTTTTTTATTCCCTTGCGAGGCTACAGATAATTATCTCGGGACTATACCCTGTCGTGTTTATTGCCTTATTCTTTAATGCTTTTTTGCTCAGTGCTTAATTCCCGCACCTTGAACAATCTTTTTACCACATAGTTCCATGCACCGAACCATTTCTACGGTTTAACATTTACAGCTTTGTTATTACCGTCTGCACTGTTTTATAATTCATGCATATTGCTTAAGTGGGGGTTACCTGTGATTGTTGCAATGCTTTGTTTTGTCTATTCTCATCCAGCGCCATCTATATACCCTCATTCCAATTTATGCTTCTGGTTTTGTCAATAGCATATACAAAGCACATTTGCTCCTCACCGAGCACCTACACCCTGCAAACCTCAGCTTTACCAGACTTCTACATCTCACTTTTGCAGCAGTTTCTATTTTTTCTGTTCGCAGATTTTTTTCTTCTTCTTCTTCTTTCGCTTCTGAGGCATTTTATCTCATCGGCATTTTCCTCCGGGTTTAGTCTATTAGACATTTTTCGGAGTTTTCCTTTTTAGCCGGTTATCAGTTATTTAGCCTTAATCATGTAGCCTGTCAGCATTTTATAGGGAACGCTTCAAGATTCTATTTAGTCATATTATACTTGTTATTAGTTCATCCAAAGTCGTGAATGAAACTACATAGGACAGGGGGATTATCGTACATGTTTATGAAAGGGGTATAATAACATTGTTAAAGTAAATAATATATATTACATGATGGATCAAGCGCAATATTAAACGGCAAGTAGTAACGATGAGGTTGATAAATCCACGAGGCTGCCAGTATGAGGACCATATTATGGGGTAGATAGCCAGGTTATATGGGCTATTGTGTTAAAGTTGGGGAGTTCTCGAAGGGTCATACGCTGGACTATATCGGGTCGTGTGTTGCACCACAACTGAATCTATGGATGCAGACCTTTGAGGCACTTTCCCTGCCGAGCTTGAAGTTGAATGGCGTACCACACTATCGGGCAGCACCAGTGACGGAATCAACGACTCAGAAGTCATCGTGTTTGTAGGACTAGCCTTTGTAGAAATTGGCCTCCCCTGTGCTGCGGCATTAGCATAGAATGCATCAAGCTTCTCCTTGTCATCGCAGAATGCCTGTAATTTATCCTTCATATCAACTGCTGCCTGATACACATTGACCTGTTCAGGTTGTTGAGATTGGGGTGTGACAGCAGGTGAGAAGCCGTTGATTCCAGAGCTGCGCACAACTGGCGATAGGTGCGGAGAGCCACGATCATAAAGCGTAGAGTCAACAATGGTGGATGCACGCGGCCGGAAGTATTCGCCCCGCTCAAATTTATTGGATTCTTTTATCACGACCGAAGGGTGGTAGGTGTTGAATAGACGATTGGTCAAGAGTAAAAAGTCTCCTTCATCTGTGATCTGGGCGAGGACTGCTCCCGATCTGTGAACATATTGTGGAAGTCTATAGTCAGGTTTACCCCACGAATAAGATACCTCGACGTCTGTTGGGAACGCGCTAAAAGGCTCGAAATCAAGAATGAAATCGAACTTTTTCAGAATGGCCTTTTGGTAAAAATGACGGTCTGGAGCACTTTGAGACGCGAAAGATGTGGAGGTAAAGTGGTTCGCGGATGGAGGCTCGGGTGGCGGATGTTTAAGCTTGATCGGGAACGGACGTCTGAAGACCTGCGACTCGACAATCGAGGATGCCTCGGAGAGTGGCAGCTCGACTAACTTCAGCCCATACTTCTCAGCCAGTCCAGCCCATGATACGACTGCATCCTCAACCAGTTTGGGTGTCGCATTCATCCAGCTTAACTCGATGTGGAAGCAGTTTTCTGGGTTATGAATCCTGTCATAATGAAGGTCGATTATCTCTGGGCGATCTGAACGTTTGCGAGGATCCAAGTCGTATTTCATGCTTTTTGCCAGCCATATAGCAACCTTGCTTCGTGCCAGAGACCTTGGTGGTGGTGGAAGAGGCTCGCTTCTGCCTCCGCCATCATCTGAGCTCTTTTCTGATCTCGAACGGAAACTGGAAGGCGAGTCTCTTGCCCCGTCCACAGCCATCGGGGTGCTGGGAGTGGATTTATCACCTTTGAATGGCTGGAACCAACTGCCTTTAGACTCAGGTCTAGCCATTCTATGTTCATCGGTTATCTGATAGAAATAGTTCCCATCCCTAAAGTTGTGCCTCCGCTGTACATGATGGAAGAGGCCATGTTTCATGAGCTCATTTCCAAATTGAACAGCTTCCTCGCGAGTATCAATATCGCTGAAGTTCTTTATTAGCCAGGTCGTCAACTCCATTCCAACAAAACAGTTATAATGGAGTCGCCAATGCCATCTTCTGTCCATCATCTTTACCCCCTTTTCGGACTGCATTGCATGAGCGACGGAAGATAGTGATATGGAAGACTTTTGAAGCAACTCTGACTCAGGGAGGAGCTGTGCGGGCGGGTTATCGAGGCCTGGATCTTCAAGCAAGAGTCTGTCAAGTTCAGTTGCAACGACAACAGACGGGTCACTTGTTTGATATAAGATATTCAAAGGGTTTTGATCTTTTTTCTTCATGCCAGTCGATTGGAATCGCTTTTCTTCTGGCGGCATATATTTATATCGTTGCCAAAATTGGGTTAATTGATAAATACCCATCAAATGGCGTTCCTCTTCATTGTCCTCATTTAAGGATGAGTTTGGGCGTCGAGAGTTCGTTGAAATATGAACAGGAATTAAAACAAAGCGAGTACGCCAGTGTTTAAGTTGGCGTGAAGAATCAGCCAGGTGATCTCGATGACCTGCAAGAAACGAATCTGCAAAATTCCAATTATATTCGAGTTGAGATAATGCGAGGCGGATGCAATTTTTCCGATACTGTGTTCCTAAAATCGTTTTGACGGCAGGGCAATACGTGATTTCCAAGTCCTTTGAATCCTGCAAATAGCCATTGAGAGGTTTGCGCGTGAACTGGGTAACTTCAATTTCGCCTCCACCAACACATACTAAACGATGAATGATTCCACCCATCGACATGTATATAGTCACATTGTTTTTCGCCAGAGCACTAAGGTCAAAAATAGTATCTCCAAAGGTAAGATTCTCTCGTAGGTTTCTGAGAACTATTTGAAAGCCATGAGACAACCGTAGCGCAATCATTTCTCGCAAAAGCGCATCCCGTGTTTTGGGACTTTCTGACGCCTCCGAGTCTTCATCTTGATAAACCGTGTACGGAGTTTGCAAATAATTAGCTTCCAACTCATCTTCCGCTGGGAACTCCTCGGTAGTTAAAGGTAGCGCAGCAGGAGATTTTAGACTTTTCCAATTGACTGATGAGGTAGTTGGTTTCCGTGGGTAAACGTGATGCCATCGTCCAAACCAGCTCTCTCGTGTAGGAAGGTGTTTAGGAGGATTCCATGGCTTAACATGTTTTATCCAAGGGGCTAACGCCTTCTCCGGAGAAGGAACAAAGATACCCAAGGCCGGAGTACTCTTGTTGGCCATATCTAGCCTACGACCAGTTCGTTTGGAGCCATGAGCGGCATGGCTTTCAAACAGGCTCCCTTGTTCATGGCGCACTTCCGTTGCTGGAGCAGTGTAAGAACCATCCAACGATGCTGCATCTATAGTAGCTTCTTCTGGAGCATGACTAACTGCAGTTCTTATTGATATTGGTCTCGAAGGAATAACTTCCGAAGCACTAGATTCGTCTATTTTTTGCTGTTCTGTTACGATGGGAAGGAAAGTGCTGGATGATTGAGAAACGTCATCTGCTTTGGGAAAATCGTATGGAGTTTCATCTGGCGTCTTTCCGCTTGCTGTTGGTAGTGCCTTCGCATACTCCGTTTTCACCTCGGTACTCGCAGTAGCAGTTGGGGGTGCACGGCCAAATCCAAGTAACGCAAAGCTAATCGAACGGGTGTTACGTGGGGTTGGAGGTTTGGACATATCCTTGAGATTGGACTTATTATGGCTTGGCTTTTTGGCAATAGGAGCTGATACCTCCTTGCTCAAGCTTGTGCCAGAACCAGAAACGGGGGATGCAGCGCTTGGGCGAGTTGGAGTAACTGCGCCTGGGCCTCTTGCATATGTTAAGGCGCGGGATGGCTGTTGTGATGCTCGTCTGGAAGCGTTAGAAATGTTAGAGACGCCTGTCGATTTAGGTTTGCGTTGCGGCCTCGGAGCTCTCTTTTTAGAGTGTACGTGGAATGCTAGTTGGTCGTACGAATCCATCCATTCCGCTATATTTGTGCGCCGCTTCTCTTGAGAAGACATCATTAGCTTTTTAGAGTCTTTGAAGCTATACATAAATGACCCCGGCCGTTCTCTATCGCGTGTTTGAGGCTTGTGTGACGAGTTATGTGAAGCCAATGTCGAAGGAGAGTTCAAAGCGCCAAGTTCAGCGCTGCGTGGGCGTACAGCCGTGTCATCTATGACAGAATGTCCGACGTGAAGATTAGGTATGGATATATTTGACTGCTCACTCTCCATTACACCCATCATTTGTATCTCGTACATTCGGACTTTGGGCTGGAATAATTTCGGCTGTGGCGCAACTGTGCCAAACGCCGGTGGCGTGACGTTATCCTTCTTCCATTTTTTATCCTGGTAGTTATGAGCACCCCAAAATGATATATCAATCCAGTAAGGGATTCCATACCCCCATTCTTCTGGGTCAAGGTTGGTTTCGACATCAGGTCTTGAATAAATGGCCCCTGACAGCGATTCAGACAATTGGGGTGGTTTCGGGGTAGGGGGCCAGGCGGCAATAGTGGTCGTAGTAGATGTTGGTGATGCAAGTTCGGAGGGTTCAGAATTAGTTGCTCCACTCTTCGAAGTAGAATTAGATGCGCGTGATGATCGCCGCGTCGGGATTTTATACTTGAACAGTGGAACTGAGTGTAGCGGCATGGGACTCAGACAAATAAGGTCAATGCCGATAGAACGGCTACCTAGAACATCTGAGGTCAAGGCGAGAGTATCAAACGCTACTTCAAACGTGCCCGAGCCCGGAGTGATGACAACAATCGATGTCCCCGTCCTAACCAGGTCACGACCAACGTACTCAAAATCTAGATAAGATGAAGCAATGTTGATAGCTTCCAATATGTTGCCTTTGATCGCCGAAGTAAGATGGCCCGCAATGGTAGGCGAACTGCCGGTTGTAGTGACTGGCGGAGAACCTTCAACAGACGTAGGATCTCTTGAGTCGTGGGGCGGCGGAACCAAAATATCACGCAGGAATGTCCTGAATTCTCTTTTCAGCTCGTCCAAGATGGCAGTCCATCGGCCGCTCGGCATGTCATTGACGACAACACGATAAAAATCCTGCACACTGGACCCAGTCTCGACTGTTGGGGTTTGATTTAGGGAGCTGCTGTTGAGTATCATGGGTTTGAACTCGTTGGAAGAACTATGGTCATATTGAACCCTTGTAAAGAGTACGATGGTAACGAGGTGGCGAGCTTCTATGCTCGCCCATCGTTTGAAGAGTTCCGGTAAAAGGCCGTCGACCACTCGACTAAAGAGAATATCACCGGTCCCCTCGGTATTGAAATCCCACATCTCTTTCGACATCTGAATAAAGAGGACATATCTTGCAGACTCGCTTCTAAAGATCGGTATAGTACGCGGGGTGAAGTATCCGGCCATTACTTTTCGGCCACCCTGAAAGATAGACTTGACTGTCGCTTTTACACTGTTCATGAAGACTATCTTTTGGCCCTTGTAAAGTGGCCGGTCCAAAAGTTCAGACATTGCCAGCCGCCACATATCTGAGCGTAGCAAGAATTGATCGCGAAATACCAGCTCGACATGAGTTGCCGAGCATTGGGACCGCTGCTTCACGGTCAAAATAACCCGGGACCGTTTCTTGAACCCGAACCTGTTGGCCACCTGATTTGAAACTGATATAGGAATATTTGGATGCCTGCCCAGGATCTCTGATTGCATCTGCTTGACGATGAAAAGGAAATTCCCCTTGCTCTGGGAAGAGTCAGGCACCGCCTTATCACTGCGGTCTCGATGGCCGGGCAAGGGACTATACCGTCCACCACCGCTCTGGCTTCGTGATGAGCTGCCGCCGGCCTCATCCTGCTGGACGTTGCTGCCAGACGGTTCCACCTCTTGCTGAGAATCTGACGGATCGCCATGAAACGCCGACAGCTCAATGAGATCCCCTACTTTGACCGCCCAGTCACCGAGGGCCTGCCGATTGAACAGAACGTCTTCCCGCGAGAAGTTCTCATCGTGAACGGAGAGCAGACAAGCTCGACAGTTGGAGCTTGCCTGGGAGCTAGCAGCACCGGCAGACTTTGGCTTTGGATCATGCGCAGAGCCAGACGCAGACCGAATCGAGCCCGTCTCGGCATTGCTCTGCTTGAGATCTCTCGAATGCATGCCTTTGGATAGATCGGAATACAGCATTGCGATCAGCCCATCCCATCTGGAGTGATCTGGCGAGAAGAGTCCGACGTAGCACTGACTAACGACCGCTACCGGAGGCTAAGCTTTGCTGCCATTGTCTGCACGAGCAGGGTTTCAGGGCACTAGACGTTCATCCTGTATGTATCTCCGTTAAATCGCGAGTTCTTGTTGGATGGAGGAGGTTCATAGTCACGTGATATCACTCCTTCACAGGGTCGACGGGCGGAGAGAGCTATCTTCACGAAGGAGCAGCTGCTCAGGAGGTCTACAGCTTATTACTTGTCGTTATCCATACACTATACACGTCTCTGCAGGAGGCCCCTAGAGTGTCTAAGAGCTAAGAGTGCTAAGGCTAAGGTGTCTAAGTGCTAGGAGTGTCAGATTGCTAGGTGTTTGGGGGCAACCCCGAATCTCCACCCCCGTCTTATTATCAACATCGATCAGCAAACGGCACCACACATTCTTCTTCACCTTGCCTCCATCTCTCTTCCACCAGCATGCTGTAGAATATTAGCACGCTTTACGTTCGCTTGCTCTCCGTTAGCTTCTTTGCCTCTCCACGCAGCCGCTCTCTTCTTCCGAGTGCAACGTTCCCGTCTTTTCGCCTCCCTAACCTTCGCTCGTTGCATTACGTACCGGAACGCCAGGAACCCAAGGGTGTGATTCCGGACCTTGGAGTATCGAGAGGATGGCATCTATGGACGAAGCAGGAAAGGATACGGGCCTTAACTGTGCGCCGAACCCTTCGAACGATCCTACCACGCGATCAGAGACCGAACGACTTTCACATGACAAGTCCATTCAGACCTCAGCTCCCGCTTCACCGGAGAATATGCGCACGCTCGAAGAGGAACAGGGCGTGTTGACCCAGCAGGACCGGACCGTGGAAGACTCCGCTATCAATCCCGTCGTTGGATCGAAAGATACCGAGCCGCAGCCATCACAACAGTCGCCTTCGTCCTCAGAACAGCAACAACAACAACAACAAGAACAGCCACAGCAATCACAGCAGCCGTTACAACAGGAACAACGGGGAGAGTCTGAAACTGAAACGAAGCCAGAAACAAAACCGGAGGCTGCTGGTGATGTTGATCCAGCGTCACCGGAAAATGCCTGTCAATCGAGTATTGGAGCAGCGGTAGACGGCCAGCCTTCCAGCTCTGCATACCAATCCCAAGTCGCCCCTATTTCCGACAACGACGGACCTACTTTATTGCTAAATATCCTCCTTACCTCCGGCGGCAAACACCCCTTTAAACTTGATGGAAAATACCTACGGAAGCGGGAGGTGAATGTGACCGACAATGACCCCTTTAACATGACTGTATATACGTTAAAGGAATTAATATGGAGAGAATGGAGATCAGGTATGCACCAAGTCACAACGCGTAAACTCTTTCATCATACATGAAGCATCGATAGCTGACTGTGTTTTGTTTCAAATTACTACTAGACTGGATATCCCGCCCATCCTCGCCCGCGGCTATCCGTCTGATATCATTTGGGAAGATGTTGGATGATAAAGCACCCCTCTCCGGTATGTCTCTCTACTTTGTAAATCAACTATCTCGTCTCACTCTTCCTCCACATCCCATTTACCACCATAAAAGATCCATATATACTGACTGCCCGTGCAGACTGTAGATTCAACCGGGAAGGCCCGAACGTTGTTCACATGACCGTTAAGCCACAGGTGATAATCGACGAGGAGGATTCGAAGGCTACAAAAAGCACCCAGAGCCGGGACCACGAGGAGAGCGAAAGAAGCCCTGGCTGCCGCTGTGTCATTTTATAGTCAATTCAGCGTTGTATCAAAATTCGTGTCCCCCCGATCCAATCCACTTCTGGGTGGTGATGGCCGCAGATTTTTCACGCAAGAGCACATATTCTTTCATACCTTTTTCACGACTGTTCTCCTACCTCAATTCAGTATCTCGTTTTGGCGGTGCAGCCTGGAGTTTGCATAAGTTGTCATGCGCCCATAACGCCTTACCCTCGTCTCCTTGCTCCCGGTTTTCCTGATTCCCCTAACCGTTTTGAATTGTTTTTTTTATGTTGCTTTTGGCCTTGATTTCCCTTCCAGTTTCCTGCTTGATGATATATGTACAGCGAATTGATGGTCGGAATAGGCGATTGGGCTCGGTGGTCTGTTTTTCTCCTGCATTTAGTCAACTATTATTCCCTTTTGCATTCAGTCTTGTTAAACGCCCTGGTGTATCATTTTATTACCCCTTGCCTTTGATCTCGCCCAACCACCTCCTCTTGCAGTGGCGGTGCCCGCCACATCCCACCTCCTACCGGTTCCTCTTTATTCATACATATCCTCCGGCTTTAAAATGCACACGAACCCAGGGGCGCCGGTGATGTACCGTTGCATTACACTCATTGATTGCGAGTTTATTCTTATGGGAGCCCTTCACGACGCCTTGTACAGCCAGCCAACGCTTCCTCTCTAAGTTTTGATTACTGCTGATTTACTTGTCCGGCTATCCGTTCATTATAGAGCCTTCTAGGTGTGACTGGGATAAACTAATTTTTTTCTACAATTGAGGCCAATCACCCTGCTCAACTACGCCGAAAGTCATAATGCTTTTGCAGTTAAGGTGAGATATAACTCAAACAGAGAGGATTACGCATATTATTGGTGGCCTTCTACAACGTGAAAACATGTCATAATTAGGGTATAGATTTGTTTGCATTCGGTGTCACAACGCTGTAGCATCGGCACGTAAACATGGTATCTAATAAGCCAGCATCGGTCACCACCCCCACAAGTATGTATGATCAGGGTTGGTGATACACAAAAATATATGCTTCCTCGCAATTGGCAAGCTGTTGGTCTCATAATGAAAGCAAATCTATCCCCCAGTAAACAGGAATGTACAACGAGGCATATCAGTTCATCTTCAGTCGGTGCTCCAACTCATCATGGAAGCTTGGAGGCTCCCGAAGCTCATCTCCTACACAACGATATTAGCAACTTTCCTTTCGTACGTCTGGACAGTCTCTTGGTCGTATACATACCTGGATAGACATCCTCCCATGTAACTTCTGACTCTCGACCTCCTAACGACAAGATATCCTCATGTACACTTCCCTGCATGTTGCCGCCTAGAACTGCCGGCTTCCACTGGCTGTCACGTACAATCTTCAACTCCATACCACGTCGTACTGGCTCCGCGATACCATGTATCCGTCGAATGGTCTCCATCTTCATGGCATCCTGAGTTTGGCGCCAGTTTAAAAGACGAGCTTCAAGGGGGTGAGTAGAAGCTGTGTTTTGGAGGCCAGCTGTCTCTGGGGCTGCGGTAAGGCTGGAACGGAGAGTATCTGGGAGACCTGGAGCGGACGGGGCACCGTTGCGGAGGTGTGGCTGTGGGGTCTTCTTGGAGGTATTGGAGGTTTGCGAGGAGTAGTTGGTCTGGGGGGCGATGCGGAGAGACTGTTCGATATGTTAGTAAAGGGGGAACGTCTCATGTAGCGTGTCTTCTATGGATGGGATAGTCCAGAGCTGCTACTATGACCAGACGGGTACTCTACCATGGCTAAAGTTGGAGGCTCGTTTCGTGGGAGTTTCGTTTGTATATCGTTCGGTAAGGCGGCCGGTATCAATATCTAGCTAACCACTCGTCAATCGCAGGAAAACAGGACTGGCTAGAGAGGCGTTGAGGCAGAGATAGAGCAAGAAGCGACGAAGCTCTGTAAAGTGTTTCCAGGCAGGCCAAAACACACGTCAAGCTCTTCGGTCTGCACACAGCGACCAACATGGCAGTTCCTTAGCAGTATATCACGTGACGTCAAATATCAAAGTTGAAGGTTGCTTCCCTTCGACTGGAGACAGGGACAGCGACAGCGACAGCAAGGCCCATACCAGCTTACTCCCCGACGCCAGGAAGGGTATACCACGATGGCACTGTCTCCTTCAACTCTCACTACGCGGTTCTTCCGCCATATAATCCAGCGCCAATTCCCGACAATCGCTCCATCCGTCCAGGCACAATGTCTCCTCCGAGCCTCTCCCTTGAACGCCTTCCATAAGAACTTTTCCACTACCTCACAGCTACAGACGACGTTAAACCAGGTTCTCCGAGGATGCAGGACTGGCCAGAGAGCACGTAAGAAGCGATCGCCGGCTCTCGCGAACCACCCTCAGCTGAAAGGAGTGTGCTTGAAGACCCAGATTGAGAAGCCCAAAAAGCCCAACTCCGGAGAAAGAAAGTCTGCGAGAGTCAAGCTGAGTACTGGGAAGGTTATCACGGCTTACATTCCTGGTGAAGGTATGGAGATTTTGGTGGTTGAGTTATTCCTGTGCGAAAGATGGTGTGCTAATTCTTTATACTATCCAGGCCACAATATCCAGCAGCACAGTGTCGTCCTGGTACGAGGCGGGAGACTTCAGGATTGTCCCGGTGTGAAATATCGACTTGTTCGTGGAGCGCTTGATTTGGTATGTGCAGTGACTCCGTGACTGAGTTAAAGATGATTGGTGATACTAATTTGCCAAATCCAGAGCGGTGTTGGAGGTCGGTTGACCAGTCGATCGAAGTATGGAACGAAGAAGCCAAAGGCTTCGACGTAATAAGGATGTATAACAGAGGGATGACCGTCCAGCGGTACTTTTTTAAATCTATTGGTTAGGAGTAGGTTGGGCTGTATAGATAAATGGTGACAATTGCACTACGTTTTATCTTTTATGCTTTACATTTGTATATTATCACAAGCCAGTCAGCCAGACTTAAAGAAAACGATATATTTTGTTTCTTAGAGATCCTATCACAACCAGCCAATCCCAGCTGACCCCATCAAGACATCAGATGCGAATTAAAAACAAAAGCCTCGCGAATTCCAGCCCAGATTTATATACAGGTAGCAAGAACAGAAAGTAAGCCCGGAAGAGTTGTGAGGTGCTCGTTAATAATGTTGGTGGAATAGCGAGTAAAAAGTACGTACGTCGTACGCTGAGAAGATTTGATATTGCAAAGGGGAAAATAAACGGTGTTACTCTAGAATTATGGCAATTTTGGCATCCTCCAAGAGGGGTCTAGGCATTCGTAGGCGTGATATCGTATGAAGAAAGATCAATGGTGAAATAGAGAAAAAAAAAAGTATAGCACATCCTTACAGTTTTAGCTGTATGAGTGGAGACTCGACGAGCAAGGCTATTGAGCCTCTATGCATCCCTCTCTTGTTCCCAACCAGAAGGCTTCTTTAGTTTGTTGATGTCATGGTAGCGAGTAGTGCCTGATTCGGGTTACATTGTCAGTTGTTGTTCAAGACTTGATAACGCCTCTAACAGATGGGACAGGAGAACTCACATGAATAGCCCTTCCAGTCAAAGTTGTCCGAGGGATTGCAATGGCATTTCAAATCCAATCTGGTCTGTTCTCCAGTTGGACAGTGGACGAATGGGACATGTCTGTATGCGATGTCATTGAAGAAGTGTACCTCTTCCTTGTTCAGCATCAGAGCGACGGCGATGGTGTGGACAGGGGCATCACCCCATCTTTCGTAGAAAAAGCCGCCATCCTTATCCAGAATATTGAAGAAGTCCAGGTACTTTTGCGAGCGGAAGAAGTTCAGGTCGCCAACCTCAAAGTTAGACCACTAATGAAGCGACAAGTTAGCGGCTACACATCGAGTATATGATCGGCAGGCATGTACTTACGAAATGACACAGGTTATATGTTTTACCATTATCCTTGCTAATAAATTCTAGGTTGTTGTTCTCGGCAATGTGCTCCGGGTACTGGTCGATGAACTTCCTGGTGCTCTTCCAAAGCGTCTCGACGGTTGCCTCGTACTCGGGCAAACTGATGACGAAGCTGTATTTCTTCTTGTTGTCCCTCATGAACTTGAACGGATCGATGTGAATGTCGCAGAAGTATTCGATACTGGGTTCCACTCGCCAGTAGTAGTCGAACTGCATCATGAGCTCATGTCGGAAGAAGAATCCAGACTCGTAGCGGCACATGTGTCTATAACTTTCAGAGTCTCCGTAGATGACTTCCTTCGCCTTCATGATCTTCCTGGTTTCTGCGGCCTTGTTCTGATCGATCCATTCCGGGTACGACCAGTGCTCCTTTGGAATGAGACCGTAGTGTGTCTTTCCGGAGACCAGGGCAGTCGTGAATTTCTTGAACTCATCGGAGAATTCTCCATCGTTCAAGAAAACCCAGTCGTAATGGTAGTCTTTGTTGAAGCGATCCTCCACCTGACGGATGGACTTTGCAATCTCCCAAATGTCCGAGTTTCTTGCCAGAGTCACAAACGTCGCGTTCACTCGCTCATAGGGTTCTCCTCCAGCTGGAGAACCTGGAGCAGCCGGCTTAGGGGCGTCTGGCTTGGGAGTAACTGTGTTGGGAGCGTCTGGCTTAGGAGCTTGTTGCTGTGGAGGAGCTACCGGGGGCGTAGGTGCCTTGTTTTCACCAGCTGGAACGGTTGGTTTGGCTTGCTCGCCTGTTTTGGGGTAGGATAGGCCGAGATCGCTTGCATTGGGAATCGGCAACGAGGAGGAGGTTATGAAGTGTATGATGGCGAGTCCCTTTGATCAGATCAGTCTCGCGGATTCCACCGTAGATACGCCCATGTTCAGACGACTTACCAGGATCGCAAAGAGTATGTACCGCAGGTACTTGCCCTGGGTTGCGTTCATCTTGAAGGCTGTAGTATCCAACAGACGATAGCAGTGTCTCGCGTATACAGGTTTTCGTCTTCGTCTTTGATAGATAAGCTGTCCTTGCGCAGCAAACGAGGGAATGAGACAAGCTCAGAGGCGCATGCGAGTGATGCCAACCAGTGTCTATGGCTGCGCTAGAGAGAAGAAAAGAAAAAAAGGCAAGGGATGAAAGCGAGGGCAGGTCGGAGGACTATTCACATATCTTGCACGTCTGTACTGCTGGCCAACAGAGCCGCGTGGATGAGCAGGGCGTCTCGACTAGTCAGGGAGCGTTTCAAACCTCAGGCAAGGCTCAAGGTTGAGAAGGCAAAAGTCAGCTTAGTCACCCCCTTTTCTTCTCCTGCTTATATCCTGGCTCTCTGGAAGCAAGTATATGCTGGTTCTACGCTGGACGGGCTGGACGGGCTGGACGGTGGACGGGTTGCTCGTTCCTGGCCGTTCGCCTTGGTAGACGGCTTCCCTGCAAACGTCTTGCTGGCCTCAGGTCGCAGCACAACTTGATACACCAGTGGGGGCGACTGGCCTTGCAGTGGCGATTTACATGGCTTCCCCGTACTTGGTAGATGCGACAAAGGAGCAGTGTTGTACTCGTATACGTCTTTTCTCTCTGTTGCTTCGTCAGTCTATCCAACATACATAGGTATGGAGTAGTTACTAGCATGCGAAGTACGTAGAGCTCAGATGCGAACAAGCACCATACAGCAAGTACTGTATTAATCTATTCACTCATAGCTATAGCTTTATCTTTACTCCGTATATCTATCTTTATATCTTTACATCTATCTTTACATCTTCTTTATATATGTTATAGATTATCTGTATATATCGGAGTATGCTGACTAATGCCAAGCTAGCTGACTTCAACTTCTTCAGTGGGAGAATATCAAGAACGAATATCGAATATCAAGAACTGAAGATATTCACCCACTGACCGCACCAGACTTGGAGACTCTCTATCCATCCCGCCAGCCGGTTGGTCGGCACCCAGACAAGATGTCCTTCTTTGGATTCGACGCCACGCTCCCGGAGAACCGTCCGGCAGCGTCTGCGCAGAGGGGCATTTTTGAGGCCCCAGACCCGTTTGCGGAGGTTGCTCGCGCTACAGCGGACAGGTCGGGCTATAACGATGACGATGCGTGAGTTCTACAGCTATATTCCCAATCTATGCGCTCGTGGCATGACGCTGATCTGTTCTCCAATTTTAGAATTGACTTTGAAGATACCTACGACGGGCTTGGAGACCAGCTCGACGAGGCGAATGACGATTTCAACGACGACACGTTTGGCGATGCTGCGGGAGAGCAGAGTCAGCCGGTGGGCAAGGACTTTGATTTCTTTGGAAACACTGCTCAGATGACGAACGTCTTGGGCGAGGAACAGGTGCTGTATAACCTGCAGCACGGCTCATCCGACACCGCCGCTCGACCAGTCCTGCCTACGCTTCCCAAACGAACCGGATACGAGAAGTATCAGGATCCCGGGTACATTCCTGAGATCCAGGCAAAGTCGAGCGTATGGGGAACTACAGCTACGCAGAAAGCAAAGGCGGCACCCGAGCCAGCTCAAAAAGAGCAGCCAGCTCCTGCGCCTGCTGAACCGCCGAGGAAGATGCTTAGCTTGGAAGAGGTGGAGGCCCAGATGCGGATGCAAGCTATGAGACCACCACCGCAACAGCAGCAGCAGCAGCAGGAGCAGAGCCAACCGCCGCCCCAGCACTTTCCGGGTGCCATGCTCCCTACAGGCATGCCACCGATGCCATTTCCCCATCAACATCAACCCCCGCACCATCTAGATGGACATGGACATCTCCCCGCTGAAGAATTCCCTGGTGTTGATAGACACCAACAGTATCACCCACCTCATGGCTTCCAGCAACAGCAACCACCTCGGCAGCACCCTGAACGCCCAATGCCAGGCCCTAACTTCCCTCTGCATCTTCTACAGCAGCAGCAGCATCATCAACAGCATCAACAGCATCAGCAACATCGACAACCCCCTCATCAGCAGCGACAGGGTGCATCTGCCCGTCGACCTCAGTCACAAGGACCGTATGCAATGGATCACCCAGTGGCAGCTCATGGGGATATGCCTGCAGCAATGAACCCAAAGATAATGGAGCTGCCGGAAGAACAGAGGAATGCAATTCTAATGGAAGACGCAAAACGTGCGAAGAGGAACCACAAGATATTCCTCCTTTCAAAGGGGAATGGTTTGATGACGCCTCAGGATAAGAACTTTATTACTCGAATACAGCTACAGCAACTGGTGACGGCCACAGGTAACACCGGTGACGCAAACCCAGAATCTCTTCTCACCGAAGATTTCTATTACCAGGTATACAGCCAAATCCGCGGTGCTCCCCGTCAACATCCTCGACAACCCCTCGGCCACTTTGCACAGACATACCTATCTCAGACTGGTGGACGTTCCGGTGGTAATATGAACAGAAAATCCCATTACAGCGGTGACAACCATATGCAACGCATGCAGCAGCAAGTACAGAGGGCCGTGGAAGCAGCTAAACTAAAACCCAAGAACAAACAACTCATCCTTGAAGGAAGTCTGGGGAAGATATCATTTAGTAATGCCAAGACCCCCAAGCCGTTGCTCAACATCAAGCGTCCGGAGAGCTCTGACGGCCAGCGGCCATCAACCGCAAAGAAAACGCAGCTCAGCCCGAGTGACCGCAAGTCAATTCTCCAGAACATCGAGAGTGTGTATACCATATTGATGAAGATGGAGAACCTTGAGCGCCTCATGCCACCACCCCCTAACCCGGAAGAGGACGATGAAGAAGCCGTGGAACGACAAATGGAATGGAAGCGAAAGATACAGTCGCTAAAAGAGATATTATGGGAAAACACCAAGGTTTTGGAGCCAATAGACTCAGTAGCAGCTACCATCCACCCATTCGTTGCATTCTTGTCGTATCCAAAGGGCAAGAAAGCCGTCCCCCGAATCTTCCACCAAATCGACCAGGAGCAGCGCATCACGATGCTAACCATGATCATCTACCACTTGGATACCCTAGACGTCGTATCCAGAGCCCAACTTCAACCAGGCGAATCCCAACCACCTGGACCCGTGCGTGAAGAGATCGATTTATTCCACCAGGCTGTAATGCCTAGCTTACTAGGATATGTGACCGAAGCTCCGATCCACATCGTCATCGGCCTGCTCGGATTGGTTATTGATAAAACGCACGTCCACACCGTGGCGAGGACGAAAATTGGCCTTGGAATTTTGACCATGTTGTTGAGTCGCGCAGAGCTGGTCAAGGAAGCCGGTTCCGTCCCAGAGCAGGAATTGATGCAGTGGACTAAGGTTTATAACCGATTGTTTGACAGCCTGGAGCCTACTCTTGCCTACATCTTCCCTGGCACGATCAATAGCGGTGATGACATGTATGTTTGGCAATTCCTTGCTGCTATGGGTATTGGTGCAAGCCCAGAGCAGCAGCAGCGGTTGGTCATTGCTGTCAAGTGAGTACTCCCACCTCCAAAGTCGCTCCCTTACCGTGCTACAATAATTATACTAACCCATCTCCATCATAGGGATCGAGTCATGGAAACCGTCGCTCAAAGCAAAACGCTACCAGCAGACATGGCGAGCCAGCGTTTGGGCAACGTCAACCTGTTCATGCGTGCTATTGGGCTTGACGTTGAACTCCTAGGATAATCATTCTACGTTTATCCCCTCAGCTTCTTTGCCTCTTTTTTCTCTGTTTTCTTTTTCACTCTTCTTTTATTTGCGAAATGTAACCGTGTCGTCTAACGCTGCACCCGGTCTGCTATCTCATATTACGTTTATTTGATATTGACATGAACTTGGGCATTATACCCCCCTGTTTTTCTCCACCGGCTACATTTCCTTTCCTAGAGAAGGGTGCATATGATACTTAGCTCCGAGGCTTAGTGGTATAGGTCATTGGCATGGTTGCGGGCTATTGCTACATATTATTGGTAACTGGAAGATACTACAAAAATTATGAAATGGACGATGTACATTTGGGAGTTCTGCCGAAAATCATGCCATCGTAACGTGAATATTTAGGAAATATTACAAGGTACATTCTCTCATCACACTACAAGCCCACAAGCCCATTACAACGCTGCTGAATACGGAGAAGAAATCACTGGCATCTCTCGTACCCACATCGGTTCCTCCCTCTCGACCTCCTGAATCATCCAGTTCGCCCAATCCCTCCGTTCCAAGTAGATGGTCGATTTACCGTCCCCAACCCAGCCTGCCTGCGCCACACGGCCATCCTCTTTCGAATCCCCAAGCACACCTACCCTATAAAGCGTCCAATCCAACCCCTCGCCGTCCTTCTTGAACACGTCCCCAATACCGAGAATCTCCTTTTGCGCTCGACGGCCTAGCAGGTGCACGGTCCAGTACGCGGCTGATCTCATGAAAGTAAATCTATCACGTTCATCATAAGCGCTTATCGTTGACATGGCAATTATACGACGAACGCCATGCTCGTGCATCAATTTGATAATTAGACGGTATCCATCCGTGAATTGGCGGCCGTAGTCACCGAAGATGTTCTTAGGGCCGATGGATGATAGGATTGCATCCTGGCCCTTGATGGCTGCAGAGAGGGAGGGTTCATCGGATAGAGAACCTTCGAATATTGCCTTAAAAGGAATCAGTAGATATCCGAGCATGTTTTGTCTGGAAAATGGAAGAAGTAGAAGTCCTACCGTGACTTTATCAGAGCTTGAGATATCTTCTGGCACTCTGCTTTTATCCCGGACATGAAGCGTCACTTCATGGCCATGCTCGATCGCCTTTCGGGCTGTCAACTTGCCAACTGCACCTGTAGCTCCGAATATGAGCAGTTTCATGGTCTAGGAGGTTGATCGAGAGTTCGATCGGTGTATGGTTGTTATATAGACGGGTTTCGTAACTGTGCACTGCGTAGGGATCCGCGCCAACTATTCTCCTTCTCATCAACTTCTAGCTGATTTCTGAGGTTCGCTTTTATACTAAATTGTTCCACCGCGTCTGTAGTGTTCTTCTGGCGCCGCTAGTTGCGAGTATATTTAAGCCGCCGTCGATGTATGCTTGCTCGCAGCCTGGTTCAGTGAAGTAGTAGCTGTGGTTACTTCCTTTGACATCCTAATAAGCTGTCTTATATAGCCCAGCCGCTATAAATCAGGTATCCATGCTGATAGTTATCAGAGACCTGAAACGCCCTTGTGTCGTCATATGCGGCTCGGAAATAGTTATAGTTGGCGTAACTAGTAAGCGCATCCTTTAGTAACGTATATCAAGCGCCCGGCGTATCTCGAAATACCCCGCCTCCTGGCCGCGTCAAGCAGTTCAAACTCGCATCTTCTACACATCTTCTACACATCTCCTCACGATCACTACCATGGCAACTGGATCTGTTCTTGTTACGGGGTAAGCATGTCATATTTATAATGCTCGTTGCTGCCATTGACTGACTTGCTGTTGCACGTCTCAAGAGGGACGGGCTATATCGGGTCCTTCACGGCCCTCGCCCTGCTCGAAGCAGGATACAAAGTGGTTGTTGTCGACAACCTGTACAATTCCTCACAGGAAGCCCTTAACCGGATTGAATTGATCTGCGGAAAGCGCCCAGAGTTTGTCGAGCTCGATGTTAGAGATGAGGGGGCATTTGATAAGGTCTTCGACGCGCATCCGGATATTGACAGCGTGATTCACTTCGCTGCTTTGAAGGTTAGTCATTTAGCGGGCATAAAGCGTGATAACCTGGCTTGTTCTATCTGCAGGCCACCGTAGATACCGTTGCTAACTCAATTGGATAGGCTGTTGGAGAGTCCACCGAACGTCCGCTAGATTACTACGACATCAACGTCCATGGTTCACTCTGCCTGTTACGCTCGATGGTGCGCCACAATGTATACAACATTGTCTTCTCGAGCTCAGCAACCGTGTACGGCGACGCCACGCGTTTCCCAAACATGATCCCAATCCCAGAGGAATGCCCCCTGGGCCCAACGAACCCATACGGCAACACCAAGGTAGCGATTGAATCCGCTATTACCGATGTTATCAACGCGGAGAGAACTAGAGCGCGGAAGGCTGGAAAGCCAGAAAATGCGGAGAAGTGGAATGCCGCTTTATTGCGGTACTTTAATCCCGCTGGTGCTCACCCCAGCGGAATCATGGGTGAAGATCCTCAGGGTGTTCCATATAACTTGCTTCCTCTCCTAGCTCAAGTTGCAAACGGAAAGAGAGAAAAACTCCTCGTGTTCGGAGATGGTATGAATTGCCCCCCAAAAAAAGAACTTTTGATATATTTTGTTCGGCCGCTAACTAAGAGCTTAGATTACGCATCTCACGATGGCACTGCTATCCGTGACTACATCCACATTCTAGATCTTTCAGCTGGCCATCTTCAAGCTCTCAACTATCTTCGCGCAAATCACCCCGGTGTTCGTGCCTGGAATCTAGGGACTGGTAAAGGAAGCACCGTTCTCGAAATGGTCAAGGCCTTCAGCGCCGCTGTTGGACGAGACCTGCCTTACGAGGTTGCTCCTCGCCGTGATGGAGACGTTCTGGACCTTACCAGCAATCCCTCAAGAGCTAACAAGGAACTTGGATGGAAGGCTCAACGAGACCTCCACCAGGCTTGTGAGGACTTGTGGCGATGGACGGACAATAACCCTCAAGGATACCGACAGAGTCCGCCTGAAGAGCTGCTTGCGAAGCTGAAAGCAAAATAAACGCAGAGACAATAGAGTAAAGACATATGCGCAAAAGGGTTGAATACAGGTGTTGCAACGTCTAAAGCGCTTTCTAGTTGTATGTTTAGATTTTGATTTGCCCACTCCGTTTGCAAAAGGAACGCGAAGGAATATCTGCTAGTGATAATGACATTACGGCTATGGGTGTACATACCAGCGGTTATGGTAAGGCTACTAAATGGATAGGAAAGGTCCAGAGAGGCATTGCGGCATTCGGAGTGAACCTACCCAGTATATACCATCAACTGTGTTTACACACCCCTTTTAGTTTCTAGATTTAACCATATATCATGACTCAGTAAGCTCATTTCTTTTTCTTTGCCTCTGCTGGCTTCTCATTCTCTTTTGAAGAGGGTGACTTTTTCTCCTTCTCCTTCCCCTTTTCTTCTTCTGCCTTCGCTTTCTTCTCCATTGCCCTGAGAAGAGCGGCTTCTTTTTCCTTGTGCTCAATCTGCCGCTGGCTAAACTCCCACAGCTCTTTACCCACTTTCTCATCCATTATTTCACTTCGGAGAATCTGGCGTTCTTTGCATTCTTTCAAGAGGGTTCCGCCTTCGATCCCAACCTTTTTACGGCCAGTCATGTCACTATTTTCACCAGCCATATTCTTGACCTCATCAAGACTAATGACAGCCGTAATTCCCACGCCACTAAAGTTGGCCTCCATTGCAGCCATAAGAATGCTCTGTGCACCTTGGTCAGATGATTTGAGTACAAGCCACCATACTGGCCAGGTTATGAGATAAAACAAAAGACCCCATAAGGACCCTCCGCTTAGCCATCGACGGGTTCCGGGTGTTCTGCAAAATCCCGGGTCGACAACCAAAACGCGAGCGGGCGGTGGCGGGAGAGGGTTGTTTTGTTTGTCGGTTCGTGGGGTATAAGTTAAATGTTGTTGGAATGAGCGTGCAAATATCATTAACGCAAGCTTAGATGTCGCATACATGCTGCTGCTTGTTACCAGCGCTTCAGGCCCATTTTTGATCTTTTTGTTCGCTGCTGCTCCCGTCGATGATTTGCTAGGAGGCTGGGCAACGGTTGCTTTTTCTAAAATCTTCAAGTCTAGCTTATTGGCGCCGATATAGCTCGAGCAGGTGGTGAATATAATTCGTACATCGCGGTCGGGCGGTTGTGCTCGTAGAGCGGGGCTCAAAATGCTCAGTAAATGATAGTTTGCAAGGTAGTTTATCTGCCATTCCTCCTGTAGCCCCTCGCTTGTTCCGTAAGACGCCCGAGAGGAGGATGGCTTTTGAGTATTCGCGCAAAGGACAACCATATCAAGCCGCCGCACCGGGCTGTTATCGATCCATTTTGTCGCAAACAGTCGGATGGAATAGAGCGACGCAAGGTCTACTTGTTCAGCGTATATGAGTTCGTTGCCAGTTGACGTACGAAGATCCTCAATGTAATCGACAATAAATGGGTCAGAGGGAGAGTGTTGCGTAAGTAATATCACTTGAGCACCCCGAGTTGCAAGATCCTTTACGACTGCCGCACCAATGCCAGATGTCCCGCCCTATTTCTCAATAATGAGGTAGTTAGCTTAAGGGGTACAGCAGCAGGTAATGTAATTTGCAGAGTTATCCATACCGTAACCATAACCACCTTGGAGTGCATTACTCGATCTGCCACATTCCTGGCTCCCCCAAAGTATCGTTTTAATGCCGTTACCGCGATAAGACCCGCTGCTGTTTTCAGCGCGGTATATCCATAAGGAATGCCCGAAAGGCCGCGGGAAGCGCCTTCAGCAAGAAGAGGCAGAGGCATAACGTCGATTGTTTGTTTTCCAATGCAAGGCTAGGTATCGAAAAATCGATCTATACTGAAATGCTCATTCTATGGGTGTTCGAGACGCTGCACGGAAACGTGTGGATTTGAAAAACGCTGTGTGGCGAGGGTGTCGAATTGATGCTTCGTAACTCGTTGGCAGTCCGTAGAGAAATCAAATTTGGTTCTGGGAGGTAAATAACAGTCGAATTGAAGCCGTCTGCGTGCTGCGGAGATTACAATATAACTGAACTGAGCCGGAGATAAATAATATCATGGAAAGTTGGAATCGACTTACATTTAAGGTTATTATGTAATCAACAGCAACCTTTTGGGCCTCAAACATTAAACTGAGCGCTTTGAAGAAGTGAAGGACTTTGTTCGTGCTATCATCAGCCTGGCCACCGGAGAGCTACAGGATAATGGCCTCTGACGGCGATGAGTACTCGATGCCAGCGGCCTTTGGTGCCGGGATTAAAAGAAAGCGCGTCCCGTTCGTCCCATCTAGAGACACGGCCACTCTATCAACGACCTCCGCTCCCGCAACAGTATCCTCGTCGCCCGCTCCAGGTGCTTCATCTATAGCTGAAAAATATCTCTCTATAGTGCTTCCATCAAGTAGTCGGTCAGATATTGGCTCGACTACCAATCACTCCACAGACACAGAGCTATGTGAGATCTGCCGCCTCCCTCTTAAAGACATTCCCAAGCGGCGGAAGCCCGTGAACGAAGAAGAGCCCGAGATTTCGGTCAGCGAACTACCCGAATATACACCGCATGAAGCTTCTCTGGCGCATCAAGTGTGCCTGCCGCACTCTCACCCGCCTTCTGCCATAGATAGGACTGGAACAGGCTTCAGGTACCTCTCCTCGTATGGATGGGATCCTGATTCTCGCACAGGTCTTGGACCAACTGGATCAGGTATACAAATTCCACTTAAGCCCAAGATAAAAAACGATACGGTTGGGCTAGGAGTGGGATCGTGGAGGGATGAAGTAGAGAACGATGGAGGGAAACGACAGAAACGGCGCCTTAAACTACTACAGGAAAAGGAGGAGGCTGATAAGGTAAAGAATGCACGGAAACTCAACGCAAAGCAAGTTCGGCTGCAAGAGGAAGAGAAGAAGAAACGTGGGGAGAAATTACGGGACGCATTTTACCGGATTGAGGATATGGAGAAATATCTAGGGAGGTGAGCAAATAATTGTATCATTTTATCGAGAGTTAGAATAATACACCTTAAATTAGCACTAGCGCATTAATATTCTAACAATATTTATTATAAGTTCTTGAGGATTAAACGTTGTAAGGTTTCGAGGGTCTGGAGTTGATTAATTGGAGTAACTATGTGTACGGAGTATTATCATCAGACACAAACTATGCTAGGCAACCAGTTACGCCATGCCAAAATCAAAATCCTTGCAAGTGGTAAAATAGATGGTATCAAAAAAGTTGAAAATGCCATGCTAAGGGGAAAGCAAATATCAGACGTGCGGGTATAGTGGCCAGGGCAGCTGGAAGAAATAGAGAATACTTACACCAATCCTCTCACCGGCTCCTTTACTTAAAGAAATGACGTTTCTTCTTTTCCTTGTCCTTTTCCTTTTTGGCGGGTTTACCGCTTGAAGAAGGTGGAGCAGCAGCGGCGGGAGCGGGAGGCGCCCCCGGTGTCCCATTTGCTGGCTTTCTTTTGATAGCCTCAGGGCCATTGTTGAGGTTCATCGACGCCATTCCGCCGACCGGAGGGGCAGGAGCCATGGGCTTGGGAGCTGGCTCTCTCTCAAACAGGTGGGCTGGGGCCTGCGGTTTGGGTCGTTCCGCGGGTAGATCCAGTCGTCTTTTGTCAACACTTAGATCTCTCAATTGTCGTAAGAATAGACCTGGTGTGAACATGTGAGAGGTTGCGAGGAAAACATCCTTGTTGGTTTGCTGGGATAACTCATAGCAGCTTCTCGCTTCCGAATAAGTCGCGCCACCAGCCATGAATACGATAATTCGTTGACGGGGGTCGCCGGCAACTGGTCGAGTGCGCGCCCATGTTGGTTTCGCGCTTCGTAGGGAAGACTGAGCCACCTGGTCCTGAGGCGAGCTGTCATCTTCTAGATAAGGGCGTGTGTACGGGAATACGGTGGTGTCCAGTGTGCCACGTATTTGTTCCTGTAGCATTGATTTGATGTTTGGTTCAAATCGCGATATGCTAACATCATCTTCTTGTGGCTGCTGTGGTAGCTTATGTGGAAATAACGGCTGAGCCGGTGGCTTTGGATCCTTGAGAGGCTTTTCTACTCTTGCCCCTAGAAGACCAAGATTATAGATAGCTTCCGCATCTTGCGGGGGAAGCTGTGAATGTGCGAGAAGTTTCTTGATGTCACCAGCGAGGAGCCCACCACGGTAGCAAACATATAGCAGAATCAGCCTCAATCTTTCAGAAGGCCCCGCAGATTCGTGGTCAAGAAGGCGGACGAGTTGTTCGGCAATGTTTTTAGGTTTCCGAAAATCTTCGTCAACTCCGGTAGCAAGTGATTGCTCGACTGTCGCGATCTCTGCAAGATTCCGTTCCTGGAATAGACGCATTGTTTCTTGGGCCATGTTAAGGTGGAGTGTATATGCATTCTTGCCCTCTTGGAAGTCTGACAAGCCAGCAAGCATATCCTTGACTGTATTGACGGAAGTTGGGTGATCGCTTATTAGAAGGGGAGAGTTAGAAGAACAGGATGGATGAATGGAAGAGGTATCAAGGGCGGTTAGCTCTCACCTGTCAGCAAATTGGGGATTCTGGGCTCTGAATTTTTTAAAATCTTCAGCAAGTTTCCCCAGTAGGTCCTTCATATGTAGATGTCGGCTCTCCACCCAAATTTTATCGCCTTCAGTGATATCCATATCCTTGGTCTCTTCATTCTCCTGCCCTTGGTTTAGGACAGTCCGGTAAGTCAACTTGTCACCTTCCTTTATTGGGAGAAGATCATGGCCCATGGCTTGATATGTAAATTCATGGACTAATGGTGCGGCAAGATCCATGGATCGATCAGTAATGAAGAGCACACCCCTGGGCCTCGGGGATGGTGTTGGATAATCTCTTCGATGTTTAGCATACTCGTCCAGCTCTTCTTGTACAAAACGAGCTAGATGAGAACATAGGACGCTGGCTTCATGAGAGGCATCCTTCGGCCGAAAGTATCGGATAAGAGGGTACTCGTTCAGGGATACACAAACAGAAACGATCTGACGTGTATTAGCTTCACAAACCTAACATTGACTGGTTAAAGGGTATCTTAGCAAACCTTTTGTGCTAATTCTGTAAGGTGACCCCTCACAAGGTTATTGCACGCAGGATGGAAGAGCGTAAGGAAGCTCCAGGGGTCACGGAAGATAGCCAAACGAGACTCTCGAGGAAAGTAATTGATATTTATCACTTGCATATTGGCAATCAACTCTCTTGAAGCGCTGAAACCATTGATTCTACTTCTTAGTTGAGGGTCAAGATCTAAAATAGCAGGTGTGAGCGGGTGGTCGAGTTTAGGGGGCGTGGTATGGATTGATATCCTACTTGATGTCCAAACCAAGAAATATCTCCGATAACGGCGCCTCTCAAGGTCCGCCATAACACAGTCAACGATATGGGGGAGAGATGATAGGATGTATAAGGCATCTGTATCCTTGTTCTGCGGCCTCCGGTGTTCGATCTGTTCAATATCTTTGCAAGCGGTGAGCTGGTTGGCGTTTGTATCAGGGCCTGGAACTTCGCATACTGGTAACATTTTCGTTCAAAATGTCGTCTTCCTTGACAGCGTTATCGATCAATTTCCTGCTTGCCTCGTCCACCACAAGCACTTTCCACTTGATGGTGTTATCTTAGCCCCACGCCTTTGTATATAGAGTCGGTGGACGCTTACTTCTCTTCCTCCAGCATGGCGAACAGTTTCCAGGATAGCTAGATGACAGGAGTTAGCATTCCAGTCCTCGGATGATGGCCCAGCGAAAAGGGTGAAGGCTGCTGCTCACCCTGGCGTTGAACCTCGATCAATGAGGCATCCATCTTGTTAAACAAGAGACCATGCGCCCCTGTAAGCAGCTAAACCACTTGCTATTGAGTAACCCTCTCTTATTCACTCTTGTTCAAGGAGGATCGCAGGTTCGAATATTCACCAGAAGCTCCAGCAGTCGGTCCCAGCCAACGTGTCAACTAGTTTGTTTATCCTTGAGACATCGCCAGAGCTTCGCCGTGACTTCATATCCCACTCGCCGATCTTCCTCGCTTTTTGGAATAAGCGCGTGTTTCACGGTCCACCGCCTGCTTAGTCATTATATCACTGGGTTTAACCGCGTCACGTGGATATCATTGACGCCTCTTCTTTTTTTTTATATATGGGAGCTTCAACTTATGGCAACGGTTGGAACTGCGTTCGATGACGGCCCTTCTCCTGAACATACTCAATTAGCTTGAGAGCTAGTCTACGGATCTATCGCGGGAATGCAATCATGGCGGCGGCCGGCTCAAGGGTTATGCCTTCGTTGCGCTTTGCGCGTGCCGACCTCTATATCAAGCCGGAGCTTCAGCGGATCCGTACCGCACGACAAACCAAAGATCACGGTCTTGAAAGGACGCCCTGGATGGGGTGGCTTTGATGGGGCTGGTAATAGGAGGACAAGGGGAGGAAATAAACACGAACAAGGCGGAGATAGGAGCGGGAAGGTGAGCGTTATAAAGTACTTCTTTTCTCTATAGAATATCCAAGCTAACCACCTTTTATATGCACGATAGCCATGGAAACCCAAAGGCCCAAGTGCTATAAGAATGATAGGACGGAGTACCTTTGACGACCGCTTTAATCTCGCATTGACTGAGTGTCTGGAAACTATTAAAAAAGGACTAGAACAGACAGCATCGGAACTCGCCTCTTGGAATAAATTTCAAGCCTCCGTCATCAAAATTTGCAAAGAAAGGTCCCTTTTAAAAGACGACGATGGGAGGCAATTCGAACAGAAAGTTTCTCTGCGGCGGATGTTTGGAAAGCAAGGGTCCAGTGGAATGATTCAATATCTGGAGAGACTGTATCGGGATTACAAGCTTGACAAATTATTCTCACCGATAGCCACAGGACAAGACACCTTAGCGGACTTTAGATTCCCTCCGGAATGGTATCCTGTTGCTCGGAGCATGCAGAGGAAGATCCACCTCCATGTTGGGCCCACCAACTCGGGGAAAACTTACCATGCCCTTCAAAAGCTGGAAAAGGCAAAGAGTGGCTTCTACGGTGGCCCGCTACGTCTTTTAGCACATGAGATATACACTCGTCTAAACAAGAAGGGCATCTCATGCGCTCTGATCACTGGCGACGAGGTTAGAGTCCCAGAAGGCGACCGTGTAACGATTTTCAGCAACACTGTGGAGATGGTGCCCATTGGCCAAGAGGTCGAGGTTGGGGTTATTGACGAAATTCAAATGATAGCGGATCCAAATCGCGGGTGGGCTTGGACTCGAGCTGTTCTAGGGTGTCAGGCTAAGGAGTTACATCTTTGTGGTGAGGAGAGAGCTGTTCCGTTAATTCGACAGCTCGTGTCGTTGATGGGTGATACGCTTGAAATTCATAATTACAAGCGACTTAATCCCTTAAAGACAATGACGTCAAGTTTAAAAGGTGATATCAAACGCCTAGAGAAGGGGGACTGCGTTGTATCGTTTTCTCGTGTCGGCATTCACGCCCTAAAACAGGAGATCGAGAAGGCAACTGGCCGAAGGGCCGCCATCGTCTATGGAAGCTTGCCAGCAGAAATCCGTGCTCAGCAAGCGGATCTATTCAATGATCCCGATAATGACTACGATTTCCTTGTCGCGAGTGACGCCATCGGCATGGGGTTGAACTTGTAAGTCATGTTCGAACCGTCTTAAGACTTAATCGTACTAATCGCGGTTTTAGGAGTTGTAAACGAATCATATTCGACTCAGTAATGAAGCGATTACCAACAGGCATCCGGCAACTCTCGGTATCTGAAGTTAAGCAAATAGGGGGGAGAGCTGGAAGATACCGCAGTGCAGCTCAATCATCTAACTCTTTCAGCAACAAGAATGGAAAAGATAATAACGAAAACGTCGGCCTTGTAACGTGCCTTGAAGAGGGCGACCTTCGATACATCCGAGAAGCAATGATGACTGAGGCTCAACCTCTGGACGCCGCCGGGATTCTTCCCTTGGATTGTGTGGTCGAGAGATTTTCAAACATGTTTCCTCCTGACACACCATCTGGCTATATTTACAAGCGCCTAGAACGAGTTTCCCGCACCGACTCGCCTTTCTTCATGTGCCAACCCCAAGATACAGAGGCCACCTTCGGCCTCCTTGACGATATCAAAGGACTTAACATGGTGGATAAAATGGTCTTTATGAGCGCGCCTTTACGTGCCACCGATCCTGTCATGGCAATAGTTATCAAGGCATTTGCGGAGTGTGTTGGTCAGAAGAGGAGTGGGGCACTTCTCGACATACCAGAATTAGATCTTGAGATCCTGGATAAACCCGTCTCGGGAGACGATAAAGAATATCTACGATCTCTAGAGGCCCTCCATCGTTCACTTATTCTTTACCTCTGGCTAGGCTATAGGTTTGGTGGTGTGTTCGTTGACAGAACCTTGGCTACCCACGCCAAAGAAATGGTAGAGGTGAAGATGGATCGCACTTTAACGGAATTCTCAGCCAATTCTAAACTTCGGAAACAAACCCTTTGGAAAAGACGGCTCAAAGCAGCTAAGGAGAAGTTTATATCTACCCACGCCGAGGAGCCCACAGGTATCGTCGATTCGATATCCGATACCCCTGAGCTAGAAGAGACCCCTGAACAACTCGGGTCTTCTTCGGGGACGGTAGTCATGGACCACCCTATGGACATACCCGAGCCTGTAGTTACGAGCGCGTCCTAACTCTATACCGTCCGACACTTCTCATACTTTACATCCTTCGAAACGACTCTCCTCCCGCCTCTAATGTACAAAACCATGTGGCCAAGCTCTGGTAGCCTAAGCCGCACCTTACAATTCTTAATCTGCTTTGTGATACCCACTCCATCTGCAGCACTTTTTCAAAGCTATTCTTTATAATTTCCGCTCCATATCACGATTTAGACCATTCTTGTCATAGAAAAAACTATAGATTTTGATTTTGAATACACCTTCCTCGTCATTCACTATTTACTACTGTATTACCATGTAGATTACAGTTATAACACTTAAAATATCATCAAGACATGATCAAAATATGACTTGGAGAAAGCCAGAGGATGGCTTGGCGTGTAGGTGCCCGGATAACGGAGAAACTATTATCCAGATAGCTTTAATTTATCGCGATGCAGACAATCTGGAGATCGATAGCATCAGGATAAAGAGAATCGGTGGCTCGACGTCGAAACAGCCAGGATGGATGATCTCGAGTCCCTTGAGCTTCTGTCTCTTGTTTCGAGGGTAACGACTGAACTCCAAAACCACCTGGGGATTAACGAAAAGACTCTGGCGGAATTTGTGATCGATAAACATTTACAATGCAAGTCTCTCGCCGAATTCAAGAGCTCCCTAGAAGCTGTTGGGGCAGACTTTCCGCAAAGTTTGGTGGAGAGTGTGGATCGCCTGGTTTTAACAATGCATCCTAAATACAAGTCGAAGCGAGCCAAAGCGGACGAACAGAAAACCCAGCAGAATGGCCGTGACGAAGGGCTTGACGACATCGAGAGGAAAGCAAGGGTGTTTAAAGGACTTGCTGTTCCGGATAAAACTCCTAAATGGGTCGAGGAGGAAAACAGTACTCCGCTGCAGGGCAGGCCGGAGGACAAGCTGGAAGACAACACGAGCGCAGGAGCTATGGATGATACATTTGCGATGCTTGAAGGACTCGCTGGAAAGGCAAAGGCAGAGAAAAACGGGTATGCGAGCAGTCGGAAGCGGAGCAGGAGCCCCGAGGCCGATGACTACGAACGAGGTCGATCCCGTCGTGGGAAATACAGATCTAAGTCGAGATCGAGGTCACGGTCTCGCAGTGGAGACCGGTACGGGAGTAAGCACGGCCACAGGCATCGCAGGAACAGGGACGAATATAGAGAGAGGGGGCGATCAGGACGCGATTACGATGATGATAACGATTTCGCGAGACCACCTATGCCAGAACTTGACGAGCGACCAGTTCTTTTTAAAGTCTACGATGGTCGAGTGACTGGCATCAAGGATTTCGGCGTATTTGTGAATCTTAGGGGAGTTAAAGGAAAGGTTGACGGCTTGGTACATGTCTCTGCAATGCAAGAAGGTGCAAGGGTGAATCATCCGTCCGACCTCGTCTCGCGAGGACAGCAGGTCAAGGTTAAAGTTGCTTCTATCCAAGACTCAAGGATTGGGCTGTCAATGAAGGAAATTGATCAGGTTACTGGTGAGGATCTCGCTCCACAACGGCGAATTGCCTCGGGTGCGAATATGGAGAGGCTGGATGGAACTGGCGCAGACGACCGCTATGGGAACCTGGGCTCTAGCGTTCCTGTTATAGAGCATGATGCAGATACCAGGAAGAGCAGAAAACGGTTGAACTCACCAGAGAGGTGGGAAATAAAACAACTGATTGCCTCCGGTGCAGTATCTGCCGCGGATTATCCTGATCTAGATGAGGAATATCATGCTACGCTAAGGGGAGAGGCAGATTTTGAAGAGGAGGAGGATATTGATATTGAAGTACGTGAGGAGGAACCCCCGTTCTTAGCGGGCCAGACAAAACAATCTTTGGAGCTTTCGCCGATTCGTGTTGTCCGAGCGCCAGATGGTTCACTTAACCGTGCTGCTATGGCTGGAGCAAATTTGGCCAAGGAAAGGAGAGAGATCCGACAACAAGAGGCTCAGGATAAGGCCGCCGAAAAGGCTGCTCAGGTTGATCTCAACGCACAATGGCAGGATCCAATGGTTGCTCCAGAGCAGAGAAAGTTTGCCTCTGAGCTGCGTAATGCAACTACCGAAAAGACATCTGAACCGTTACCGGAGTGGAAACGAGCGGCACAGAGTAAGGATGTGTCATATGGAAAGCGGACAAACCTTTCTATGAAAGAGCAGCGTGAGAGCCTCCCGGTGTTCAAGTTCCGGAAGCAACTACTCGAAGCTATCCGAGAAAACCAGCTACTCATTGTTGTGGGTGACACCGGGTCTGGAAAGACAACGCAGGTCACACAATACCTCGCCGAAGGTGGATTCGCAAATAACGGCATGATTGGATGTACACAACCTCGACGAGTGGCCGCGGTGTCCGTCGCCAAACGTGTGTCTGAAGAGGTTGGCTGCCAGTTGGGTCAGGAGGTTGGATATACCATCCGTTTCGAAGACTGCTCTAGCCCTAACACAAAAATCAAATATATGACGGATGGTATTCTTCAAAGAGAGATTCTGTTGGATCCGGATTTAAGAAAATATTCTGTTATAATGCTTGACGAAGCCCACGAGAGGACGATCGCTACCGATATATTGTTTGGGTTGCTGAAAAAGACAATTAAACGGAGACCTGACCTCAAACTCATCGTTACGTCGGCGACCCTTGATGCAGATAAATTCTCAGAATATTTTAACGGCTGTCCGATCTTTTCTATTCCTGGAAGGACTTATCCCGTCGAAATTATGTACTCAAAAGAGCCCGAAACCGATTACCTGGATGCTGCTTTAGTTACAGTGATGCAAATCCACCTCACAGAGCCAGCTGGGGATATCCTTTTGTTTTTGACAGGAAAGGAAGAAATCGACACCAGTGCGGAAATTTTATATGAACGAATGAAAGCATTGGGCCCCAACGTGCCTGAGCTTGTTATTCTCCCTGTTTACTCTGCGCTTCCAAGTGAAATGCAGAGTAAAATTTTCGAGCCAGCTCCTCCAGGGGGGAGGAAAGTGGTTATCGCGACGAATATTGCTGAAACGTCAATTACAATAGATCAAGTTTACTATGTCATTGATCCTGGGTTTGTGAAACAAAATGCTTATGATCCGAAATTGGGCATGGATTCGTTAGTAATTACACCCATTTCGCAAGCTCAGGCTAAACAACGAGCTGGTCGCGCTGGAAGAACAGGACCCGGTAAATGCTTTCGGTTATACACAGAGGCTGCGTACCAATCTGAAATGTTACCTACATCCATTCCAGATATTCAGCGTCAGAACCTTACCCAGACAATTCTTATGCTTAAGGCAATGGGCATTAACGATCTCTTACACTTCGACTTCATGGACCCTCCTCCAACCAACACTATGCTTACGGCTCTTGAGGAACTATATGCTCTTTCAGCTCTTGATGATGAAGGACTGCTAACCCGTCTTGGTCGCAAAATGGCTGATTTCCCCATGGACCCTGGTCTAGCAAAAGTCTTGATTGCATCTGTCGACATGGGTTGTTCTGATGAGGTGCTGACCATCGTAGCTATGCTTTCCGTGGCTCAAGGTATATTCTATCGCCCCAAAGAAAAACAACAGCAGGCCGATCAAAAGAAAGCAAAGTTCCATGACCCTCATGGCGACCATCTTACTCTCCTCAACGTTTATAATGCGTGGAAACAATCACGGTTTAGCACCCCTTGGTGCTTTGAAAATTTTATTCAGGCTCGCCAAATTCGTCGTGCGCAGGATGTACGTCAACAGCTAGTCACCATCATGGATCGGTACCGTCATAAAATCGTGTCTTGTGGCCGAGATACCACGAGAGTGCGCCAGGCATTCTGTTCCGGCTTCTTTAGGAATGCGGCTCGTAAGGATCCGCAGGAGGGATACAAGACCTTAATTGAGGGCACACCCGTATATATGCATCCCAGCTCAGCTCTATTTGGGAAAGCCGCCGAGCATGTTATATTCGATACACTTGTTCTCACGACAAAAGAATACATGCAGTGTGCCACTACAATTGAACCAAAGGTATGTTATGATTTCTTTCTTACCATGCCTTAAAAAATATAAAGCCGACGACTTTCTATCTTTGGATATGTACTAACGATTCTTTAGTGGCTTGTCGAGGCAGCACCAACGTTCTTCAAACAGGCGGGTACCAACAAACTATCCAAGAGGAAAAGAGCCGAGCGCATCCAACCGTTGCATAACAAGTTCGCAGGCGAGGATGACTGGCGACTATCCGCTCAACGACGACAAGGTCGTGGTGGAGGTGGTGGAACCTGGGGATAAAGGCAGAGGCACCACGCTATACATAATTTCTCCCAGCTATATGAGCCATGCCTACCCATTTTTAATCCCTATTCTTCTAGCAAAATTATAATCTTTGCGCCGCTCATGTTTTCAAAAACTCTAGCGTTCTAAGAAAATGTACAATTATATGGTGTTATTAGAGCTGACCAGGTGTGTTGGTTGGGTTTCTTCCACAGCGGTTTTTTTTGGTCTTAAAGGAGGGAAATGCTACAGTTTTTGGCTATAAGAAAAAAACAAAACACATCTGCTGCCTTAGTTTTTCTTAGTTCACGAGTACTATACACTTGAGATTTGTATTGACGGCTACAGGTTACCCCCCTCCAGGATATATTTCATTTATTTACAACTAGAGCAAGGCACTATAAAAATCCTTAGGGACTAGGAGATTTTGTAACTGACAAAGTGTACTTCATTCTAGTAGTTATCGTGTCAGAATAGTTTACTTTGACAGTTTATCTCTTCCAAGGCAGAACAAATGAATATGAATAACAAAGAAGGTGGTACATAAGAGGTATCAGTTATTGATACTAATGCCAATATCAATATTCCGTGCCTGCGGGGCAAGTGTGGAATGAACCCATCCGGATCAATCATTTGCATAAGGTGAACAACGTGGAAAAAAGCCTGTAGAGAAAGGATAATAATGAAAGCACGGTACAGGCAATTGTTGAAAATAAGAAGCAAAGCAAGATAAAATGAAATAAGTTAGAAGTCACAAAGGATCACAAAGGGGAGAGCTGAACTGACGAGGTGCAAATGACAAAGTAAAGAAACTAAAACGACAGCACATAGCATAAAAATCAAAAATTCAGATCATTGGACATTCAGAAAGGCATACAACAAGAGTAGGAGTTCATAACAGGACCTATACGAAATTGCAGACCAGCCCAGACCCGCGCATCACAAGGATAAGAAAAAGAAGCAAGGAAGGTAGAAGAAGGGAAAACGCGAATTAACCAAGCATGCAAGCCCATTAAAGCATCAATAGCTATACAGCTAGATGAATATGAGTATATCCAACTAAAGAAGGGGAGGAAGAAGCGGAAATTAAAGCTGGTAGCAGGCCTTTAGTTGCTAATATGATTCACGGCGAGTAATTTAGAGATAAAAAGTGACACTTTTCTACTCTAGGCAAGGTGGGTTTAACGATAGGGAGGTCCCATCATCCCTGAACCGCCCCTATTGCCCATGTTCCCATCGCCTGGCCCTCCACCATGTCCTGTGAACATATCAAGCAATTGCCTGGAAGACGGTTGGTGACCAGCTACTCCTTGTTGCGGTCCGGCGCCGAAGTGGGCTGGGTGGCCGTGAGAAAGCCCCATCATAGCCTCGGGGTTATGAGGCATGGGTGGGAATGCTGATGGCGGAGGGTGGTTCATGGTTACATATCCAGGCGGTGGAACAATTCCGGGTGGCGGTCCAAAGTTGGCTGGGCCACCACCTCCGGGGCCACGCTGGAAGGCTTGACGGTCGTTTGGTGGTGGCATTCCACCTGGCATCGGCATTTGCGGGACGGGGGGGAAATTTGGGTTGATATTGCGATTAGGAGGTGGATTAGGCATTCCAGGACCAGGACGTCCAATAAACTGAGCCGATGCCCCTTGCTGCATTTGCTGGGGGTTTGGCCATCCTCCTGGAGAAGTAACTTGCTCGAGCCCTGGTGGACGTTGAAGGCCCATCGTTGGCTGAACGGCAGACTGCGTACGAAGGCCAGGTGGATTGGCAGGAGTGTGGCTTCCGCTTGAAGGGCCTTGAAATTGCATTTCTTCGAAATATCCAGCAGGACCGCCGGTTGGCCTACGACGCAGTTGATTTCTTGGGTCGTTCGCCTCAGGGCGTTGCATGTTTGCGATTGCTGGATCATCAAAGTACAATGGGCTCTTCTGTTTCGGCAAATCCTGGTTCCTAGGCTGCATATCAGGCATGTTCTGGATACCTGGATTCTGCAGTGGTGCATGCGATGGCATCTGTCCCTGGTGAGATGGACCAATTTTTGCCTGCTGCATTAGGCGAAGCAGGAGATTGGTATCATGGGGAGAAGGCTTGGATTCTTTTGGTGCCTTTTGTGCGAGTAATTGCTCGAGCCCAGGAGGAACTTGTTCACGCGGAGCCTCGGGGAAGCCCATGTACGGCTGTCGATTAACAACATCGCGATGTGGGGAGGCGGTGGGTACAGGTACATGGCTAAAGTCTTGTTGGCTCTGCTGCGGTGGTGTTGCTTTTGGCCGAATCATATCTTCTGCCTGAGGGGTGGAGTTCCTAGACTTGTTACCCCCAAGGAGCTGTAAGATTCGCTGAAAGCCCTCCTGATCAGCATCCGTTGATACTGGGCGCCCTGGTTGAGGCGCTGTAAACTCTGCCTCTTTAGCTGGCTCCGTCGGTGCATTGAAGAATCCAGCAAATCTAGAGGACTTGGCTGGCTTTGCAGCCTGGGCTTCCCTCATAGTAGGACCGGCGGTGGCATTACCATATGCTCCTGGGTCTTGGGTAGGTTTAGGTCCTCCCCAAGGTCCAAAAAAGTCATCAAACCCCGCGTCAGTTTTATAAGATGGCTCGAGGCTCGAAAACATCTCTCCATCAGTTCGCCTCGTTTCGGCTGGTTTGGCTTCAACACTGGTGATTTCTGGGGAGGCTTTCTTCTTCGTTTCATCCGACTGTTGAGCGCCGCCAGTCTTCATTCTTTCCTTCCACCTTTGGAAATCCTCTTGAGTATGAGCCTCCTTTTGCTCTGATTTATTGGACGAGTCTAGCCATTCTGGATCTTGTTCGTGTTTCGTAGGTCTGTTCCAGTCTCTGTCTCTCTCCTGGCCTTGTACTCCTCGACGCCACTCCCGGTTCCTTACAGGGGTTTTCTCCTCTTCGTGGTCAGCATTTTCTTGGGTATCTCCATCACGGAACCAGGAAGGATGGTCGTGTCTTCCTTTACCCTGGGCATCCCGGCGGTTAGGATACTTCCCTTGCTCGCCACGATGACCCCGATCATTTCCAGCGTCTTGTTGATCACGATGTTCTCTGAAGTCCCGGCTATCCCATCTGTCTCCATCTCGCTTCACCCTTCTGTCACTGTTATCTTCCTGGCCAAATGTTCGCCTTGGCCTACCCCCCCAATCCTCCTTATCATCACGGCCGTTTCTTCGACCGTTGGTGAGATGAGATTTGGAGTCCCTCTTGTCTGCATCCCTATCTCTATCACCCGCATCTTTATCCTTCAAAAATTTGTGGTCACGATGCGGGAAGCGGTCAGATTTGGTACCATCGACATCTGGGGATTTCAAACTGTTATATCTATCAGGGTCACTAAATTTGCCAAAGCCCCTCGTCGACGAAGCAAATGCGGTTTTTGGAGGCCCCAATATAATATCTTCTAAACAGAGTGTTAGCATTCGACCCTCCGCAATAGAGGGGGGCCAAGCCAGCGCTCGCTGAACGACATACCTGAATTTGAGGAGCGAGAAATATGACGCGGCTCAAAAAAGCTCGGTCTACGAGCTGAAGCCGTAGACTCGGTCTGGTTTGTTTGCTCCTTGGAGGTCGCGTGTTTCTTTTGTGTAGACGTATCTAAGAGCGGTCTGCATACGGTGAATGGCGATAGTTAGCGGTGCTCGACAACAGTACGAGTGTGAGTAACGAGCAAAACTGAGGGAGACTATTTACCCCATCCATTCTTCTATTGGAGGCAAGCCATCTGGTTTCACCACTAGAGGCGATTCCCGTAGGTGTAAAAGCTCCTCCTGTCCGTATCTGCGTGCCATGGGGGTGCGTTGATCAACCAAGCCGCATGGCACACTCCAAGTAGAACAGTAGAAGAAGTCGAGCGCGTCAAGAGCTGAGAGGTCGGAGAGTCTTGATCTTATCAAAAATCGTAGTTATCCTTGAGATTGCCGTTGAATGGAGGAGGTGCTAGGAATTCGTGGCAAGGGTTGCTGGTTGGGATGCGGTTGAAGCTAAGGTGTCGTGGTGGGTCCGCACAGAGTCGAGGACAGTCAGGAGGAATCTATCAATGTGTTTCTTCGTGGACGGAAGCGTGGTTAGGGGCAGGATGCGTGGAGGGACTGTTTATATAGATCAATTGGCGGTTTGGTCGGACTTAGGCGAACGGTGAAATTTCAAGAAAGATACAAAGTGGTCGCTAGCTTTAGAGTTTTCTTTTGGCACCACCAGCGAACGTTGATCTTATAACATGAATATACGCCAGTACGATAGCCACGACGGCGTTAGGAGATGATGGTAGGAGAGGATGTTAGGAGAGACGTTAGGAGAGAGAGAGTATGTCTATCTTTTTCTACTGCTACGAATGCCACGGTATCTGGACTGCTGCCTTAACTCCTCACTATTGTACATTCGACGCCCCCTGTCGCCTGTACAGCGTCTGCCAACGCAGAGCCACTCCAGCGATCAACCCAGTCGTGGGAACTGGTCTTGTACAGCTCTGTTGCCAGGGCTCGAAGGATGCCGTTGTGGGCGTTCGACACTGCAATTTGGCCCTGCACCCAGCTGAGGGCAGCAGCGCGGGTGAGCAACGTCGTGCTGCCCCCGATCTCACAAACACGATATACCAGGTGCAGTATTTTCTTTCTTAGCCCTGCGGTCAGTGCTGGAGAACTGTAAAGAGAGAGGAGCCGCTCGAATACGCCGGCTCGTCGATATATATTCATATCCTAGTCCGAGGTTAGCTACCTGGTAGAGATACTATCCGCTGGCGAATATAATAGGACCACTTACCATCTCCGACCGAAGTCCGTTCACAAACAGATCTAACAACCAAGCGACTTCCTCGTGGTGGCCGTCGTCGCTCTCAGGCTCGTGGTATAGTATCTTGTCAACCCAGTAGGATGGAATCTTCCCGACCTCCCACTGGGGGCCCTTGTTTAGAAATTTATTTGCCTTCCCGTATAGTTTGTGACTAGGGGTTGTCAGTATAGCTAGCATCCGAACTGCAAGCTCTCCAACAATATAAGGCGCTGGCGTGTCAAGTCCTAATCCCTTCACTGTTTCCGACAGTTCACCAATCAGGACGTAGACTGGTTGACGCTCTTCGAATGAGGACTCCTATTTATCGACCTAGGTTAACGGACTGGCCCGATACAGCTATCGGAGGGAAATACTAACCTTCAGCTTGGCCATGAAGCGCGATAAACCAGCCAGGGCCTGACGGCGAATTTCCTCGTGCTCGGAGCAGACGCACAGGATTAGGCTCCCAATGTGGCCCTGATCTATTGCAAGTTCAAGGTCTTCTCTTTCCCATTTATGTAGTCCAGAGTGTGATTCATCGCCCGTCCGTATATGCCCGAAGACCTCAGACAGGTTTACTTCTTGGCTGGTTGACGAAGTCGTATGGGGTTCAGTGCCTCCCGTCGGAGTATCAGTTTCAGTGTCCTCTCGTCTAGTTATTTCAACGCTACGATCAAACGCCTTCTTCAGCAACGACCGGCTCTTTTTCGTCTTGGTTTCACCCAACATTGTGTCACGAACCGCAACGAGGGTTTTCTTGTCTTCACCGTATGCTTTTAGGTATCCTAAGAATTTAGAGATCCAGGCAGCTGTTGCAGTTTCATTCTCGGCATCGTCTACTTTAACGATAAAAGGCCACTGCTCCCTGATCACGACGAGGATTGGGCTTATCAGCGACCGCTCTTTTCCTGGTAAAGATTTCACTTGGTCAAGATATGGAACCGGCCTTTTAGCTAGCCTCGTGAGACAATTGTCGATAAATGACCAAGGAATCGTTGGAGTCTTCTCATCCGTCGACTGAATGCTAAGGATCAGCGCCTCAAATGACTGGGGCTGTGCCAAAATTGAATTCTGAGTCAAGACATCCTGGAGCAAGGTGTTCATTTTGTCTTGAGCACCGTGTTCTCTCTTATCCACGGCGACTTTTAGAACCGAAGTAAATGCAGATAGAGTGAGGGATTCTAGAAAGGACAGTCAGGTTATACTCTAACGATTCTCATAGATGGAAGCAGCTTACCTGGCTTTTGCCACCATCGCATTGCTGGTGAGTGCTGCGAAATGGTCAAAATATGCTGCAACTGGCTGAAAAGTAGTTTGCGGTCCTCTGCTGACAACATATCGTTGTCCAGCCGACCCAAGATGTCTACCAGGGTGAGTGATACGTCGAATTTCTCTTCAAACGCAACAGTCGGGGTAACTTGATAAAATAAGGAAAGAAGTTCTAATAGTGCATCTAATTGTTGGAGGTCATCTTTTGGAGTTTGTCGGAATGCAAGGATGGTATCCTTCATCGTAGGGCATCTTGTGGAGAACTCGTCCATGAGTTTCACAGAAGCCTGGTTCCATAGTTCTGGATTGGAAGTCCCAGTGGCCTCAAACATTTTCAGCACACTTTGGAGTTTCCGAAGAGCCGCTGTAGTTGCCTTGATTGCAAATAGTGTAACAATTTCGGCATTCTGGTTGATGCAGCGGGTTAACATCTTTTGTGTAAGCGGCCGAGGGAGGATACTTTCAATAGCAACAGATACTAGAGGAGGCATCGAAGGTAAGCCTTCCTTGAAGCCACATTTTTCGGGGACGGGCAGTTGAATTGTAGAGAACAAAAAGGCAGACTCTCCAAGCCAAGCCTGTGTCGGTTTTGGGTCTGAGCAAAACATATTACGCTTCGAAAAGTAGTCATATACAAGCTCAGGAGCAACCCTAAAAATCTTAAGGAGCAGCTGCATCTGTCGGGTGTCTGATTCTGGGCGAAGGAATTGTATTAAGACTGAAAGATTCCCGTTGCGAACCGATATCGATTCACTAAACTTATCAAAATGAGTTGGCGCATCAAGACCAAGAGAAATCGTTTCGTTGTCGTTGATTATTGCCTCTGTGCTGGTTCCTGATGAGTACCAGCCATTCTCCGAAAGCAGTACGCCCTTTTCGATGTTTGTGCAGACCGTGAGTAGAAATTTATGAATCTCATCGGAAACCGACACTCCACCGGAGGGAACTTCGTCGGAATCCCTCTCATAGCCGTAGAGCGTAGCAAGTCTCTCAAGATTCCATCGGCTTAAAAAGCGACTTTTGACGCTCCGGGACAAAACTGTATCGGAGACAACGTATTTGTCGAGCGTCCTAATAATGTCCACCACTATATCCCCAGAATCTCTTTTGATATCTTCAATGAATGACTTCACAAGCTTCCCCTGTCCCAGCATTTCGGCTTTTGCTGCAGCACTTTGGTATCTCAAATTCGCAAGCAGATAACGCTGAGCAATACGGCGAAGTGTAGGCTTACGTCGGCCTTCGGCTGGTTCCTCCACTTGTAGTTTACGTGCCGTAAGGAAAACATCGAGTCTCTTTAATGTGATGTCTCGTTTGGAATAGACAATCTTTGCAACGGCGCCACCGTCGAAGCTCACAATTTCAGTCAGGAGTCGAAGGCAAGGTGATATCAGATGATCTTTTGTTTTGCTTGCAGTGAGTCCTCGGTTGAAAAGTTTAAGATTGTCCTTGTGCAGCAGATATTTGCTCAGCTCAATTCCAAATTCTCGGAACTCAAGCTGAGATGAGACGGTCTTGAGGAATGAAGCCAGAACGGATGGTATCAGCGAAAGCAGTGACTCTTCATTGTTGCTTTCTGCAAAGTTCCATGTGCTAACAAGATCAGTAAAGCAAACAGATGGACTCTCATCCCCTCTTTTAACATATTGAGAGGCGCAATATTTTTGGAGAATTTGAAGTTTCTTCGTTTTTTCACTCTCCGGAAGATCCCCTTGGATTGAAGACAGGAAATCCTTGAATTGGCGAACTCCTAAAATAATGTCAAAAACTGTTATACACTAAACAAAAATTGGCTTAAAATTGGCACGTACCCTGCTTCGTTTCCTGCGTTATGGATTGTTGGAAGCCCAAACTATCTCGTAATTGCTGGTAAGAAGTTATTTCGGGAGAAGCAATGGGAGTCGCATCATCGTCAATTCTCCTCCTTTTGGCCCGGGCGGCATTATCATCAAAACTAGCCATGCTGGACACCTCCTGCTAAATTTTTCTTCCAGCGTTTGATATCTCACTCGTCGTTTGTTCTTCTGCACTTTCTTCGAGCTCTCGGAAAAAAGTTCATATATATTACCACGTGACCTAGCTTGAACTCAATTGTCGCTTTCCTTAAGTCCGAGAAACAGAATATGAGATAACTATGTGATGAGCTGAGTAAATAGTTATAACTCGGCAGCTGGCTACATCATGGAGCCTTGGTAGAAGTACAATGATATAATTCATAAGTTTCGCTATCTATCCGTCTATTAGTTTTGATATATGCTATACAGGGGCTCACTTCTTCTTGGTCTTTGATTTCACCTTTTCAACGAGCTTGCTGATATCCTCACCATCATCTGCCACAACAGAACTCGACTTATTCTTTTTATTCTTCTTCTGCTTGTGGCTGGGGTTTACACCACTGGGCTCCGAATCTTCGGCGTGCCGTCTTCGTTTTCGTCCTTCTTCAAGCAAAGTATTCATCGCCTTCGTTTGTTTAAATCGGGGGTTCGTAGGGTCAATGGCATATTCATGGCTCTCAAACAGGCTCTGGAATCTAGGGTCCTTGACATTCATCTCAAACTGATCAGCAGGGGCGTTCTCAGTTACGTCCTTCTTCCCCTTTCTATGCTTTCCGGCTTTGCGAGCACGTTTTTCGGCTCTCTCAATCTCATTCATATCGAAGTGTGTGATTGGCGCCGCCTTGTCATCATCCATCATGAGAAGCTCAAGTTCGGCCCGCTTGGATGCAGATGCTTCTTCCTCGGCTTTTCGTTGTTCGTGTAGTTTTCTCTTCTCTTCTTTGCGTTGTTTAGCAGCGTTTGCAGCGTCAAGATCAGGTGCGGTAAAGAAGGGGTCATCAAAGCCGAGATCCTCCTCTGCCTCCTCGGCCTGCTGTTCAGGATTGTCATTTTCGTCTTCAGCTGGCACTTCTTCGCCGGATCTGCTAGCCTTTAGCTTGGCCTTGCGCCGTTGCTTTCTCTCTCGTTCCTTTCGAACATATTTCTCTCGCGTAGTTTCCTCCTTTTCGGGTTCATTTTCAAATACCGACTCTCTAACGGGTGCGGCTGAGAGGCCGGCCGAAAAGGTCACCTCCATCTCCCCAACCGGCTTTGCTTCCTTTTTACCTGCCAGGGGTGTTTTGTCGCTAAGCCCTAGTAAAGCTCGAACTCTAGCCCGTTCTGCCTCCTTTTTGCTAACCTTTGGCTTAGCCTCGGTTCCAGCCATTTCCACAACTTCGATCTCTTCTTCCTCATCGTCCGAGCTATCGCTGCCCAGGTAAGCCTTCAGGTCATTCTCATCGATCTCTTTTCGACTCCCCTTGAAAGCTCTGTCTTGTGCATCTTTTCTTGATCGGTCATCCGCGTCCCAGGTGAGCTTGACTTTGCTGTGCTGCAACGCATCGGTGACAAAGTCATTTGGCTGGTAGCCATCAGGCAATTTCGTGCACTCATCCCGGGGAACATCGTCGGTAAAATCAGTCGAGTCAGGAACAAATCTAAGATCAAAAAAGTTGGCGCTACTCATATACTCCGCTCCATCTACAGCATCATATATGTGTTTGGCCGCCTCTTTCGACGAACATGTTAGAATGGCATAGTAGTATCGTAACCTCTCCAACTGATATTGTCGTAGTTTTCCGGCATCGAAATCGTCCCCGTTACCTTCGACAAGCAGGGATTTTTTAATCTTTTCCTCTTCCTCTTCCTCGTCTTCTTCTTCCGATAAAGAATCATCATCCTCTCCTTTCGGGTTCTGAGAAAATATCTCTTTGGGAGGTCCATCCATCTCTTCCATCTCCATCCTTTCCCGTCCAAATTCACTGGGGTATATTGAGACTTTGCGGATCGCTCCCCCCGCGGGAAGAAAGCTCGTAAATACGGCCATTAGATCCTGCGCTTTGATGTTATCCCAATCCAGATTCACCACAGCTATTCTCTCCGTATAGTCTCCAGTAGGAATATCCGCATCCTGCTGGCCTGGGCCTGGGAGTTCCACGCCCAAATTATCCGCGTCTTCCTCCTCCTCATCCTCCTCGTCGCTTGAGCTCTCCTCGGAGGAAGAAGAGTCAAACCCGCCATCACGAGCAGGGTCATAACCGGCCCTTTCCACTCTCCGTAGCTCTTTCTGAACTTCCTCGTCGTCATCGACGCTAAGATCACCCTCTTCAACATCTTTGTCCTTTTCTCCCTCTGAATCCTTCTCCTCATCGTCATCCTCAAATCTGTAAAATTTCTCCAACTGTTTTCGAGTATCGTCCCGAGCTAGCTTTCTTCCGTATCGGTCAACAGGCGCATTTTTGGAAAATTCAGAGTCGCGCAGCATATGCGAGAAGCGCTTATCGAGTTTGACATGAGTATGCTTCTTGCTCGGCAGCCGGTACCTGGGGTCGGATTGAATGTTGGCGAATCGAGGATCAGCTGTATAGTAATTAGATATCACATCCAAACCATACAGTATAAATATATCAGTTCGACTTCGAATATATTTAATTACTTACATATAACATTAGCTGAGTCCTTAGCAGAAGAACCTGTCTTTTTCTTCTTGGACGCCATTTTATCCCCCATCGCAAAAGCTCGCGGGGCAGCTTTTTATGGGTTAGCCGAGTAAAAGTTGGGGTTACGATTTGTAGTCTGAATCAGAAAAATATCAAGTCAAAGATTAAATATCGCGCTAAGTGGTGCTGTAAAAATCCGTAATGTAGCTCAATTTCTATGCTGCCACGAAGAAATGCTTCAATTTTGGAGTCTCTCCAAAGGAATTTTCTCGACAACCCTAAAATATGGTCCGTGCATTATCAGATAAGATAACGGCCTTGGCAACATTTCAAACTCCAAAGCCAGACCTTTTCCTCATATTCAAGATTCTACACCGTAAGATACAGGGTACTCTTGATTACCAGGTGAAAGTCGCATATCCTGTAACCCAAATCCGGGATACAACCAATAAGGGAGTTAATAGGATGACAGCTCGTTTCCTTTGTCCAAAACCTACCAGGCGATTATTAACTGTTCATATGGACGATAACATAGACATTAGCACTGTTCTCTCTACAGACTCGGATCTATTTGTAGTCATTTGAGTATTTTTATCTCTGATTTATTACTTGAGTTCTTCCTTCCAGGAATAGCCCATTTTTGCATCCACTCAGACTCAACAATATCCTCAATGTTAGCCCGGTCGCCTGGTAAATATTGAAGCATCATCCGAATCATATGCAGGAAAGCTTTCTTCTCGTCTTCCCCCTGCTCTTCCATATCTGATCGCCGCCGGGCCGCTTTAACGAACCAATCGTACCGATCTTCCAGGCTATCTTGGAAAGGAGCACCAGTCATCACATCAATCGTTGCATCCTCGTTAAAGAATTCGGCTCTGGACCCCCATTGTGACCACCATGGATCAGGAAACTTCCCCAGGACACTGACCTGGTCCTGGAGTATGCCTCCACCCAGGATACTAAAAGGGCCCCCACTGCCAATGAGTTCAAATATGGTACATCCAAGAGTCCAAATTTCGCTGGGGAATGAAAGCTTATATTTGTCGTTTTGTTTATCGAGAAAAAAAATTTCGGGGGGAACAAGATGGGGGAGCGTATGTGCGTTAGTCCGCCTTGTTTTACCAGGGTTGTAACTCGAACCAAAGTCGGAGAGCATAATGGCAAATAGGTAGGAGTGATTTGGTCGGACCGAATTCCAACTCTTGCCGGTCCAACTACGTGAGTAGGAACTCCTGCAGAGAGCGGTTTGCCGTCAACTCGGACAATAGGGTTAAGAATTGGATCACCAAATTTCTGATACAGCTGCGAAGGGTTTGTCATTCGGCGAATGTCGGCGGGAAGTCGAAGAAATATATTACCACAATGTACATCTATAGGATCGATTAGGCATTGTGTATATCTGGGAACGATTATCTACTCACCACCGTGGATAATATTTTGTCCGTGTAAAAATTGGACGGTTAACACTAGGTCCGCAGCGATAGCTCGCGCGACACGAAGATCCAGTAATCCATGAAGGGCTAGGGCCTTTGATTGCGTCAAGCTACAACTAGCTACTTCCATGACAAGGCAATTGTGATCGCCATTAGGGCTAATTTCAATGAAACTGTCCAGCAGCTGTCTGATCAATGGGTGTGGATGAAGATGGTTTAAAATATCTACTTCTCGAGACTCAGAAGTAGAATCAGCCGATTTTATTTTGATAGCAACCAGCTCCTGTTTTTTCTGGTCAGAAGCCAACCATACTGTAGAGCTGCCACCAAATCCCAGGTTATGGACAATCGAGTAACGTCCATCACAGAGTCGATCACCAAGCTTTAAAGGGTAATAGCCACCTGGACAGTACCGCTCTAGCCGTTCACAGTCCTCAATGTATTCGAATTTAGCGGCAGTGTCGGAAGCTGAAGGACTTTTGTCTATCTTGCGTTGAGGGTGCGAGGTGTGATATGTTTTCAAAAGAGCGGACGTGGGTTTCTCTTGTGCAAGATGCCTTGAGGATGCCAATATTGGTAATCTTCCTAACAAAACAATGAATGGAAAGTGACATCTCCGTGTGAGGCGTAGAGAACGCGAATTGAAGGGTATCATTTAGTAACGGTCGGTCATAGAGTGGAAGTAAGTAGCATTGTTGATGTTGATCTACCGTCTACGCGTATATCAGCCCCTTCAGCCGTTTCTTCTGACTAAGCAGATATGATCCAACACCTTGGTTGGGGCTAGAGAAAAAGAAGCGAGGAAATGAGGAACGTTGTAAAGAGTAGAACGGAAAACAGGACGATGGAAGAAATATATTCAAGCGGTGGGAGGAGGGGGTTTATATACCCGAGAAAAGCAGCGATATCGCGCTAAATCTGATGGGGACAGGGCTAACTAAACTAAACTCTGCGGGACAATTCCCCATCGTGTACCTATGTTCGTTCTGGAGTTGGAATTATCATGCACTCCGATAAATCATAAATTCGTATCATAGCCACCCTTTCCGTAGTGAGTTGTGCATTAGGAATAGCGGCGAATTATACTCATCGATATCCAGACTCTTCTCGACCTTTCGCACGACCATCTGCTGAGAGGGCCGGTGTCTTATAGACAGGCATCCCTCCAGTATATGCATTTGTAGTTACCAATCCTACGGGTGACTCCAATCTACCACGTTAGTAGGATAGGCGGCGATTGATCGATGGCCTCCTGTTGCGTGCATTGTAGTAATTAGCCTGTTTTACAAGACCCCGCTGTATATGCTTGACGACAAGATCTACGCCTATTAGTATCAAACATAGACGGGTATTCTAGCCGTTAGGTGGGCCACTTACCGATTGCTATCTTATTTTCAATTCCACGAGGGATGATGATATCTGAATAGGGGTTAGTGATGGAACATTCAACTATGGAGGTTATAGAGGTCTAAATACCTGAGATGATCCGTTGAGGTTCCACATATCGAGTATAAGATGGCTTCACAAATTTGAACCACTGTTTCAATATACTGTCAATGGTTCTCCCTCGCTCACGGACGTCTCTAGCAACTTGATATGGCTGCCTGTCAGCCACAAGATATAGACGTAGATACCAGTTTTCAGGGCAATACTAACTTCTTCGTCCAAGACAGACGTCCATATCAGCTTCGACAAATATCTATTGTAGCTGTTAGAAATGAACAAAGAAGCAAACGGGTGGAAGGTACCATGCCTTTAGGTCCAATAACTCTAATATCCTTGGATCAGTAAAGGCCAGTATACCTTCTAGAATCAAAACTCGCGGTGGATGCATGGGCGTTGTTTCCTCTTCACGTTGGTGTTTCTTGAACGAGTATGTTGGTATTTCGACTTTGAGGCTGCGAGACATTAGACGCGGGTTCATGCACTTCTACCTCAGTCCGATATATAGGTACCCTTTCTTCATATCCCGTAACAGCTCGACAAGTACGTCAAAGTCTATAGCGAGAGGGGAATCAAAGTCGTATTCATCGGCATGTGCAATAGCATTTTGCTCCGGGGTGAGCGTCTTGTAGAACGAGTCCTTTTGTACGGCGTCAGAGATGTCGTCCCTCGCAGCACCTAGCCCGGAATGAAAACAATACCATGACCAAGATAGACGCTCCCGGGAGGTCAAGCAGGTTGATTATCTCCTGGGACACGGAGGACTTGCCCGAGCCTGAGCTGCCAGCAACACCAACGATGATCATCTGCTCCCAGGGGCAGTGGTATCGTGTGTTCTGCCGGCTCATCGTGAAGTGACGGAACTCTGATTCAAGCATATTGACGTCGGTCTGTACATAAACGGGCGCAGCCCGCCGTTAAGATGCTGGCCCTGAGGTCCTAATAAATCTATACGAGGAGCCTGGTACCGCCGCAAACTAGTCCCTAGACGTGGACGGGTGCAAACATGCCACAGCAAACGCCTTCTCCCAAGCCGTAGCACTATTTACAGTGACATATACGGAGCATATATATATAATAGACAAAAAGAAAGAGACACGGTGATAGACGACAGGCGAGGTTGGATTTTTCTTATGGAGAAAGAAGCTCAGGTGGAGCTTTCTGCCAAAAGCGGTACCGACGAGCGCCAAGACCCGTGCACGACACGCGACCAAAAAGGAAGAAAATCACATGACCCCGCTAGTAGTCAGCAAGTACAAAAGCAGAAACTTCTTCCGCCCAGCCTCCGACTTCTTCTCTTCCTCTTTCCCACCAGCATCCTCTGCTTCCGGTGACCTGTTCCAACCACTCCCTCTCTCATGGAAGGGCAATGGCAGATACATGGACTGAGGAATAGACAGCCGCATCTCGCTCTACTTTGCTAGACCAAATAAAGCTGGTAATCATGGCCGCTGCGAATCTCGTATGTGGAGCAAGTCTCTGTGTTTGCGCACCATGGAGAGGTTACTAAACTGTCTAGATGTCACCAACTCCCTCAACGACCACGCCAACATGGTCGAACTTCGAGAAGAAGATGGAGGAGCACAAACCGTCCAAAACGTGAGTACCTACTCTATCCGCGAGCACCCACCATGTTCTATTGCGTGTGCGTGGATGTCGATGCTATGATGAGTTGAAATTCAAGTTGGGAATCTCTCCGAAAATCTCGTGTAGGAAAAACAACATTAACTTGTTGTCTGAGCTGAAACATCTGTCTCCACTATTTGTTTGTGTGCGTTTGCTTTGCGGGTTCGCTAACGAACGTTCTACCTCAGAGACATTAACTACCTAGTTATGGACTACCTCGTCACGAATGGGTATCCTTCAGCCGCGAATAAATTTGCAATTGAAGCGAACATTCCACAGCGACAGGATTCTGACATGATACAAGAGCGCGTTGAAATTCGCAACGCGATATACTCGGGCAATATCCAGTCAGCAATCGAAAAACTTAATGAGCTCAACCCTCAGGTAATTACATCCCTCGTCCCTCTCCTCACCCAGTTCCCCATTCCACATGATTAGGCGATGTTTCATGCACCACGCATAACAACCCTTTTATAAGGGTATTGATGAAATCTACTCATCTTCAGTCCTCAGTATGATTCTATTGGAGTTATTCATTTATTATTCAATCCATCTAAATGTTCGTCGAGTTTGTCGCTAACAGTGGATCTGATAGTTACTTGATGACAAGCCTGAGCTCCATTTCTCTTTGCTTCGTCTCCAGCTTATCGAGTTGATACGCACTTGCATATCAACTCCGAACGGCGACATTACTCCTGCTCTAGACTTTGCCACGTCACAGTTGGCACCTCGAGCTCCTACCGAGCCTCAGTTTATTAGCGAGCTCGAGGAGACAATGTCATTACTGATTTTCCCTCCCGATAATCTCTCTGCACCGCTGAGTGAACTCTTGGATCCAGCCATGCGGAAAACAGTTGCATCGAAGGTAAACGAAGCGATACTCCAAAGGCAAGGTTCATTGAGTGAAGCTAGGCTTCGTGCTCTTGTCAAGCTTCGAGTTTGGTCAGAAAAAATGGCCAGAAACGCCAAGAAGGATATTCCTGAAACATTGGACATTGGTTTTGACAACGATGTTACCAATGGTAGCGAAACAAACGGTTCACAGAACCAAACCAACCAGGATGATGTCGTGATGCAAGAACGCGGCGACCTGGATTCCATGGTACACTAATTACTGGCATATTTCCAGTTGTGCGTTATTATATGATTGGGCTTTTTGTTTCACTTCGCTTAGCATGGCGCAAGGTTTTCGGCGGTGTCAACCAGGTGGTGACCCATTTTACACGGTTGGTCGTGGATCGCTTGAGGATAGAATGGCTTCATAAGCATGTTCTATTATTATATTCCAAGCAGAATACTATTTCCACATTCATAGTGCTACCTTAAATAATTAATTCAATGAACGATATGTCGGTTCACAAGATCTTACTTCAACTCTTTCGTGCATTATGCTATAGTCGCGTATAAATAATCGAATAACTCATTTCGCATCTCGCATCTCGCAACTCGCATCTCTTGCACTGAGTCCTAAAATTACGAGGCTTTAGGGTCCAGAGTGGCAGCTTACTCCAACATATCTCTAGAGTGCTTACGGAAGTAGTTGATCCGATAAATGTAGGGAATAAAACAACGCGTTCAATTATACGGGAGGTTAAGGTATTCGGCCAGCGACAACTAACAAATGTTCAGAGCAAGAAAAAGGGAAATTCATAATAACACAAATGAAGCTAAATACAAAAAGGCAAGTGCAGGAAAACAAGAACGAAGTAATAAAAAAAACAAGAATGAAGAAATCAAGAAAGAGAGAGAGAGAGAGGTGATGTGTAACAAAGAAGTCTAGCGTGAGTATAAAGGTGTAATGTCCAAAGTATCCATGGATGTAGGAGAGGAATGAAGAGAATAACCCAATGAATGACTAAGTGAGTAATACCAAGATGTAATGCGGTGTTTTGCGTTTATATGTTTAGAAATTCATCATATCTGGTAGAAAAGCACGTTAGTCCAGTGTTTACTAAGAGAAAATGGTTCTATGTAAGGGCCGAGAAAAGGGGATCATACCTCTTCCAAAAAGAGCTCGTTTAGCCCAATCCATCGCCATCATGACTCTAGTCCTGATGCTGACGCTCTGAGCAAAATAAATGCTTCGCCAAAGATAAACGGCAAGCAAACCGCCTCCGAAGCTGAGGCCGTTTATATCAAACACCGCGGCATTACCAATGTATGCCAAACTGCCGAGATGTTTGTACTCGAAGGCTCTGTAAACGCTTTCGTCGAGACTTTCGAAATTGACTTCCTTTGATCGCATGCCTGGCACGGCTTGGGCGATTTTATTGAACTTGCGTCCGAGGTAGTGTCCTTGTTGGTTGGCTCGTTGAGCGGTTGCGGGGAGGGAGGTAAGTTTTGAGTCGATCTGGACGAGTAGTTCGTGCAACTCGTTGAAATCAAGAGTGCCGCTACGATCGATGTCGTATTGTTCGAATAGCCTATCTAATCGCCGGAGATGGTTTGAGGCTTGGGGGAAACGCCTCTTAACTCGTTGGGCTACATCGCGCCATTCACCAAAGGTGAGATGGATTTTCTGGGGGTCTCGTCCTTTTTCCCAGGCAATGTTGCGCAGAAACGATAGGATGTGGTCTGCAACATTATTTTGCACGGTGGAACAGTCTCCTATGGCATATACTTCTCCACGCGGCGCTCCAAGAAGTCGAAGGTGGGTATCGGTCTCCAAGGCATGCTTATTATTTTGGCCCTCGAGCTTTTTAGACAGTTTTCGGCAGAGTTCAGCTTGGGCTATGTATTGTCAGCTTCAAGCTCGCTATGAGAGGCTTCGAGGTTGAGGCAGTACTCACCAACTCCTGTTGACCATAGGCAAAAGCCCATGGGAATCTCTTTCACCACTGGCTTTCCGTTCTCCATTTGGGTGAATAAGATCCTATCAGATTGGACCTCTTTAACCCTCGAGCTGGTAAGAACATTAACTTGATCGTGGGCAAACCGTTGCTATATTTAACGTCAGTAAAAGTACGATGTCAATAATTTGGAATGTCGAATAACGAGAGGGTAGCTACAACATACCTCCGCGTAGAGTGATAAAGTTTCGTCGTATGTGTTGAGGATATGGCTCCTACTCTGGATTAAATGCACGGAAATTTCGTTTCTGAGAATCTTTGGGAACGATCGGAACAGATCTTCGTTTAACATATCAAACAGCTCTGCGGCGAATTCGACGCCAGTTGGCCCACCACCGCATACGACGAAAGATAGAAGGCGTTTGCGCTCCTCATCGCTAGTCGTCGGGAGACAAGCAACTTCCAAGTTCCGAAGGACCTTCGCTTTGATCTGTCGGGCATCGTCGATCGATTTCAAAAAGTTACAGTGCTCGAGTCCCTTGACGCCGTGTTGGTTGGTTGTAGAACCTAGAAGAAGGTAAGTACTGGAGCATGGAGAGCCAGGAAGGAATCTGTTAAGCATAGCATACCAACTCCGATAACCAGCTTATCGTACGGCAGATAAAAATTTTGCCGCTTGCCATCACAGTCGACCTGTGATATTTCAACAAGTTTCTCGTCAAAGTCCACATCTACTGCCTCAGCGCGAAGAAAGTGTCCCCTAAGCCTCTGCACAACCAGTCTAATAGGCTCGACCAAAGAACTTAGACCCAGGGTTCCGACCGTTGCTGATGGCAACATTGGAGTGAAAAGGAAATAGTTCACAGGGGACACAACAGTGACATGATAGTCGCCGGGATTCAAGCTCTTCATCAATGCCACACTCCCCCATCCGGTGCCAAGTATAACAAGTTTTGGCTTATCTTTTTGGTCGACCTTCGACTCGCAGTCGTGGTCATCCACAAGGACTTCAGCAATTGGAAGGTTCTTGGGCCCTCCACGCCGGGGGTTAAGTGCATGTTGAGAGACAGGAATATCGGTATTGTCGGTATCGGTGCGGTAGGTAGTGGCATCATAGACGAAGAAGGCGCATACGAGCCCAGCACCAAACAGAACCACGCCTCCACTGAATGCTAGCACCCTAAAGCCAAAACGTAGTATCCGGCCGCCAAGTAGCTGTTTTGTAGGCTCGGGTACAGGCGTCTCTGTCGACAGGAAGCGGTATTGCAATCTTGAGGCGGAGATTCGGGAAGTTGGTGAAAATTGTTGGCTCGCACGGGAATGTCGGTAGAGTGATATAGGCTGGCGGGTCGGTATGGCCTTTGGCAAACTCCTAGTCGTGCCGTAACCGGAGCGCTGTGTGATCCTGCAAGCAGCGCATCCCGGAAGACGGGTGCGTATAGAACGAGAAAGCATGGTCGATATGGAAGGAAATCTAGTTATTATTGGAGTAAAGAGACTTCATCCCAGCCATTGAGACCGGAAGATGGGCTGATGGATGCAGCAAGGGAAAAGAAGACAACAGCAGCGCCAATACCATTTGTTAACTCGAGCTGACGACGAAGAATGTTGGCTGCTGCTGGATGTTGACGGGCGAACATGATGATGATATTTCTTTGGCTGCGTCACTTTTGGTCAGGGGCATTATGTAATCCAGGGAACAACGTCATGCCGAGATCCGACGATCTTTTTAAGGCCTAAAAATACTTCGATCTTTGGTCTTTTTTACTCCTTTTTCTCGGTTTGCCTGCTTGCTTTCGCCTTCTGAGGCGTAATCGGGCGGTCTCAGAGCACGAGAAGGCGTTAAGGGGGCCGAATGGGTTGCCGCTAGTGTCTGCTGGCGTTTTTCGAGAATCCACTGGGCGCCAAACGCGGCGCCGTTAGTGATCGACCTATATATAGAGCTTGCTATGGTCGACCAAGGCAGCATTGCGAGTCCACGAAGAGATGCTTAACTGGGATCAAGTTCATATTTCTATCTTCTTCTTTACTCCGTACATGCCTTGTCTCTGTCTATCTTCATGGCTCTGTACTCCGTACAAAGGACTGGTTGAAAGTTGAAGCTCTAACAATAATACTCCGTAGAGGGTTGGTCAAGTCCTACTTGGTAAACCCTTCCATATATTTCCCTGTCTTCTTCTAGCTAACTACGGAGTATTTACCTTGAGAATACTATATGGAGTATCTAACCTGCTATTAGCCAGGGTTCCATGTGCAGTTTGTATATATAACGGGCCGATGCTTCCTCCAGGCACCCAACATAGCTGAGATATTATATAGTCAAATCTACCTAGCCATCCCTAGGTCGCAGGAAGCTAGATGAGATCATGATTTAATATAAACCTGTCAAAAGTGACGCCCTGTCGGGAATATGGGAGCTTTATACCATCAGCACCGAGGGGCACTAGTAAAACTCTGATAAGGAAATATTTTTATAGCCGGCTTGTTCGCGACCATCCCACTAGCAATCACTCACTACATCTTCACCGGCGCATTTAATCTACGCAATATAAACATGGCGAACGAAAGTACGAGCCCCGATGCTCAAATCGACAATGCTAGCCAGACAGTAAAGGCTTTGCGAGCTACCCTGACCTCCGAAACCACCCCACTAGCCCGCCGGTTCCGCGCTCTCTTCTCGCTCAAACATCTCGCGTGCCTGCAACCAGCAACCGAGGATACTATCCCGGCTATTGAGGCTATAGCGGCAGCTTTTCCTTCACCTTCTGCTCTGCTAAAACATGAACTCGCCTACTGCCTTGGTCAGACCAAAAATCTACATGCCGTACCCTCTCTGCGTCACGTATTAGAAGATAAAGATGAGGATAGCATGTGTAGGCATGAGGCGGCAGAGGCCATAGGGGCGTTGGCAGACACATCAAGTCTAGACCTGCTACGGAAACTAAGGGATGATGCGAGCGAGCCAGACGTAGTTCGAGAAACTTGTGAGATTGCAGTGGATAGAATTTTATGGGAAACCTCTGAACAACGACAGGCCGAGAAAGTCAAGAAGAGGTGAGTTTTGAGTTGAAGACAGAGACACTGCTTGATTTCTTTCAAGCCACAAGACTAATGCGCAATAAGTGATTTCACATCCATCGACCCTGCTCCCCCAACCGCGCTCTCCTCGAAGGAACACTCAATACCAGAGCTCAAGAAAACCCTTCTCGACACGAGCATCCCCCTCTTCCAACGGTATCGCGCAATGTTCGCATTACGTGACCTTTCCTCCCCGCCAGATCTACCAACAGCTCGCGAGGCAGTTGAAGCGTTGGCCGAAGGACTCCAGGATAGATCAGCGTTATTCCGACATGAAATTGCCTTCGTTTTTGGACAGCTCTCCCACCCCGCTAGCATTCCTAGCTTAGTGGCCGCCCTTAGCAACAAGGAAGAAGCGAGCATGGTCCGTCATGAAGCCGCAGAGGCACTCGGAAGTCTTGGTGATGAGGAGGGGGTAGAGGATGTATTGAAGAAGTTCCTTGACGATCCCGAGGTCGTGGTGAAGGATAGCGTCATTGTCGCACTTGATATGGCAGAATACGAGAGGAATGGCGAGTTCGAATATAGTTTAATCCCAGAGCCGGCGGCGGCCAGTTAATGCTTCCTCGCCTGTGGGCGTTTGCATGTTTAATGAACATTGATACGATGCACGTTTGGTCTCTCTAGTTGTTTGTATTATGCCTGGATTGAGATAGATTATTAATAACGGAAGCTCTTCCATTCGCGCTCTATCCGTGGGAAGAAAACCACTTACTTGTGACCGCATTCGCATGTGTAGAACACAGTACTTCCCTCATCAGCGCTACGTAACTGCAGCGTATAGTATCTCATTTCCGTTCTGCCACAGTCCGGACATGTCTGTTGAATCACTGCATCAGTCTGTCTGTCGTCGTCGGTTAACTTGCGGACTGCAGAGCTTTTCGTTCGAAGTGCTGACGGGAACGCATTCGGCTTGGACTCGGAGACGATGGTTTTGGAAGCACGATCTAAAGCTGCGCGTAAGAGGTTGACCCAATTAAATGAAGATATAGGTTCAAACGAGCATTCCTACCTCGATTCTTGGTTCCGCATACATCACAGGTGAGAATCGTGCTGGCATCACCGGTTGATTCGTTTAGGAGGTTGCCACAATCGACACAAAATATCAAAGATCCGATGGCAGACATTTTTGGAGGGAGGGGGAAAACCACCAGGAAAACTGCGGTGTAAATGAGCAATTAGGTGAATTGAATAACGAAGCTGAGTCGCTTTAAACATTGAGGGGGAGATTTAATTGTGGTCGTTAAAATATTTAAATGCTTGAGACGCTAAAAATTCTCTAGTGGAACCTTTTCGTATACTTAAATATTGTTAATTTGAGCACCCCGAAACTTATTACTTAGCTAAAAATATATTCAGCCCCGAAACAGCAATCTAGACTTGATATGAATTAGTTATACCCGAAATCATTTGAGTTTATCGCAGCTCCTTCCGTTCAACTGGTTATGTCGACGAGTTGTCATCCAACGGGGAGCGACTTAACAACATTAGATGCTGTGAGCTACCTGATGATGGCTGTAGTATGGGCGCCCCAATTACCGGAACCACAAGGGAGCATTCCCTCATACCGCCTCAAATATGATATGAACGCCAGATTGGGGATACTTCGCTGCAAACCAGTCCTTAACCTCCGGCATTTCGAAGTTCGGCGGAAGACTCAGTTTGAAGTTTTTGAACAAGTACGCCATCAAGATCGTCATTTCACCATATGCTAAACTAGGACGGGTGAGCTACATAGAATAGGGAATATGGTGAAAGGATGATGGGGAAGGTAACTGAAATCCATATAAAACTTACTTTCGTGCCGGACACATACCCCTTCCCTTCGAGAATGAATACAGCTCCTGACTCGGTGATTTAGTACTGCCTTGCATCCAGCGGTCGGGGTTAAAAATTTTCGCGTCAGGACCCCAGAGCTCCTGACTGAAATTCATCGTGTAGGCGGATACCGAGACGACCGACTTGAAAATACTTGTTAGTTGTCGAAGAGGTTTGCAGTCAAGTGATAGGACATACCCCCGCTGGTATAACCTTACCGTCTACCATCAAGGGCTGGGAAAGGTTTTTGGGGACTATACGTGGTAGGCGACCGGGAATGCTATTACCAAACCTCACCGATTCCTTCACGCAGGCGACCTATTATTAGGGTAAGTATGTGAAAGACAGCTGCGGGATCCTGGGAAAAGCGAGATCAGTACCAAATAGCTATTCTTCTCCAAGTCTTTAAGATCCAACTTGCCGTCTTTGGTTACTTTTGCCTGGCCCAAGGAATCAATCAACTTTTTCTCGATCTTTGGATTGAGAAGAATGTTGATAATGCCAGTGGTTAGGCTAGAAGCAACTGTTTCAGATCCAGCAGCAAGAACCTCAATTGCGCTAGATAGCTTTTGTTCTGGAGGAACAGTTGAGAGGTAGTCAAGTAAAATAGGATGTGAAAAGGGGTTGCCATGTTTTTCATGATAGCTGACATATTTTTCAGCCGCCTAAAGACACGATGTGTATCTGGTATTAGCCTCATCACCCTTGGCCATCCATGCCTTATGTTGCTTGCATTATGTTGAGAAGTGTATATATAAAGGAAGTCTCACATTCACAATTTGCTCAAATTTTGCATCTTCCGGACTTGTAACCCGGAAGAACTGCTTTAGGATAGCGGATAACATCGTGAGTACAGGCCACTCAAAAGACTTCCAGAAAACGCCCTCCTGCCCATCGAAAGCCCGGACTAAAGGCGGCGTAAAAGAACCATCTTCTTCTTCGATTAGATTGGAGGGATAAGCAAAGGCAGAGGTAATGGTTGTATCGAGAACATGACATCTAGATAACATGCAAATTAGTGACTATTTTACCAAATAGTAAATGGTGGTTGGGAGGCCCCCTTTAAGTACGTTATGGCTTTGATGATGTCGATACTAGGCTGTGTCTTTTTTACACTGGCAAGTTTCCTAACAAGTGCAGTCGATCTTTCATGAAGTATGTCTTCAGCATCCAAGAGAGTGCTTCGAGAATAAAATGGGTTCACCAATTGACGGTACTCTTTATGGAGCTTTATATCGGTCTCGCCACCGAGGGAGTGCGGTAGATTAAACGCTTTATAAAACCGGGCATATCTCGGGAATATCTCCGAGTTTGCATAGACTTTATTGTACTGGTAGACGTCGGAAATATGTAGTTCATTTGGAGCAATGCGGAGAGCTTTGGTTTCTATACGAACTCAGTCGCTGCCAGTAGCGTCATTGTACAGCGAAGAGGAGGTTCGGATATCGTCAGGGTCAGGTCAGAGTAATATACTAACTATATTTCTCATGTAATGATTCGAAAACCTCCTCAGCGTGTCCAGTCATAGAAACATTATAGAGCCATCGGGTTGATCTAGCAGCGGCCCTCACCCCTGGGAACTGGGCCAAAGGATGGAAATATCGGCTATAGAGGAACGCCAGTACAAATTGGGTCACGAATAAAGAAAACGTGGCGTAAGCCAGATTTAAGGCGTTAAGCTGGTATCCAAATAAAAAAGATTGGTTCATCCCAATATCGGGGAGAGGCATAGTGTGAGAACAGTGAGTTTTTCCACGCTGGCTATGTATGGACAAGTAGCATAGACGGGGTAGCTTTTTACGCTCGAAGTGTCCAGCGACGATAGCATCCCCGACACTGGTTCCTTAAATATTTAATAAATTGGCTTGGAAGATTCCTAAGAGGTTTACGTACCTACATTCACAATTCTTGCAGGCCATTTTTATGATTTCGTAATTTGTCTAACCCTACATGATCTAGATCAGGGAATTTTGGTCTAGGCGCTGATCTCATGGCCATGGAGGTTCAAGATTCCCGGAGTGTATTTAAAGGAGAGAGCCATTCGCCTGTGACTGGCCAGTTATTTGTTTTACTTGACCAATACGAATTATACTCCTACCAGTTAAAGCCACTGGACGACAGCTATAATGTTGAGTAGGCTGTTCACCGACACGTAGCATCCCCTAAAATCCGGATTATTATTTATCAGTCCGCACTATCAGTCAGTGTTCCGAGGTTTGTCTTTGCGCGATATTCAATCTGCGACTCGGTTATCACGACCAGTAGGTGCGCAGGCCCAGCAGCAACTGGCACAAACGGGATACGCCATGGAACTTCATGGCCCCACGCCCTGCTATTATTCCGTAAAGGGTAGAGACAAATTTTATCCGGTCATGCACGGCGTATGCCGAAATAGTGGTTGAAGGGAGTGATAAATGTCCAAGCGCTTTCTCGGACTATATATACCATGCATGAGGAGACATCATCTGGTTGCATGTTATATACCCCTTGCATGCCATCGCGAAGACACTCAGAATTCATATACAATTGGTATATCCCACATTCATTTCCGCGATGGAGGCCAACGCAGAAACCCTCTTTGACTATCTCGGCAAGCGTTACGAGGATGCATTTGCTGATAGCCCTGATCTCCATGAATTTCTAGAGCTTGCAATCAGGAGGCTCCCAAGCCAGAGCAAAGTTCTTGATGTTGGCTGCGGGACCGGTAGACCTGTCGCGGATACACTTGTTTCTGCTGGCCATGAAGTCTGTGGAATCGACGTCTCCCAGGAAATGATCAATATCGCTTCTGCTCAGGTAGCCGGCAAATTCATGAAGGCAGATATGAGGACATATAACCCCGATTGTCTCTTCGACGGCGTCTTTGTGATACTATCTCTGTTCCAGATCACTCCGGGCGAAACATATTCGATGTGTTTCAGATTCTCCGAATGGCTTAAGCCCGGTGGATACGTGGTTATCGGGGTAACACCTAGCACAAGCTTGCCGGCCGGCCAATACACCATTGATCCAACTTGGGATTGTGCTCGACAGATGGGGAAACCATGGATGGATATGTATACCAACGAGACGTTCTTTTCTGAAGACGGATGGAGGAAAATGCTCCAATGTGCCGGTTTTGAGGTCGAATCAGAAGTCCGCTATTCTTTCACACCGAATGATCCGGATCACAAATGCCCTGAGATTCACTATCTCCTATTGGCAAAAAAGGTGGAAAGCCAACCCCTCTTGGGCCCGTACCCAACAATAAATGAAGGGCAACTTCCTGCGCCTATTCGTTGTCACTCCACAGACCGCCTTGTGAGCGAAGATTTGGATGCTCTCCTTGGGCGTCTCAAAGAAGAGGAAGTCCTTTGTCTGGGATGCAGCAACAAAGGTTTGAGTTTCTTGGCAGTAGTTCTCTTTCTCGCATCGGACACTAACAAGCCAATACTAGTAGTAGACGGTGCCCCTAACATGCCAAACATGCATATATTTGATGGCCCTGTTGAGAGCTTGCCATTCCCATCTGGAAAATTCGACGCCGTTCTGGCATTGTGGACGCTCGAGTCCGCTGTCAACATGGAAGTAGCGCTGGGGAGATGGCGCGCGTGGCAAAGCGCTCTCCTTCTTCTCGGATCCTCATCATTCAGGGAGCACCAGACAATGAATTCGTTCAGTTTCTCAACACCACTCCTGCACTGCCCAAAGTCAGCCATCAAGGTCTTCTCCTTCATTCTGCCAGCAGATACTTGGCGGATCAGGGGTTTGGTAACACCTCTTTGCAGCGGATACGGGCACACTATATGTTCCCGGAAAAAGATATCTTGGAAAGATGCAAAGTAGCCGCTGATCTGCTTTCTGGGGACTCGTCCTGTATAGAAAATAGGGAAGAGCTTTTCTATAGGCTAGAACTCCATTTCAAAGGTAGTGAACATATCATTGGTCACGAAATGGTTATGTTGGAGGCGAAGCCGTTCCCAAATTGAACAAATCAAAGATAGGATAACAGTGTATGTTTCAACAAGGTCGTTATTTACCAGTGGGAGGCTTCTATCTCAGCGTTTTCGTTAGTGAGGTGCGAATAAATACCGGAAGTATAGACCTTTATTTAGATACACCACGTAGTACGGGGTACTCCGTACGCGATAGCAAATGCGTATTCTAAGGGTAACCACATATCTATTTTCCATTGCATGTCCTAGTCAGTTACATGCAATATGTGGGACCAATCAAACTAACTTACTATATATATATATATATTCCAATCCACTTAGTTCCAGTGTTGTGATGTAAAATGTTGATTTCAAGGCTGATGTACCGTTATATTGTCGTTAACCATCCTTCTCTCGACACTTGGCAGATTCCCATGATGCTCCATTGGATTTCCGATTTCCGATGTAGTTCCCCTCGGAACCATGCTGTTAGGTTGGACGGGGGTTAGGAATGTGGTCACCTCCCCGCTTGCCCCGATCCAATCTAATTCCAAACTACCTCTTCCATATCCTTGAGTGACTTGAAGCGGTATGGCGAGAAAGCCGGTAACATGTTGGGATCCACAGCAATCTACTGTACTGTTAGCTCCTTTATCCACACAAAGAACAGGCTGTTCAAACATTCCAACATGCACAAGTATATAATCACACTGCATAAACATGCATTTTCGTATGCACCCCTGAGCTGGGATAAGACACCGAGCACATGGATATCCCGCACTTTGCGATTGCTTCCGCATTTTTCCTGCTTCAGCGGGGGGGACCGGCGCAAATTGTATTTATTATGCGGATGAGGCATGGATCTGCCCTTAGGTACTTAACTAGCCAGAAAGATTTTAGACTCCAGCCGTCCTTCCAATTCACGCTTATCTTCGTGCCTTCTTGTGACTCCTGGAATCTTTTAATCTCCCAGGTCTACCACAAAATCTAGCCAAAATGACGGACGGCTGTAATCAAACAGGGGAGCCATCATCTGGACCGGCAAAACCACCAACCGTTGAACATACTGCACAACCATGGCAGGTACTCGGTCGCTTTCTGGCGTTTCAAAGTCCGAATCACAAGCTGTGGTGGGACAAGATGGCTCCCATTATCGGGTCTCACTTGAAAGGCACCGATTATAGTACCAGCGCTCAATATCAACACCTGTTGATGGTCCATTCCAAAATCCTGCCAACCCTCGGCCCGTTTCCAAACCCGGATAGAACTAATCTAATATGGCCTTCCTGCCTACCGGGGGGTGGAGAGCCATGGGAAATCAGTGTCAACTACCAACAAGGGTCAAAGTCCTGTTTTCGAGTGACGGTTGAGCCAATTGGCCCTAATGCCGGAACGGAGCGAGATCCTCTCAACGAGACCAGCGCCAGACAACTTCTGAACGAACTGAGTCGGCTTCAACCCAATATTGACTTTGGACTGTTCAACTACTTCGATGATGCCATTACATTATCGAACCGTGACGCCCGCAAGTACTGGGATTCTCTAAGTCAGCACTGGGATGCTTTGGGGCAGCACCGGGACAAGCCCCAGAAAGTCATTGCCCTCGATCTCCATGAAGGGGGTTCCTTTACAGTGAAACCATACTTCATTTCAATGGTCCGATCGATCGCGACTGGGGTTGGCCCTGTCAAAATCATGTTGGACTCAGCAAAGTCCTACTGGAAGGCCAGCCCGCTGGCTACCGGCCTGTCCATGGTGGATGACTATCTGGCTGCAACCAAGCATCCGCTCCTGGAATCTAAGAGCTTTCTCTCCGTTGACTGCAAAGACCCTAAGATATCCAGAGTCAAAATTTACACCGGGGCCAATATAACATCATTGGATGTCGTGTATGATTTTTGGTCGTTAGGAGGCTGTCTCCAGGGAAATGCAATCAATGCAGGCTTTGAAATAGTCAAAAGAGCATGGGAAACAGTGTTCCCAAAACTAATGCCAAATGGAAAGGCAAGAGAGTACATGACGTTCTGTTGGAATTGGGAAGTGTCACCGTCCCACCCTGATCCTGTTCCAAAAGCATACTTTCTGCTTTCCGATGACTATGACAAGCACGTAACCGACGTTGTGGTTGCACTCTTCAAGGATCTTGGGTGGGATAGTCATATCGCGAGACACAAGAGGTTACAGGAAGAGGCATGGTAAGTTCAACCTGGGCACTTAGCATGGCTGGTATTTTCTGACAGTATCCTCATCCTAGCCTGGAATATGATTTCGAGACCGGAAGCCGGGTCTATACCTGGATTGCCATCGCATTTTCAGAGAAAACTGGTCCTTATATCACCGTTTACGGCAATTTTGCGGCAGCATTTTAGTTGCCTTTTCCTAGTATTTCTGTCTCCGGGTTGGTACAACAGGTTGAGTTGGTAGTAAGAAGATAGGATAGTTGATAAAGAATATAACGAACAGCAGAGCGTAGCTGACTGGCCAGTGAGTATTTGATTGATTGATGTTGTCGAGGATGAACGTTTGGAGGAGCGAACTTTCCCTTTCTGGGCCAAGAACTGATGACTAAACACGAATATCATGTGACCTGAACATGTATTTAGAGGCAGAAAGATATCAAATCAATATCTCATTCTCAAGCCACTTATAACTCCGTACATAGGACAGCTAGGGGAGTGTGTTATCTCTTCTCAAAGGCAGCGAGTCGGCTTAGCAGTGCGCCCGGCTAACGAGATGCGGATTGAATGGGCCATGCCTGCCCATATAAGCTTGGAAGTATATGAAGACTGGGCCCTGTAGTTACAGAGTAGAAAGTAGTTAAAAGATATAGTGAGGGTAAAGATAGGTTGGGAGGCTGGCGGGCAAGCCTGGTGAAATTCAGGCTGACTGAGATTATCCTCACTGGCGCTCTGCATCAAAGAACAGAAACAAAACTCCGTTATATAGATCCAAGGGCGACTTGCCTGATTATATAACCTAGCTGTGGCGCTAAACATGCACCCTGCAGTAGTTTAACAATATAATCCGACGAGCTAATCGACATCCAGCGCTCCATAGCTTTTAACCCCAAAAAGATATCGATATCAAACGTCGCCAATGGCCGTGAATGAGATACCGAAATGCTGCCTATCTCTCGCGCCTGTCGTCGAAAACTCTTGATCACTAGGACACTACTATGCAGCGTCCGTTTGAGATTGTCATCCCCGGGGATGGCAGCTCGTCGTATAATGCAGCGCGACGACTGCCCCGTCCGCTCTCTGTGGACGCAGCACTGCAGTTCTCGCCGATGACGAGTGCGCCGATATTTGGCCTGGGTAAGTGAGGTCCATCTGATCATCTGTAACAGACACATCGCTGACTTGTCTCCCCTTTAGACTCAATCCTGCGGCCGGATATCGAGCAGCCCTCACTTGCCAACTGGGCGCGCACCTACGACTCCCACACCGCCGGCAGATTAGTAGACGCCCTGGACAACGAAACACAAGCAAGCTCTACAGACTCAACCCATGTCGAGACCGTCCGGAAAAACATACAGAACCTGCTGATAGGCGACGGCCTGGGGGGTGAAGGCCTGACGAAGATGTACGTTTCTCCCAGCACCTTTTTTTGCGTGGCCCCTTCTTGCTGACGATAAATGGACTGCAGTCAATTTAAGGTGCCGCCGCGGGCAAGTCAACCTCATCTCTCCCAGAAGACCCAGACGCCACCAACGAACGTGGAACTCACGGCTCACGAGCGGCTTGGGCCTTTCGCAAAAATGATACTGGATACCATAAACGTCCCCTACAGGTGTATGTTGCTCATAATATCCCATTTTGTACCGCTTGACTTTTGCTGATATAGTCGCAGACCCGTCGCCTAGCTCTCCTAGTCCGCTGAAGCAAGCTCCTCGAGTAAAACCGTCCACCGTTCCGGATGTGTCTAGCCGGGATATCCGTGATGCCGGTGATAAAGCGATCCCAGGGAATCAGCTACAGGGTATAGCAATGAAACCTGTTATCCTTGTTCCAGCTTTACCCGACTCTTCACAACTGAGCGAGTACGAACATATTCCAGATACCGCTACCAAGCGGCAGCGGCCATCACCATCTATGCAACAAGTGGAATCGATCAAGCTTCGGGACCAGAGGGAAGTGATAAATACTGCAGTTGCGAATTTACAGTCTCTTCTACAGGATGTATTTGAGAGCGAAGATGAGCTGCAACTCGAAAGCTCACAAGGCCAAGTACAGAACGCCAATAAATATTTCAACCCCATGGATACCGTAGAGGATAGCAGGCCGGCGTTATCATCCGAGGCCCATAGGCAGCTCCAAAAGGCATTCCGGAGTGTATCTGGATATGGGAAACTTAGCGATATCCCAAACGAATTTATAACGCGTGTCCAGAAGCTCTGTGAAGGCCCGATCATGGCTGCTCAGTCAGCTGATATCACGGTGGATGGTGATATGTCAGATACCAGCGTGGAGAGTTGGGCTAGACAACTGGGAGACCTAGAAAACGCATTGCTCGCGATGGGAACTCTCCTCCACACAATGGCTGGTCGCACCGACGCGAAGGAGCTCTGCTCAGAGGACATGATACAGCTTATTCCAACAGCACTAAATCATGTTTTTGAGCATTGTATCATACCGGCAGTTGAATGTAGGTCAAATGGCAAAGATGCAGCTCTGTTCAGCCGATTCTCAAGCCAGAAGCAGGCAATATCAAGTTTAACCCAACAGTCAAGGAAAATCTTGTCTCAACTCGGTGTATTCCTCTCCGCCGTTGATCTTGTTGAAGGAGCAATCACAGCAATGGAATTTATGGCTACCAAGCTAATATTCGTTGAGAACGCCCATCATGAGAAAGATTCCACGATTGGGGTTCAAAAATATGAATCAGTTAGACGATGCGCGATGGACATGCTTGCAAAGATATTTGCCAAGTACTCTGAGCAGCGATCATTTATTCTTGACGAGATTCTGGTGTCTCTAGAAAAGCTACCTTCTACGAGACAGAGCGCAAGACAATTCAAGCTAACAGATGGCAAAAGCATCCAGCTGCTTTCTGCATTGGTTGTACAGCTTGTCCAAACCACTGCACTCAGGAATTCTTCACCAAACGCAGCCAAATCTAAATTGCGACCGTCCAAGCAGAACGATGAGGATTCAGACGACGATGAATCGGATTCTGAAAATGAAGCCGAAGCCTCACCGTTTATAAGTCTCTCGAGGCAGGTGGACCAGGCCCATGATAATGCGGTACGCAGTGCGCAGTATATTACTAGATTTATTGTACAGCGAGCTATGACTTCGACAAAAACTGGAGATCAGCCATACAGAAATATCCTAGATTTATTTACGGAAGACTTGATAAGTATACTGGGCTCCTCAGAGTGGCCCGGTGCCGAACTTCTCCTACGTGTCCTGGCTTCCCAAATGGTGGGAATAGCAGAGCATGACAAAAGTACGGCCAACGCAAAGAATATGGCCTTGGAGCTTCTAGGCTGGATGGGATCCGCAATATCAGATTTGACTTCTACTGCCCAACACCTGAATAACTCGATGGACGAAGGCGACTCTGAGTTGACAGACTATACAAGACAGTTGTTCGACAATCATATAAGTCGCTCATTGCATGTCCAAGACTTGGTCGTTCGCGATGGTCCTTATCGCATTGCTCTTGAGTACCTTAACACCAAGGATGTTGCAGGTTCACACCTACAAAGTGCGCGAGACTACCTTCTTACCGCATGGGCCAAGACTGCATGTACCATCTACTGCGAGTCCGCTCAGACCGAGAACCTATCTCGCAACTCGTCTGTTAGAAAGCTAGCCACGTCATTGAGAAGCATGATTTCCGATCCTCAATGGCTTGAGCAGCATAGGTATGTTACCTACTAAATACCAACGAAATCTCGATAACTAACTCTTCAATAGACAATTCGATACCATCTCAACTCAGCAAGCTCGAATCGCTTACCTGATCGTTATTTTAAGCAGTGGTTTTTGCAAGGCATTTGACACAATTGTTAAAGTCTTACTAAGCTCGATTTCTAGCGATCAAGCGAAAGTGAGGAGCAGAAGTTTGAAGAGTGTGATTCACATGCTTGAACGCGATCCAAGCTTGCTCGACCGAGATGACTCTATCATGGACTTGATTCTCAGATGCGCTGCTGACTCGTCGCCAATGGTTCGCGACTCTGCTCTTACGTTAACTGCTCGCTGCATATCGCTCAAACCAGCATTAGAGACGGAGTGTTGTCGTGCAATCTTAGCGTGTGCCTCCGATCCAACTGTCGGTGTTCGAAAACGGTGCATCGGTTTGATGAAGGATGTATACACCGCGACCGCGAACCAGGAATTAAAGATTTCAATTATAGAGCAATTGCTAAAACGCGTGCAAGATCACGAAGCAAATGTGGCGACATTAGCACGGCAAGCTCTGGAAGAGCTCTGGCTGTCACCCCTTCATGCGTCTGCAGATAGTTTTGATACACCGCAGGCTAAGGTATCACTTGCAGAATTGGTCGCTCTTTTCATAGGTGCAGTACAGCGGGGTGATGAGGTAGTGGCCAATCTTGAATCATTCTTCAAAACGGTCCTGCACTCGGATTCTAAATCCTCGTCACACAATTTTAAAATCTGCAAGGCGGCGGTTGCAACTCTGTTTGGAAACGTGGTGCATGGTTCCGACAACGTTGATCAACGATCTCTGCAATCTCACCTACGGACGTTGACGGTGTTTGCGAAGTCAAATGCTAGACTCCTGACACCAGATCAGCTTGAGACTCTCCATCCATATATTGGGCACCTGTCCAGTACCGACGATCTTCTTCTATTCCGCTCTGTGGTAGTCATTTATCGCTGTGTGCTTCCGCACCTTTCAGCTGCTCACAACAACCTACTGAAGGAGATTCAAAATGACCTCTTCAAGAGTGTCTCCAAGCTAGCTAGGACTGAACTAAATGAAGTCATGGCCTGTCTCTGGACAATAAACGGGGTTTTACAAAACACTGAACGGTTGGTCAAGCTTACGATATCCGTCCTCAAGGGTATCTATCAAGCATCTAATACCAAACTTGACGCATCCACGAACGGCGATGCGCTTGGTCGAGTTAGAAGCTACATAAGAATTGCTGGTTGCGTCGGAAAGCATTGCGACTTGGAGAAGTTCACTTCTTTCTTTGCTAAAGCATTCCCCAAATCCAACACCGAATCTGTTTCTGGACTCATGGTAGAGTTTATATCTCTCTTCACATCCTCTGCCTACCCCCACGAACTAAGGGTCATGGCGTTGGAGAGCTTGGGTTCGATATGCGAGACTTGGCCAGAACAATATGGTAAAGAGAAAGCTAGGATGGCGTTTTCTTCTGTGTTCAAGGAAGACAGCGGGGATCTTCAAGACATTGTCCTCAAAACATTCCTCACTTTTTTCTCTATCCATGAAGGCAAATCAGAAAAATTCGTCAATACCATTGATGCAAATGGCGAGAATGCTGACACTAGCCGGCTTGGAGGATCTTTGAAAGCCAATGCAAATGACGGTGCTGCAGCGTTAATCGCACAAAATTTCCTTCCACATATGCTTCATGCCGCTATGTCGAAACAGGATTCCTTCGCACTCACCGCAATTGAGTTAATTGCAAGCATCAATCGCCAGGGTCTCATCCATCCGAAGGAATGTGCAGGCGTGCTGGTATCTCTAGAAACATCCCCAAATTCAACTATTGCTAGCACAGCCTACGATATCCACAAAATGCTTCATCAGCAACACGAGTCTATGTTTGACCGTGAATATATGAGAGCGATCCAGGATGCCTTCTACTACCAGAGAGACGTAATTGGTGATCCATCCGGTGCATCATCTCGACCGTTTACCCCGAAGCTCTCCCTACTATTCGATATTATCAAACTTAGCAACAGCAAGTACCAGAAGAAATTTCTTACGAACTTTTGTTCTAAAGCAAATTTCGAGCTGAAGAAGTTAGATGTCTCTGGAACACCTCCCGAATATCTACTGCTTACAAGATTCGTTTGTCAGAACGTTGCATTTTTTGACTACGCGCAAGTGGCAGAGCTCCTAGCCGCAATTTCCTGCATGGAACGCATCGTGGGAACTACCGGAACGGCCGTGGCACATTCGATAGAGACAGAAGTTCTCTCTGTGAGAGTGGTGGGGATGGCTGAATCATCAGAACCACAACAGGGGGAACCCAATCATATGCCTCCCCCAATCAATGCGGATGTTTTAAAGCGCCTCGCTACAGCTGCTGCTGGACTATCGATGTTATGGGAAACGAGGTCCTATCTACGCCGTCTCTACAACCTAAACTTCCACGCACTACAAAAAGAGGGCAAAATTGCTACGAAAGAGCTGAATAAACCTGCGACCAAGCTGCCCGGAGTCTCAGGTGATCGGGTCTGGGAGGCAATAGCACGGATTATGCGATCCTTGGACACCGTGGACTCGATGATCAATATCTGCCGCGAGTTTTCTACCTTGATGTCAGTAGACGAGGAGCTTAAGATTGCGGGTGACGATGACCGAGGCAGCCCTGACCCATTTGCCGACGTAAATGACATGAGCAACGTCATTGGCGCCGCAACAAGGCCAGGAAAACGAAAGAGCTCCGTTTCTAGCGCCACAACTCCCAAGAAGAAGGCGAGAGGTAAGCCAAAACAGGGCACTAAATTCCCTAGTGCAGACTCCGGGGAGGACAGCGATCTTGACTGAACACTATTCCTTTTCTACCTTTACGATGTATACTATACCATCTTTTATGCCATTTCATTTCGTTTATGGGGCGGTGAGGCGCATGGGCCATTTTATGGGATTTGATTTCTTTAAAAATTGCGAGCATCATATGGAGAGCGGCATCAGGGCGGAACAATACTTCACGGTTTCTCAGGAGTTGGCCAGAAATGCCTATTATATTTATTATGTGCCTGGGGGCGACCTGTGTTTAGACATACATACCTAATGAATATAGATGTTACTTATCACATTCGCATCAATTAGCCAGTCAAGAGGGCCTTGGTTCCAGGATAAACGCGGCATACAACCTGACGACCGAGTGACGACTACAGCCCTCCATAAAAGCCAAGGTATACCTACAAAACGGTAATGGATTTCTGGAACGGTAGCGTACAATTTTCCGCTCGTGAAATATTATATACACAACATGAAATGAGCGTAGGCAGTCTATTTGGTTTTGATGTATTTGAGCTTCCCGGACTCGTGTAAGAAGTTGTTCGCGTAAGCCTTGGGGCGGAAGACACGTTCATTTGGCTCCTGAACGAAATATTCGTACCCTTGCTTCTCAGCAAATCGAATGGCATCCTCCTTCGATCTGAAGTTGAGGTGGGTTCCCTGCATGGCGTCTGCGGAAGATTGCCATCCCATCAACGGGTTCTCCCAACGGTGTCCCTTCGATAGAACGTCCCAGTCCATTCTCCAGTGGTGGCTGCGCCAGGTGCCAGATTGAGTAGCGGGCTTAGATCCTCGGTATATTCTGCGGTGGAATAGGTAAGGAAACAGTTTCATCTTTCATCAATTGGAAGTTGGCCCGGAATCATACCTGACTGTTCGAGCCTGGAGATCTGTTGGAGCACCAGACAGAACGGCAGCAGCAACGACCTCGCTTGGTTCACTGCCATCCATAACACGCTTTGGAACAGGGGAGAACAGGCTAGATAAGACATACAGTTAGCAATCTGTAAGCATATTGGCATCCAACTGGGGAGACCTACGATGTTCCGTGGTCGACTGTGGCATTGTAGTCAGGCTGGTGGCGCGGAATCGATTCGCCAGCACTCTCCTTGCGGGTTATAGCGCTCCCGGTGGACGGTGTCGCGGGGGCATCTTGGGTGGTGGTCTTGATGTCTCCGGTTGCTTGACGGGTGGCGGAGGAGCTCAGGTATCGGGCATTGAGGGCGTACGCAGATCGAATTGTGCGCGTGCAGGTCGCCCCGACGGCAGAGGGGCCGCCAGCTCGCAGTAACGGCATCGTGGGCAGGATACACCGTTCGGCGTTGACTTATCAAATGTTTGCGCTTGCTCGATATCTCGACGTCCAAAAGGCCCAAGTTGGAAGCCTCGGAAATTCACTTGTGCCGGCCGCCCGATGCGGTTAGCGCGCGTTGGCTGCACTTCAACTTGTTCCTTGGAGCGAGAGACCGCAAGCCATCGACGAAAAGCACGAATACTCTTGATTCACATCACCCGCACTTAGTCGGTGAACTGTGTCTACGGTAATTGCTCTCTGGCAGGCCTGGGAGATGCGTTGCCGTGTTCTTTTGAGTCGCTAACATCGTTCTTCACGCGCAGATCCGACCACCATGAGCTTCATTGCCCGACGAGGGATCTCTACCCTCATCCCCCCAAAGGTACGTCCTGCTGGCCCTGTGCATCTCGAGATATATCATGGTTGGCTAACAATTGGGTCCAGATTGCCTCTCCTTCGGTTCGTATGCCCAGTTCCTTTCAATTGGCCGCTCTTCCGCCTGCCGCCGTGTGTTTTGATGTCGGACGACGGGAGTCGTTGGGAGCGATACATGTTTAGCAAATGGATAAGGCGGACAGGATTTCAGCTGGCTAACAACGTTATCAGGCAATCGGCGCTGCTAAGGATGCTGCCCGCATGGAGCGTGTGAGCGACTTCTACGCCAGACTCCCACGCGGCCCGGCCCCCGAGGTCAAGCCCTCCGGCCTCTTCGCCCGCTACCAGGCCGCCTACTTTGGCAAGAATGCTTCCTCTGCTCGTGAGTCCGCCTTCCACGCCGTTATTCTTGCTTTCCAGGTTTTATACTATACCTGGGTGGTGGGTTTCCTGCCCTGAATATAAAACATATGACTAACCTATTGTCCAATTGTCCAGCTCTTGTCCACCTCATCGTTGGCCTGACTCTGCTGGGATACAGCATACAATACGTCACCCATCTCCGTGAGTCTTCTCTTCCCTGTACTCCTTGTTATCGATCCTAACCTCGCCACAGGCCACCACAAGAACAACCCTCACTAGTCGGTGATGACACTGTACTCATATGTAGATATTCGCATAGAATGAACTTCCGTTGCTAAACTTTCATATTCTATAATCCTCTTTCTCACATCCTTTACTCCGTACAGTCCTCTATCAAATGCTATATGCTACTCCGTATATGCCATAAATGCGTGCTGTATATGTGTAGAGACTAACCCGATCGGGAAATAGCTTGGCACAGCTGGCCGACTTTCCTTGTCTTGCAAGTGTCACTTTCTCTTGAGGTTTTCCATATCGTCAACTGTCTTGACAACACCCGGTGTCCTTTTTCCGGCCTGTTAACGGCATCCCTGGGCTTACGGTAGCTGGTACTTTTGGTTTTTCGCCTTACCAGGATAGCAAGGAAGCTTCGACTGCATCTCCGGCCTACGCGTGTCCTATCGACCTGCTCGTCAAAGTCCTCTCTGCGGATCGGCTACTTGGTGGTTCTCCGTCGCAATACATAGTCTTTGACAATACGTATGTCCATCGTCCATCCCGTGTCCTTTGCTTGCCAGGATATCCTCGCGAAAAATGATGAAAGCTGTGATGTGGTGGCTAGCGCTGACCCTTGTTTCTTGAAGCTATAGAGCATTGTTATGGCAGAGCAGAGCAGCAACGATGTGGTAAACCAAACCCGGTCGGGCGGCGACCTTTCGCCTTCCGACGTTCCTGCGAGCAAACTTGACAACTTGACTGCTGGAGGGGACCGGGGGGATGTTAAAACTTCTGAAAACAGCTCAACACTAAAGGTAAATGCAGACACGTCGCAGGAAATATCAACGGGTAGCCCATCGTCGACGGAAGCGAACGGAGTCGGGACGGAAAACCACGATGCGGACGCCAGTCTGTCGCCGAATATCGGGGATGGGAGTGGAGGATCTGACACGGATGCAAGCCGGCCTGACGCAAGAGCCAACACCGACGGGACACAGCACTCGCGGACAAGCTCTGTGAAAAGGCCAGCATCATTCAAACCTGTTTCCTTTGCTAAATTTTCAGTCACAAAACCACCGGGGTCAAATGGGAATAGCAAATCAACTCCGGAGAAAGGTACGGCTCTCTGTTTGTCTCAAGTTTAGAGCGGCTGAATACTGATATCCTGTTATAGCACCCTTTTCATCATCCACTCCTCCATCATCTACATCTACTCCCTTGAGCTCCAGGCCGCGGTTAGTTGCCAAATCTGGAAGCGGATTACGGGATTCTTCGCCGAGAACATCCACGGTTGGGAGTAAAAACCTCTCTGGTGCTCCTGATGCCAACCTAGTATGGAATAAGAATCGACGTAAGTTATACTTGTTAGTATATGCCTTATCCCTGATTAACACGTTGTTATACAGCCGTCCAGCCGCCTCCAACAAAGCACCTTACGGACGAAGAGTTGAAACAGCAATACGGCATCCACATGACATCACGCATACAAACCGATAACAACGAGAAAGAAGCTAAATGGGCTGATATTGATGACGACGAAGACGACTGGGCCCCCGAGACTATAGAGTGGAACGACGGCACCAAAATCACGTTAACACACACAGAAGGTGCCGCGCCAGGCTCCCAGGAGACAAATGGTCCAACTACCAACTCAGCTGACCCAGGCAGACAACCCTCACCGGCCAACAATGCACCACCAGCTCGTGAGGCACCTAGACTTTTACTTGCGAAACCTTCGAGCTCACTCGGGTCGAATACAACAATCCTTAAAGTAGGCGCCAGTGCGGAAAAGCAACAGTTTAAACAGGGAGGCGATTTATCAAAGAGTCCTAACGAAAAGTCGACATTAACATCTAAGGGGCCGGCAGCAGTGAGATCACCATGGGCACCGTTACCGCCTGTCGAAAAGGCGTCGCCTCTAGCACTCAATCCACCAGCACAGGCTCAACCTCCTGCTCGGTTAAACCAAGGCGAGCTCCCTGGTCTAGACACTGTTTCTGCCCCTCCTGCGAAGGAAATCGCTGCAGATGACTTTAATAGATCTTGGAGGGATAGACAGCCCGCTGCTCCTCGTGAGCTCTACAACTCTCAATCAGGGAGGTATGAGCCCGTGTCAGACAGCCGCCATGGCCCACCGAGGAATGACAAGTCTGCGAAGAACGACGGCCATTTCAGACCAGCTTCCCTCCTTCAACGTTCAATGCACAATGAGCAATCTGGGCCAGCTGAACCTTCGGCCGCGTTCCAAACCCACCGAAGCCCTACGGAAGGTAGTTCCTGGGGACGTCGACGTACATCCTCGAATGTGAGTGGCGGTAGTGGAGGCTTTGTTAGAAGAATGTCCTTGAGTAGGCCCGACCTTCCTTTTAAAGGTGGCCCACCGTCCACTGGAACGATTGAAAGATCCGCTTCACCAAGTACCCGTCAACTTCAGAATGGTCCTATTGCTCCAAGCATAGGATCTCCATCTCAGCAGTCACACAGGAGCCTTGAACATGGACCTGCCAGTTATCATCAGCCCCCACCGAACTCTCAGAGCAATGCACCACCGCAAGGTGCCGCCGAAGTCCCAACCTCTCAGCCTCCAGTGGTCGAAGATCCAGTCGCAATGCAACAACGAATTATGCGAGAGAAACGAGAAATGGCGAGACAGCGACGATTAGAACAGGAAGCCAAGGAGGAAGCCGCCAAACAGGAGCGTATAAGGATAAAGCTTCAATCCATGGGTGTACCAGCTAAAGAACTACCAGGCGCAAAAGATGCAGCAGCAACTTCAGGTTCTGAACCAAAACGGCCTGCTGGCCAACCGGCAACGGCTACTACCGTGGCGTCACCTCCAAAACCACCTGTCCCTGAGCTAAGAGGAGAACCCAAACAATATGGTATGATGAAGGTACATCACCCTGAATCAGTGAAGAAGCTAGTAGCGTCTTCGGAGAAGGCCCCTGAGAAGCCCCAGCAAAGTGGCAACCAGACTCAAAATCACCAAGTGTCACCTTCTCATGAGCAACCACGCCCCGAGGCTTCACCCGCTGCCAATGGTTCAAAGCCCGTTCAAGAGCCCCAGCCCAAACCTTCACAACCGATTTATGGGCCTCAACCAGAGGAAAGACCTCCAAACTGGAAGTATTCAGTTCCCTCAACGTCTACTTACACTTGGCCCAGCTCCAAAGGCCACGCAGCAACTCTCGGAGCTCTCTGGGGCCCGCCAACTAACGACAAGGCATTGGGTAACGGCACATTTGATAGAAACCTCACTAGCTTTCCATCGGATCTCGGCTCGCTAGGTCTGGCTGAGCAGCCGCATATTTATCCTCAACCAGGCCAAGAAGGAGTGGAAATGCCGGAAGGAATGCCTCGCCCTCTTCCTGGACCCCCTAAGACTATTCCGGATGCCGCGAAGCCTCTATCACCACTAACATCCCCTGATGCCCGACCAGAACGCATTGGTGATAACCCAAAACCAATTGCTCCTCCTGGTCCAATTGCGCCGCCATCATACAACCAAGGCCAACGTTGGCAGCAAGACCGGCCTCCTCACCGTGGCCAGGAAACCGCTGCTTGGAGCAATTTCCACCTAGTTGCCAGGAAATCGGAGGCGGAAGAGAATGAAAGATTCCATCAAGACCTCAAAGCTCTTCGTGAGGAGGAAGCTAGAACTGGAATCAGCCCGTCACTCCAGGCCACTTTTAACGAAACATGGCGACAAGTCGAAGCTGGGGAGCGTCCGGGCAATCGGAACATCATTGGAGTGGTTGCAAAATCTTCTGACAAGGATGCTCAACCCTCTCCATTCCACCAAATAGACTCCGTCAGCGGTCTTCCTTTCACTGATAAGCAGAAGCCAGTACCGCTACCTCCGACTCGTGGCTCCCGCTTTTTCCCCCATGGCGCTGAGCCAAAGCGACAAAACAACCAAGAGACAACGTCTGCTCGTAGCCAATCTCCTCCCCCGCCAGAGGAAGTGTCAAGCCATCCTGTCTTCACAGGCGATTCTCAACGACCATTAGTTCATCTCCCTAACCCTAAACCACGCGTCAAGCTCCCTCCTGGTGCTCTCTCGGCGCCTAGTCCACCACCTCCGCCTCCAGTGCCTGCAACCTTCGCTGCTATGGTAGCTTCACCTCCGCCTGTGCGAGCACCACCGCAACCAATCGCCAGTACCACATCTTGGCAGGATAGGTTCAACGGGCTTTTCGGCAAGAAAACAACTCAGCCTGCTCAACGAAAGAACAGCTCACTGGCCGTTGCATCCGCGACCAAAGAACCCTTGGATGTGGTATCAAGTGTCTCATCAGCTGCCGTGTCTCTCCCACAACGTGGCGAGAAACGGAAATTCACCGATGACTCGGATAAGGTAACTACCAAAGAGGTTGAAGATGAAGAGGCGATCTTCGAAGACCGCGAGGCAGGATCTTTACCCGTTGTTAAGGTGCCTTACATGGCCCCACGAGCCGCCTGGCATCCAGCCCCAAAGCAATCTCGCTTCCGAACCAAGTACCAGAAACCAGTTCTATCACAAAGCATCGAGCCTTATATTCTCAGCCATACTGAACGGGATAGTAACGGAGACATTGTTGTTACCGTTCGCCCGCCAGGCAAAGATGTCAAAAAGATTCTATTACCTAAACGGGGTGGAGGCAATGCAAACGCAGCACGACTTCGTTCAAACCCCAAAAGCCGCACTAGAAATCCAAGATCTAGGGAAGGGAGTGGATCGTATCAAAATTCACAAACTGCCAAAAAGACCGGACCTACAACCTCAACTTCTACTACCCCCACCACCCGTGCCGGCTCTCCTAAATCACGCCCAAGCAGCGTAAAATAAGTAGTTTAGTCTTTTATCACCGGTGTTTGATATCAGGAGCCCCGCCATTACCTCCTTTCTTGCTTCTTAATACCATGGATAATTAATTTCGTGAGATGGAAACAGACATGGACTTTTTCAAAGGTCAAGTTTGCATTTTTCTTTTCGGGCTGATCCTACCAGGCGCGGATAGCTTTTCTACCCCTATTTCCCTTCTCTCCTTTGTCAGCCATTCCTCCTTGATTACCTTCCCGTTTCCCCTCGCCATCCCGTTATCTCTATGTCTCCATAATTTCATTTTTCTCGCGCCTAGCTTTGTCTTCTTCACCCTTCGCAATACTATCGCTCGAACCTCTGCTGTCTAGTAGCTGAGATTCTCAAAGCCCCTCAATCCGGTTGATAAGAACCCTCCGAAAGGAAATTAAGATTATCATTTACCTCCAATACTTTGTCCTTTGATGCAAGCGATAGGTGCTGAAATTGAAGACCTGTAATATCATGTCATGTCTATACCCGTAATGATTCGAGATATCAATTGTAGGAATGTGACCTTGAAGGTTATCAATTCATGCTACTACTGCAGGCGCAGGCTAAAAGCTACACACTGCGGTTCCGTATCATCTATTTTATTCCACCTGTGATTATAATGCTGAGGAAAGAATAAAACAGGAATATAAACTAATGTACAAGCAGTAATAACAAATAGCACGACACAAATTCCAAGCCCAACGCTAAATAGAAAATCATAAAATGCATCGCTTGCTAAAGGACACCCGAGCAGAATAAAGTATATAGACATTCCTTTTACCAATTCCATGTCCTGCTAGAAGCATTAAAAACTGGAGGTTTCCATTGGAGACGGGCTGGGTCGATATTCCTAGCCCCCCTTATCTTCTCCTTTTCAAGTCGCTTTTTATGTTGCTCCATTACACTGTCAGTCAACACAAGGATCCAGTTTCCTTTCTGTAAATAGTTGTTAGAAGAGACGGCGTGGAATAGTTAGGATAAATGGTAAGAAACTTACGTTATACCGTAGCAAGCCTAAGACTACCAAGGTTTCATGAACATCCTTTTCAGTCATGGCACTGAGGGTAGCTAATTCACTCTCGCTAATTGCGTCTCGTCCCGGTTCGACAAGCAGTTCGACAAGTGTTTCTCTCCAATATTGTCGGTAACTCAGTAAACCCAAATCACTGAGCGGTTTTTCAGGGGACCCTAGTTTCCCCTCCCGCTTGCTAAGCTCATAGCTGAAAGCGATGAGAAGTCGACCGAACCCACGACGTTGATATTGAGGTAATGTAAGAATACAGGCGACATTGTAGCCCTCCGCTGACTCCTTTTCCTTGGAGAAATAGCCAACAAGATGGCATCCGTTTGCATCGCGAGTGGCCATGCAATAGAACAGAAACGGGTCGACGTCATAATAAAGCGTTTTGTGATCCAGGAATAGTTTGCTGAGTAGACATAAGTTTCTGCACCAGGTTCGTTGCCGTCTGCCGTCAACTTCGAAAAACGACACATAATCATCTCGGTAAATCTCATTGCCTGGTGGGTGTAAGAGTGTGCATTTGCTTCGATGTCTGTGAAATGCACGCTCATTATCAAAATAGCTGAGACAAAATTCATCGATGTAAATCATATCGGCATCACTGAAAGATGTAGGATAAGGCGAAAAGTACCACGGCTCAATCTCAAACTTGCCCATCTGTATTTTACTTAAATTTCGTACACGATGGACCTCTGTTAGATTTTGAGTCATGCTTCCGCCAGTTCTGAGCTTTTCAATCTCGTCCTCTCGAGAAGTGTCGGCCGTAAGTTTATCCTGTTCGTCCTTGAGGACCGCCTTGGCTTCTGCCTCGGCTTGAATATCGATCATCTCGACATCTTCAGAGTCTCCGTCGCGAAGTCGAGGTGTACCACTTATTGAAGGCGCCTCACTACCTAGCATGGATATATCAAACGGTGTGCTACCTTCATCGTCCCCCTGATTCTCCTTGCCACCTGCCTTTGAGGGCTGGGGAGTCTTTGCAATATTCTGGTTTTTGCCAGTGAGAAGGTCTGGGGTCGATGAGACATCTCGGCTTCCATGCTGTCCGCGCTTAAGATTTTTTGGCTGAGATTTGGTTGCAGCCGCAGCCGCAGCTGCGCCAGATACTTTCTTCTTTTCAGGCTTCTCTGGTTGGGGCCATTCAACTTCTTTGGTCAGATCAATCCTGGACGCAGGTATCCATTCTACATAAATCTGTTAGCACAGATGTCCTATCTTTGATATCTCAAAGGGGTAGACCAACCATCAAGACGCTTGTTGAAGTCAACATAGTGAACACTATTTAAAATATTAGCACCATTCCTGTTAATAGGAGATCATGGACATACTAAAAACTAGGCCCTCCCTTCCTCTGCCTTACAGAAAGGATCTCTGCTTTCCGCTGCTCTCCATCCTATTATGGCCGTGTCAGTACGTGATACTCACGTGATATGAGCTAGGCAACTTGATTCTCTCACCTTATTGACAAACACCTTTACACCGATGCTATAGAAAGTAGGTAAATGTTAGATTTATATGATCAAGACTGTAACAAATGCAGAGACTGATCTGCTGGAGGTAGAATTTTTTCATATTTTTTATAGGCATACCTGAGGGTGTTCAAGGTGGCGAAACCTCTATCTGCAGGATCTGGCGTGCCAACGCCGTCTTGAGGGCCATCTGGGACTCCCATATTAACCAGCAGACACTCCGGAGCGATAGAAAAGTTGGATTTTTGATGGAAGTCGCGTGGTTACGGGGATATCGATGGATGTTGTGGTTGAGATGCGACTTTTCGCGAGGTTGCGAAAAACTCCTTTTTCTCCCCCTTGGTTCCCGTTCCATGTTTTGGAAGTGAAGATGGCGGCGCAGCCAATAACCACGCGCTAGCAAATATATTGGCACGCACGACGATGAAGTATCAGAAATAATAAAAACAACCACTCGAGAAGGGCAAAGAACAGTTAAATATTTGAATAGTTATCCCCTAGATACAATAGGAACGCCTTGCAGTGCTGGGTAAGTAAAAATACACAAAAAAAAGTAGCTGCCAAATAGGAGGCGATAGAGCTGAAAAAGGAACCCCCTTAATGCCATCCATTCATCCCGCTACTCAGAGAGTCCAGTTCATCCTTCCTTGCCCTGTACAGTTCCTGTGCCTCGCGTTCTCGTCTGGTGACGAAGGTGACCTCGTCTCGGATGCTCTCAAGGCGCAGACTGATAGCTGCATCCTCTGCAATCTGCAAGGTGCGGAATGAGTCTAGCTCGATTGTAGCTTTGTTAAGGGCCTCGCTGGCTTGTATGATCTTGTTTCGCAGTGTCTTTGCTCGGGCTTGATACCCGCCAAAGTGTAGGGCGACTTTCTTCTCCAGCTTGTTGCCCTGCTCAGCGGCCTGCAGCAGGCTAGCTTGGACAGTATCAAATGCACGGGACATTTCTTGCTGTTGTTGCTGGAACCGCTTATCCTCCTCGTCGTCGTCATAGAGGGAGAGTCCAGGCAAAGCAGAAGCGGACTCATGGATGGTTGACCATGACGAGCTGAAGCCTTCAATCCATTGCTGCTGGGTGTCAAGCTTACCCGCTTCTGCTATGATTTCTTCCCTTGCTTTCGCTAGAAGATCATCATCTAGGAATTCTAGTTTCGGTGCCTTTCCTTCAACCTTAGAGCCTGGCAACGGGAACTTTCGAGCATCGTTGGCAATGAGTCTAGCCATCTCACGGGCGATGAGTCTACGGCTGGGATCGTCGACCTTATCAGCCTCCTCCATCAGGTGCTTAATGTTGACTGAGGTCGGGCGAGGGAAGCCTTCCCTATAAACCCTCGTCTGTCGTTTGAATTCCACTTCCGCTGCCTTCTCAGCCGCAAGCCTGTTTCTCATATCACGCTCTGAAGCGTCTTCTTCCGAGATTTCAGTAGAGGCTGCCGGCACAGGCTTCTCAGATGGCATTTCCTCCAGCTCCCATTCAGTCTCCTTTGGCTTGGGTAAGCTAGAAAGCTGAGATTTTAGGCTGCGTCGGGCGAAGCTTTCTCGCATTTTAATCTCCTTGGGCGTACTGCCAACAAGCTGATAAGGATCGCCGGTTTCTGGGTTAATCATGAGGTTATCCCTGGGTGTTCGTAATGGTGTTGCACCCGGCCCACGCATATGAGTCGCGCCGGTTGCATTGCCCATTCCTTGTCGGAACGGTGTGGCCATGGGGTTTGGAGTGACCATCTGGTGTTGACGAGGCGCTATACCCTCAAATCCAGTTGAACCACCCCCTTCTTGTAGAGGAGTGTTTTCGCCGCCAAGGAGAGACGACTGAGTTTCTGTCAAGGCCCTAATATTCCGGATTTCGTTCGCGATACGATCCTCTTCCGGCGGTGCTCTGGGAGTTCGGATTGGTGTGTTCCCAACAATATTCGAATAGTTACCGACAAGTCCTCGAGTCCCTTCGCTCCCATCTTCACCGGCCATTCGACTCGCACGCTCTCCAGCCATCCCCATCTTAACGATCTCTTCTAGTTCAGTTTCCCCGACTTGAGGGCTTGGGAGAACAAGTGCGCGCCGTTTGCTGCTCTGCTCTGCCTCACGGATTCGCTGCATCTGACCTGCTTTGGCGGCGGCCGCAAAGGCAGAAGAGGGGCCATTCTTTTCATTCTTCCTCCGCTTCCTCTCATCGTCTTCATCTGGTTCACCCTTTCGCTTACTTGCGAGCTGCAGTTTTCGGGGGTCGAAGCTAGCACGCTGCCGTTCATTTTTCGATTGTTCATCAAGAGTATCGTAAAAGCCAGGGACCGGCGCCTTTTCAAACGGAATATCTGCATTATAATCCATCTGGCCTGGCTTACGGGTAACAACCTTGACGTTGATTCCGGCATTTTTAAGTTCCCTTCGTTTTTGTAGGACTGCGAGTCGACGCGATTCCTCGAGCTGACGTTCTCTTGCTTTGCGCTTCGCTTTCTTACCCTGAGTGTTGGCCAGACGCGCTCGTGCTTCGCTAAGCATTTCCTTTTCATCCTCGTCAAGGTCGATGGTATCAGGGCGCGCAGGCTTGGATTCGGGATCGGGGTCTAGTTCTCCTGGTCTATAAGGATACTGTCAGTAAAAGTCGGCAAGAGGTTATCGCATATCTTAACTTACCGTAGTCTCCTAACGTCGTCTGCACTGGGAGCAGCAGCCTCGCCGCCAGCAGGTCCACCAAGGCCAAGTTCATCTGACTCCCGCGCCTCAGCTTCATCCAAGAGCTTTTGATATCTTTCCAAACACTGCGTAGCTGTTCGTCCAACAATAGGCGCAATAGTTCGCCATTGCGTGGGCATCAATTTAGCCAAATGAAGCAGTTTTTCGTCCTCCTCCTTGGACCACTCGATCTTTCGAATAGCTGGATCCAGCCATTCTGACCATCTAGCTTTGCACTGTTTTGGTGTTTTGCGCGCAAGAAGCGAGGAAACTCGAGCCCATTGGTTCAGCCCATACTTGGAGACCGCAACCTTGACGATTTCGTCCTCGATATTTGTCCTAGGGGAAGATTTAAAATGTCAGCAGGCTGTAATCCAAAGCAACGCGTAAGTAAATGTTATAACATACCAAACACCGCCTTTTACGACCGGCATATTGACGGGTGCCTCAGCCTCGAACCCGTTGTGTGATTATACCGCGTGTCGTGCTGGAACTCCTGCTGGAATTTCGTTCTAGCTGGCGCCCTTGGACTATTGATGGGCTTGGGAAACATGAAGTTGAAATTTAGCGCATGTTAGCGCCAAGCGCGATAACCAAATGCGCAAAACTTAAATTTTCCTCAAGAAGAAAAATGCACCGCACGATAACAAAAGACACACAAGTTGACGGTCAATACTGAAAATCGATATTCTACAGATCTATCACTAGCAGAATGTCGGCCTCAGTAGGAGCGCCGCAGCAGCATAAGCAGCCTTCACGAAAGGGCAAGAAGGCGTGGAGGAAAAATGTCGATGTGACGGAACTGCAAGAGGGGCTTGAACAGGTTCGAGAGGAAGTAATCAAAGGGTACGTTAGGTTCTGCTATAACTTGATGGTTGAATGTTGAAACTAAATTTACTTTGCAGAGGAGTGTTGGCCGAGAAACCATCCGAAGAACTGTTCATAATCGATCCTACAGGCGATGAAGAAGTCCAGAAGAAAGTCCTGAAAAACTCCAAACCTCTACGAGCCGACGAAATTCTCGCTCAGCGCTCAGCTATAAGCGCGGTTGACAGCCGGAAACGGCCGTCCTCGAAAATTACAGATGGGATCATTGAGCCTAAAACTAAAAGAAATCGAAGTGACTGGGTAACGAGGGAGGAATGGCTACGTTTGAAGAAAGTGGCGCAAGAAGCAAAACTCGACGAAACGGCGATACAACCTAGCGTAGCTCACGATCCATGGGCTGTCGATAGCAAGCATGAGAAGGAGTTCACCTTTTTGGAAAAGAAAAAGCCAGTCAATGCTCCCAAGACCATGTCTCAAGCCCCAATTTCACTAGCAGCAAACGGCAAAGCGATACCGTCTGTGATGAAGCCCAAGGCCGGGATAAGCTACAACCCCTCATTCCAGGAATGGGACGATTTGTTGACGAAAGAGGGAGAGAAGGAGATTGAAGCCGAGAAGATAAGATTAGAGGAACAGAAACGAGAGGCGGAGCGGATTGCGCGTATCGAGGCAGCAGAGGGCGACGATGGCCAGGTCAAATCTGACGACGAGAGTGCGTGGGAAGGATTCGAGAGTGAATACGAGAATGAGTCGCTGAAGAAGAAACGGCCCGAGAGGAAAACTAAGGCCCAGAGGAATAAGATCCTTAGGAGGAAAGAAGCGGAGAGAAAGGCGAAAGCAGAGGCTAAGATGAAGATGCGGGAACAGCAGGCTGCCCAAGCTAAACTTATCACGAAACAGATTGAAGAGAAGGAGAAATCGAAATTGGCCGTGGCGAAGGACGAAGAGTCTGAGGAGGATGAAGAGCCTGCTCTTCGCAAACGGCCATTTGCCGGCAGAACTCCGTGAGTACCTTTTTTTTTAACAAGTTTACCATATTCCTACTAACAGACATCGTATAGTGTACCGGCCAAACCGTTAGAGTTGGTTCTACCAGATGAGCTTAAGGATTCGCTCTTGCTCCTCAAGCCAGAGGGTAATTTACTAGGCGACCGGTACAGGAGTCTGATGGTGCAGGGTAAACTCGAGGCCCGGAATCCAATCTTACAGTCGAAGAAGGCGAAGAGGAAAGCTACAGAAAAATGGACGTACAAGGACTTCAAAGTGCCATCTGTTTGAGATGGCCGGCTTTATCTTCAAAATTAATATCGCGGAGTATACGGAGTATATATAGGGAGTTCTGCTTTCGTTGTAGATATGAGAAATGATTCAACTTTTTGTCTCTTTTTTTTGACACTTTTTTAACAAAACGCGGCCTTATTTCCACGGGCTTACTAAGTTGTTAGTCAGCTTATGTAATCACTGGTTTGTTTGCGCTGTTTGCACTTTGCGATAACAACTTTGAAAGATCAAAAAAATAATTCTTCGAAGCACAAGACGATTCGCAGTTGGATATTCTCTCCCAAGGGCGGCTATTGCGATAGAATGGGAATGGAGCGAAAGGAACTTTCGAGCAATTGGAGAAAGCTTCAACAGTCTCTCAAGCCCAGTAGCTCATCGCCTAGCAAGGATTCAGCTGCGAAAAAACGGACATCTACTGGTGGCTCGGCAGCATACAATGACAGCGTGAAGAGGAGGAGAGTCTTCTCGTCGTCGAAAAGTTCGACCGCTGTTGATAATAGCTCACTCCGCGGACCGGCGTTTAAACGGCGGAGAACTATGTCCACGGCTACAGATGTAGCAGATAATACAGAGACTACGCCGGTAGCATCTTCAAGGCAGACAGCTTCTGACAAGGACCTAGTGAATATAGGGCTATCACCCGAGTAAGCGCAGTCCTATTATCCCAATAAAAACTGACCTCTAACGGAACTATACAGGATCGAAGTGGGAAAATATGTTGCGATCGATTGCGAGATGGTAGGCGTAGGACCAAACCCCGATAAGGACTCAGCCCTCGCCCGCGTCAGTATCGTGAACTACAATGGTGATCAGGTCTACGACTCCTATGTCCGGCCCAAAGAAATGGTCACCGACTGGCGCTCGCATGTAAGCGGAATTCTCCCTAAACACATGGTCGAGGCGCGCTCGCTAGAGACCGTTCAGCGAGACGTAGCGAAGTTGCTTGACGACCGGATCTTGGTCGGACATGCGGTGCGGAACGATCTCGATGCGCTACTGCTCAGCCATTCGAAACGCGATATCAGGGATACCAGTCGACATCCACCGTATCGAAAGTTTGCGGGTGGAGGGTCGCCGAAACTGAAGGTATTAGCTTCAGAGCTTCTAGGGTTAGAAATACAGGGTAGTGCACACTCGAGTGTTGAAGATGCCAGAGCGACGATGATGCTTTTCCGTAGGGACAAGGATGGGTTTGAGAGGGAGCATTTAAAGAAGTGGCCTGCTCGGACGGTGCCGGCGTCTGATGGGACTGGCGAGCAAAAGAAGAAAAAGAAACCAAAGAAGAAAAAGAAGTGATCTACCAGATGTAGGTGTTAGAGTCGGATACCCCGTTGCGTTGCTTCATAGCGTATGTTTCTATAATCATGGTCGAATGCATATTACATTATTGATATCCAATATCATTTCGTATGTACTACTCCTAGACCTCACCAAATTCCCCGATCCGGTGTAGCGTTCTAGATCGAGTATCGCCGCTTTAACTACCAACCGTAAATTCCTCTAGGTATGGTAGTCACGCTCTCGCATTAATATTCTCCCGACAACCCGAGGCGTCTGAGACGAAATATAAATGAGGTTATTATCTCTCTCGCTTTCTTATCTGCTTCAAAGTAGAGAGCACCAGTTAAAGCAAATAAACAACTCCTATATCACTGCTACACCCTTCAAGGCGCGTTTATCATACTTGGCCATGCCCAAAACCACCCCTCCCTTACCGGCGGAGTCGGCTGGCGATGAGAAAGTAGTGTCGCCTTCTACGAGCTCCAACAGCCCTGACACGACTACAGCCTCCAACACCACTGATACGACTAGCTCAAAACCTCGTCCAAAGGTAGACCGCGACTACTTGAAGACGCTAGATAGCCAGGCGCTGGGTGCTTATTTTAGAGCCATGTCTGAGGAAGAAATGGAAGAGCTTTTTAGAACGTCTAGCATGCCGCGTAAGTTACCTCTCATTACCTTAAAGATTTTAACTAATTATTTCTGTAGCTTACAAAGGTCCTTCTATACCATACGATGACTACGCTGATATTGCCTATGAGCAGGGGAAGCCGCTCCCAACCCCAGATTTCAGCTCAGATACCACTATATCCTATCCACCTCATTTACCGTAGTGTTCTTTCCTTCCACTATACCCTACCCGACCGCTCCTTTCATCTACCATACCTCTTGCTTTTATCTACCATGTCTCGACCTCCGTCTGCCATACCTCTTGTCAGTACCCTATTTTCTTTGCCATAAGTGTCTTGAGTATCAACTTTCTCAACCGCATAAGTAATCTCTCCTACTTTCCCTCCACCCTCCCAGTCGCATGCTCGGTTTGTCTCCTGTTTCTATATACATCTGCCCTCCCAGTCCATTTGCTAACGCATGTATTCCTTGCACCAAGTAAGAATTATAGAGCAGCCAAACTCTACTTACAGAAATGCTTAGGCCGGGTCAATTTACGCGTCCTTCTTTATGATGGAATTTTTGCTCGAAATATCACACCAAAAATGGGCTGATTTTTTAGTCAATCCACATATCGACTACACGCATGCGAAGCAAGAGCTGGAGAAGCGATTACCTTCGGACAGTAAATATCTCAACCAGATACTCTAAATTCGACCTCCGTACAACCTTATGGTTAATGAGAAGGACGGCAACAATCCCTGTCGCCCATCCCTGAATGATCTTGATCTCGCCATGTGGTCGTATCGAGAGGAACGTAGCGGAGGAGATCTCTCCGGATGCTAAATAAGCGATAACTTTGTAAAAATACGAGTTTTGGCAGCATGTAAGCTAGTCTATAGTCCGCCGTAGATAGAAACGCGACGCGTCAAATTCAATTTAAGCCATCACCTTCAACCTCACCTCACAACAACTTGACGAAGAAAAAAAAACCCCCTGATATCCTGCTAGCCTATACATATACCCACACAGACAGAGATAAATCAAGTTCATCAGGTCAGAGCCCAGTACTAGCCAGAATAATGCTTGCACTACGACCAGCAGCTGCCAAAGCGAGCTCTCTACAACCGCAGAAAGAGGCACAGGCACAGGCACAGGCACAAGCACAAGAAGAGAAACCATCACACTCGCAATCACAGATAAACAACTCTCACACACCCGCCGCGACCGTGACGACTAATATCTTACCCTGCCGAATCCACCACGACGGACCAGTGAATGTCTCGTCGAGGCATTGGAATCCGGTATCTGACACAACTACAGATGGAGGTATATATGCACGCATGCAGCTACATCTTTATAATTAATCAGTAATGCTGACACCATCATTAGAATCAAACACATCGACGGCATATTTCCGTGGTCGAAAGCTGCGTGGTCGTTCCATGCCTCTTCCAGACGGGTATCAGGGTATATTCGCCTATCCTCATCAAATCTATATGTAAATGCATCTAACGACGATTAGGAGTGGTTGTGACTAAACCACCACAATGCGAGAATTCCACCCGTCGCCGAGTAGGTGATGACGACGAAGAAGAGGAAGAAGAGGAACCGATATCCCAGCTTGAAACGGTTGGAACGTTCTCTACGCTTACGGTATGGGAACATGAGAAGCTTCCTGCCGATGAGGACGTCTATGTTCGATCTATGGGGGAGTGGATATCATTCGCACATGCGGTGAGTTACAGCCTTTTATGAAGCATGAGCTGAGCTGAGCTGAGCTGACGGATCTTAGATGCATGGCGACGACGAAGGCAAAGCAGGCCTAATTAAGAACTAAATCAAAGAAGTTACGAAATCACATATTTTGAGTATCCAATATTCCATAATGATATTGATAAAATATCTAGCTCGACATATTACATATATACACGCATTTCCATTGCGGACATTAAATTTACTATTTTAAACCGAAAACGTGAAGGCGATGGTGAACGTTTACCATCTGGTCTTGCTCAAACCGAGACACTGAGCCATACGGAAGAAGATATCAACAGAGTTATAGACACCGCCGAAGTCTTCCTGGCATGGTCCCATGGCGAACACAGGAACGTCAGTGAGCGAGTGAACGCCCGAGGCTTCGTCAGGAGCAATGGTGCCGTTGACGATGAAACCGGTGACGGCGTCCTTGTAGTTGACGTAGTAGTCCTTGGAGCCCTTGGCGGAAGTAACAGGCTTTCGTGGACCGTCCTTGTGGACTTGGTAGTTCTCACGAATGTCGGGGTGAGCGGCGAGGCCGGCGTGGAGGGTGTAGCGAGGGTCCCATTGGGCGGGGAAGTGGACGCCTTCGGAGTACTTGAGGGAGCCCTGGGTTTGGACGGTGTACTGGGATAGACCGGAGTTGAAGTAGGTGCCGATGGCGTTGCGCTTCTCACGGTCACCCTTCTGCTCAGCGAGGTACTTGGTGTCGACGGATCCGGTGACATCGAAGCCGTGTCCGTGGTCAGCGGTGACGAGGATGAGGGTGTCGTCCAATTCACCTAGGGCACGAAGCTTAGCAATGGTGGCACGGACGGTGTCGTCGAGCTCGAGGAGTTCACCGAGAGCACGGTCATAATCCAAGGAGTGCATTTGCTTGTCAATGCTGGCGGCTTCAGACATGAGGAAGAAACCCTTGCCACGGCTCTCGCGGTGGTTGCGGTTGCGGGTGTGGAGGATGTCGATGGCCTTGAGGGTCATCTCCTTGAGGCCGGGTTGGTCGTCGGCGTCCTTGTCAGAGCCATCGGGGTAGTTCTTCTGCTGCTTGAGGTTATCCTTGTAGACGTTACGGTCGAGCCACTTGGCCATGACGCTGGTGGAGAAGACACCGAGAGCACGGTCGTTGTTGGAAGCCTGTGCAAGGGCGGTGGCGTTCCAGGACAGAGAGTATCCCTTCTTCTGGAACATCTCGTAGTAGTTCTGTTTCTTATTTCCGTCGCTGGGCAGGAAATCCTCGGCACCACCGCCGAAGAGAACGTCGGGACCGTCCCACTGGGTCCAGTTAGAGAGACCGTGGTAGTAGGTGTCGATGACGTGAGCGGCCTCACCACGGTCACTGGTGTGAGCAGTCAGGGCAGCTGGGGTAGCGTCAGACAAATGGGCGGTGGAGACGATACCGACACCAGCACCGGGGTTGACACGGCGGAAGATCTCGGCGATAGTCTCGAACTTGGGGTCGTCAAAGGGAGACTTGGAGGAGTCTCGGTAGACGTTCAATGCGTTGACAGTGGACTTGTGGCCGGTGTAGAGGGCGGTGGCAGAGTTGGCAGAGTCGGTGATGAAGGAATCCATGGAATGGGTCATCTGGTGACCGAGGACGGGGAACTGGTCCATCTGCATCGTGGTCTGGTACTTGCCGTTGATGGAGTGATGGGCCATCAGACGGGCGGCAGTGATCATGTTGGTGGTCATGCCATCACCGATGAAGAGGACGACATTCTTAGCACGACGGCGGGTGCGCAGCTCCTTGACCTCCCAGGTAGCGGTGGTCTTCTTGCCATTGTAGTAGGTCAGGACGGCCTCGTAGGTACCGGGGCGGTCGAGGCTGACGCGACGGAAGGCCTTGGAGGCGACGTTGACGAGGGAGGGCTTCTTTGCGTCTTTGGCAAAGAGATCCTCGTACCAGGAGAACTGCCACTTCTCGAGCTTCGGCTCCTCGACCTTAAAGAACTTGGTCGCTGGCTCGGCGGAGTGGGCGCCTCGTCTCTTGTGCTCGATGGTGAAGGTGAACTTCTCATCTGGCTCTCCGGTGCGAGCCTCGGATCCATTGACCGGCTGGTGCACCTCGAGACGGATGTCGAAGAACTGTCCAGACAGGAACTCGGCTCTATACGCTGGTTAGTTCTATCATCCCGGTGGTCAATGGTCAATTGGCTCAGGCTGGACGTACTTGTCTGGGGGGAAGATGCATCCAAGCTCGGGACAGCCACCCAGACGCTGGAAGGTCTGGGCGAGAGCTGTCGAGGCGAAGGCGGCGGCGGCGAGGACGGAGTACTTCATCTTGCCCGGAATGCTTGACTTGGAGGAGGAGAAAGAAAGGGAAAAGAGGACGGGGGAGGATGGTCTTAATATACGGACCTGGCCACGGATCAACAACGCCCGTCCGTCCCATGCCTCTCTTCTTCTTCGATTGACCTCGACCTCGACCTCAACCTTGGCCCACTCCCCACGTTGGTCCAGGGTTGTGCGTCGCGCATCCACGCGCATCCATGTCCGTAGCTATCGCGAGTTATCAGGTCGACTGCCACAACGTGCAACCTGCCACGGTCCGCTCGGAGGATTCCGTATACTCCGTAGCTTCGTTCGTGCCAATTGGACTACTGGTCAGGAAGTACGGAGGATGGAGTACTCCATATCTTGGTTGCCTCCCATCGCCGCTGGCCTTGCTACCTTTCTCCCCCCCTGGTCCGCAATCTCCGAGGCATGAGCAGGGAAGTTAGGGAAGTTGCATCTCTTTTACTCCGTTCTTAACACGAGAAGATGGGATGAAAAAGGGTAAAAAAAAGGGAAGGAAGTAAAAGGTTAGAGCCAGTCAGGAGATCACGGGAAGGCACGTGCTGCACGTGTAAGTAGGTCAAGCCTTGCCAAGCATCGCCAAGGAACCGCTTATACTTATGTCATCCCGGTCTAATAATAGAATATAAGCTTATATAATATAGCCCAAAGAGGAAGTCGACAAGTAGGGCGACAAGGGAGACGAAAAGGGCAGAACGAGAGAAGGAGAGAAGAGCGAAGAGCCCAGAAAAAAGACTCCGCAGAGGAGGCGGAGGAGCGCCTTGGGGATGCCTTGCTCCAATACGAAGCGTTAAACGTTGGATGCTCCATCGCGACCATGTGGCCGGTCCTCGGGTACATCTCTTGGTTTTCGAACCTACTTGTTTCCTGTCCAATGATGCAGCATGCGGCGATGCTGGATGGAGCTCTGCTGCGTGTCTTGAGTTCACCTTTTTGCTTTCATCTGGAAACATCCTCGACTTTGAGGCCATCACGATTCATGCCGCATATAACTGATTATGTAATGGTTACATAATACCACCACCGAGCAAGCATCAACTGCACAGCCATGGCGATGTCGAGACGATAACCACTTGATGTGCATAGACAGGATGGACGAGCAAGCAGATAGCGCCAGCCTGGTCCCACGGTTCGTTCTGGACCGGCTGCTGAACCAGGGTATGGCATCCAACATCTACATGCAATGCACGTCTTTGACAACTAAACATCGCTAGACCAGAATGACCGCCGCATCTCACTCCTCGGCTCAATCGACAGCCAACCAGCTCTCCTGCTCCTCGAGCGCGCCGCCTTCGCCGTCGATCAGCCTTCTCTAGCCTCAATCTGCTCCTCTCTCACGCACATCTCCCACCTCAGCGCAAACGACATCTACCATTGGGCCCTGGCCTGCTCTCCTTCCTCGCCTTCCTCGCCGGACCTGAAGCTCACCCTCATCTACCCGTGCACGCCCCAGCATGTTGCCAAATACTCTGTCCAGCCCGTACGCATGGTCACAGAGACACCAGCCATCTACCAGCAGCATGTCCGCCCATACATGTCCGGTAAGCGTGAAGCCGGCCGTCTGAACTGGGTCTACAACATCATCGAAGGCCGCAAGGAGCAGGAGGATGTACTCTTCCGCCACGAAGACGAGGAGGAAGGGTTCTTGCTACTCCCGGACTTGAACTGGGATCGTAAGACGATGGGGACTCTACGGCTACTAAGCCTAGTCCAGCGGAGGGATATCTGGAGTCTGCGAGATCTACGGAAGAAACACGTTCCATGGCTCAAACAGATGCGTGAAAGCATACTCGATAGCGTGGTGAAGGTCTATCCGTCCATGGAGCGGGATCAGATCAAGCTGTATGTTCACTATCAGCCAACATACTACCATTTTCACATCCATGTAGTCAATGTCATGCTCGACGCGGGCAATACGCAGGCTACCGGCAAGGCGTTTGGGCTGGAGAACCTCATCTCGCAACTTGAGACCATTGCGGGGGATGAGGAGGCGGGGATGGCAGATATGGATCTCACGTATTACCTGGGAGAGGCCAGTGAGCTGTGGGTGAACGTATTCGCCCCATTGAAGGGTAATAATTAGATAGAACGATAAAAATCATGATAGACGATATCTAACGATTGTTACGATGCTCTTTTTTGCTATGAATATTGCAGGTTTGCCGTGTTTGCACTATGACGCAGTTTCTCCCACCCACCACTTCTAGCCTAGGCATCAGCGCCAAACACACGACACAGCATCAACATCAGCATCAACGTCAGGAATTGAAGATATTACATTCAACAAGATACTAGAATACAAATAATCAACATGGCAGACAACAACCCCGACTGTCCACGCAATGCGAAGGCGTTTGTGCCTCTCGGTTAGTTCATCCCATCCAGCCCCTCATGTACAACCCGCTAACCAGACCGCTATAGAAAATAACCCCGAGGTCATGTCACATCTAATCCACCAACTCGGCCTTCCATCCTCTCTCGGTTTTGCAGACGTCTTCAGCATCTCCGACCCAGACCTTCTAGCTTTCATCCCTCGCCCCTCACACGCCCTCCTTCTCGTCTTCCCGGTCTCACAGACCTATGAAAAGTCCCGAGTTGCCGAAGACGCTGATATCCAACCATACACTTCCTCTGGACCCCAGGAGCCAGTAACATGGTTCAAACAGACGATCCGCAACGCGTGTGGTCTCATCGGCCTACTTCACGCCGTATGCAACGGTGCATCAAAGCGCGAGATCACGCCAGGCTCCGATTTAGCAAAATTACTAGCTGACGCTATCCCGTTAGCTCCTCAGGAGAGGGCAGACTTGCTATATTCTAGCTCTGCGCTGGAGAGTGCGCATGCCGATGCTGCTAAGAAGGGGGACTCGACTGCGCCTGATGCCGAAGAGAATGTTGATTTGCATTTCGTGTGCTTTGTCAAGGGTGATGATGGAAAGTTGTATGAGCTTGACGGGAGGAGAAAGGGGCCATTGTGCCGAGGAGAGTTGGGTGAGGATGAGGATATGTTGAGTGAGAAGGCGTTGGATAAGGGGGTTAGGAGGTTTTTGAAAACGGAGGAGGCTGCTGGGCAGGGTGACTTGAGATTCAGTCTTGTTAGTCTCGGGCCCGTGTTTGACTGATGGGATTGATGTACGATGTAGATCAGGTTAATAGAACAGCAAATCATCCATTTATTACTTTTTGTCATTATGATACATTTTTATCCAAGTAATCTCTAGTTGCCCACCATCCATCCCAATTAAACCTCGCTGCCTCATCACCTACTGCCCACCACCCTGTCGTGAGGCTGCGTGCAAACACCTCTAATGCCGAATATTCCTTGCTATCAAAGAATACCTGCCCAACTAGCTCTCTCAGCCCTGGCTTCCGCGAATGCACATCTGGAACTCCAGCAATAATCCTCCTCCTGACATTATCTACTTGCCCAGCCATCCTTCCCACTATCAACACCTCATACGGCTTCCTCCACACCCCATCAAGCGGCGTAACCGCTTCTCCAGCCACAGTCGTTTTAACCCATATCCATTCTTCAATAATACTAATGCCAGCCGCCTGAAAAGCATTCTTCACTGCCAGTCTTGCCTTTCCAGAGTTCGTGACCCAAATACCGACCACGCCGGTAGATATAAGGAATTTCCGTATTATATTTCTCATCAGTAACTCTAAATCGTCGAACAATAACGTTTTTGTGGCGTAATGTTTCGACCGTCTGACGGAACGGTTTGGCCAGGGTGGGTCGGCAAGTATGAAGTTGAATTTCTGGCTGGATGGGATGAGTGGTAATGCGCTGGAAAGGGATAACATAGAAGGCTGGATGTGTGTTAATATAAAGGCTGATTCTGGAGGGACCAGTAGGGATGTTTGTCTCTGTGTTGGGGGTTCTGCATTCGCTGTGGTAGCATCTGCAATTTCAAAGAACCGGACTACCGCTTTTTGGGAGCTCTGATTTCTCACGAGGGTATTGTGAATATCTTTAACTGATTGAAAACGGTTCAATCCCGGAGAGAGAATAGTGGGAGGTGGTAGTGGTCCGGATATGGCTTTCATGGTGCCATATTCTTCATGTTTCCCAGTACCCGCTGGTAGAATTGACTCAGGATCTGGTCCTTGCTCAGGCGTTAAATCTGGTTCATCAAGTCGTGATCGCTTCCTAGACGGTAAAGCGGTATCTGACCCATCGTCCAAAGGCATCGTACACCTGTGGTAACACCATTCTCCACGATAACCATCCCTCAGCGTCTTCATCCCATCTTCAACGACTCCAAGTAATTCTTCATGATACTCGCGCTCACTGGCCGGAACATGTTTTAGAACCTTCGCCCTTCCAGCCTCTGTTTTTGGCTCTGGAGACGGCCCACTGTATGGGCTCCTGATAGCTTCTGAGGAGTATATAAGTGGTGTTTTAGACGGGGTATCATTGGTGCTAGCACTGGGTAGCTGTTGTGCCAGGCTCAGGGAGAGCGGAATGTCTATTATGAACACATCCCGAACAGAATCTTGGTATAATATCGATGATCTGGGCAACATGGATGGGCCATTTCTTGATTTATTAAGACACAGGCTCATCTCACAGATATACCTGCGGTGTTGATGGCGGTTGACGTCGAGATGGTAGGAGAAGTGTGAGACACTTGGCAGCCACGACTTCAACCTGGCTGCGTCTGCAATTTTCACTTCCTCGCATAACGCACAGTGAATTGCAAAATGATATCACGCCGATCATATACTACTGTATGCTTAGCTTTATCACTACAACCGAGGATGTTCTATCTTCTGGTCCGCACGCTTGAGTCGTGGGCTAGCATGTTTCTCCAACCAGACATAGCGTCATGATGATACCACATAGCATGACTGGTTAAACGAAGAAGCATGATACGAAAATGGAGTGCATACTAAAGACATATACTAGGCTAAATATGAAGTCTAGATAACTAGGAGAGTTTCGTCGAGCAATCTGACTCGGAGAGAGCCTCCTCGACACGGTCCCAAACTGTCCTTCTCAAAGTGGCAGAGATCCAATAATTCCCGTTTGCATCCTTACCGAAAAACAAACAGTTTGGTGAAATAATGTGGGAGATTTCACCGGGAAGGAAGTTTTGACAATAGTATGGTCTGACGGGGGAATTTGGCTTTGAAGGCTGATCTTTTCTTGCACCAGAGAAGTCCAAGCTATACAGGTTCACTTTTCCCTGGCTTGCACTTAGAAGTGCCTCCGTTGACAAATCTCCCAGCCATGCCGGTAACCCGAGTATCGACTTTGCAGCCAGAGCTTCCTGAGCTTCAATTTGTTCTCTCGTGTTGTCCTGCTGTATAGTCCGCCGGATTCGATAAGCCGTATATCCGAGTGGCTCATCGAGCAGTTCCTTTCGAGTCACCAACGTCTGCAGGAAACCGATGGCATTCGATAGGTAAACGGAATCTGAAGGCAGCAGATCCTTTGATAGCGGACCTCTCCGTGAAGCAGTCGTGATAAGATTGATCTTGTGATTTCGATTTCGGGGCGTACATGAGAATACTATTCGGGCCCACCAGGCGAAAAGAATATCGTTCTCGCTGACAAAAGAGGTTTTCGCATTTGGGACCTTGCCAATGTCTTTCAAGGCTTCTTTCCGTAACGATGCGATCAGAGAAGACGGAACGCAGACAACTCGGTTTATGCGTTGGTATAACAAAAACCTCGGCAGTCTCAAAGAGACACCCACCAGCTTCTGCCACTTCGATAACCGTTGATCTAGGCACCTGTATGGCTCAGTTGGGTTTTGGCCAAGGGTTGCCAAAGGGTTGGTATCAGCTCCGTAGGGCACTGGAACCTTGGCCTCCGGGTCTTGAAGCAGCAGGGTCCACGCATGAAGGAGAGATTTCATCCCCATACCATCACAAAAACTATGGGGTGTGGATATAGAGATTATTGTGGCATCATTGAAAACTCCAACGTGGAGTGCCATCTGTGGTATATCTACACCCACATACCCCCAGGCCGTTTTAGGAGCCTTTTGGTCATATGCCAGGGAGACGAATGCCTCCGAATGGGCAACAACAAAAGGATATTCGGCAGGTCCTATGTCAGATATGTGAGACGCAATTGGGTGATCCTTTATGTCTATGCCGTACAGCTCCTGTGAGAACCTAATGGCGGGCTGACTGGACGTAAACTCGCTTGGGATATGATATTCTAACCGCCCATTCTAATTGTAATGTTAGCCTCCAGCATCACGACAAAATCTTTGACTGTTATACCCAGCGGCGTTTTAACCGAGCACCAATCTTTTGCCAGCCCTCCCTCTCTGCTAACATGCACAATGTGCTTCGTAATTTCTCAGGGTCCAGAACATCGTCAAAGACCATCATACGATGTGCCGATGTCGTTTGTATGAGGAGGCCACCATCATGAGAGTTGAGCGGCACTACTTTTGGTCTTTGGATGGACATTTTAGACCTGCACGGGGTAGTTGACGATTGGCTTGAGTGCAAATCTGCAATTGGTATGGCCTTTGAAGGCGATTCTTGTGTATGAGCTACCACGGCGTGGACAGCGGAAAAGGAGAAAGGTAGAGAAGGGGACGCTTGGTTTAAATGCATTAAGGTATTTGTGGCCATGGTTAAATAGTGGTATATGTTTTGTTGTCACTCGATTTTGCTCCGAAAGTCATATATTTGATATGCCAGGGTTTCACGTTCGAGGCTACCCTGGTTTGAAAGCGACATGATAATGCAGAGCGACTTTATTTTGCGCCAAAAGAAAATCTCCTGCATGCAAGCGTCGATCATATATCAGCCATACCCTTTGCGTCAATACGAGCTATGTAGGTTTGATGCCGGTACTAGCTATTGCTGCGGGTAACGTGGCAAGATGTAAATTGTGGTCGGAAATATCAATCATGACCAAGCTAGTCGACTGTACCTGGACAGACGGTGTAGCCCATCGTTTGTCCTAAACCACGGCTCGGGGAACGGCCAAGCCTCACGATATTTGATATTCCATGAGTGCCCGAAGGAAAACCGATTAATGGTACCCTTTTTATGATTCATGATTACAATGGTGCAACATACATATGGTAAAAGTTGTATACTCCCACTCCTTCATCAGATAAGGACCCACAATACAATTAACACTATGTGATATGTGCAGACTTAGCACCACATATAGTCATGTTAGCTCCTAGTATTTCCTTTTTTCAGCCCTCTATCTAAATAAAGGGTCCCTTCCGTGCTCTACTGGCGGCTTACCCCAGGCATTGGCTATTTACCTCGATCCAGCATTTGGAAAAAATCACATATCACTTTCATATATCACCTTACCAGCCATGTCAGAATACCCTCATGACACCATCAAGCAATACTACGAGAATCGTTATGTCTTCTTTACAGGGGCAACCGGAATGATGGGCACTGCCTATTTGAGTAGGCTTGTGCTAGAAACCCCAGTCGCCTGTGTATTTGCCGTTGTAAGGGGGGGAGAAAGGTATGGCATTTTCTCTTTCTAACTACTAGCTAATTATGCTAAATCGGTTGAATAGTCGGTTTTGGGAGGTATGGGCTAGGCATCTCCCATCGGATATGCTTGAGAAACTTCGGCTCTCGGGGAAGTTGCGCATTTGGGATGGCGACATCACTCTCCCTGAGTGTGGTCTCACTGCGGATCAATTGGCACTACTCCGCAAGAATGTTTCCATATTCATACACGCCGCTTCCACAATCAATTTAAAAATGCCGTTGCCAGCTATCTCCAAAGAAGTCATTTACCCATCGTTAGCTATTGCGAGAATTGCACTTGGTTGTACGAATTTGGTCAAGTTCGTGTACGTTTCGACGGCGTACGCTGGTGCATTCCTTCAAAAGACAAGCAACGGGGGATATAGTGGATCTGACGCCGTGATAAAGGAGGAAATAAGATGCATTCGCAGTGGTCAAATATCTCCATCGATAGAGTTATCTGATCTAAAGACGTATGGATCAACCCCGGAGTACGATTTTGCTCGACATCCCTTTCCGTATAGCTACGTAAAGCATTTGACGGAACGTCTTCTCTTGGAGCTTTTTGAGGAGGCCCAACTCAGCCAGATGCTGCTCATTTTTCGACCTTCCTGCGTCGGCCCTGCAGAGTCCAAGCCCTATCCGTTTTACGAGATTCCCGGATCATCTCCTGTGACAACCTGCCTAGTCACCTTGATTGTTAGCCCTCCAATAGTTCCAATGAAATTTTCATCACATCTGCCGGACCCAATGAAATCTACCGTTGACGAAGTACCTGTCGACGTGGTGGTCAATCGTTTAATGGCACATATTGCGTTCGAATCCAGCGGCTGCATTCATGCTGTTATGGGAATCAGAGGTCGGCGCTATTGCGCAGACTTATTTCTAACAGCTATGCGACTCCGAAGACTTTGGTGGTTTACCCCTAACGTTTCTTTTACCAACGAGCACTGGAGCTCGGACAAGTTGTGCATTCCAGCGAAGTTATTTGTGGTCCTAGGCTGCTCATTCGCCTTTGAAGATACCAAGGCGGAGCTCCTATGGGATAAGATGAATGAACCAGAGCGATCAACCTGGCCTTTATGGCCATGTAAGAATCTCTCGGTGGAGGAAACCGTAGCTGGTCGCGAGAACTCTTTTGCGACCCTGGCTGAAGTGGCAATTGCTAAGGTATACAGGTTACCGCCATCATTGAAGTGGCTGTTCTATAGATTTAATAAAATTTGAAGGTCAGTTTCGTATATAGGAGAGGATACCTTCCAAAGGAGATATTATGTTAATAATTTGCACCGCTCATATGAATTATGTAGCCCATAACTCTTGAATCAGAGTCTTGATTCAGGATTCATATGGATATGAAACAGGCGCGACGTCGTTAAACAGAGCGGGTCTTGGCATATCCACTTTTCTTTACCGGCCCGGCGGATCATCTCCATAGCCTTAAATTTAGGACAAGCCTCAAAACCTAAAATCATATCCTGGTGGTCCAAATAGATAGGGAGAGTCAGTTAACCACAGCAGTGTACGGAGTACTCCGTGCTCTGTGGGTCTACAGGCTCATAAGACAGAGTAGGATATCAATGCAAGCATATTGAGTGTTAACCAGTGGCCTTAGTCTGAGGTAACACGAGGTAAGCGATATCCAACTTGTTCGATTATTGGGACACGATATCCTCGAACTTTGGTAATATCAGATATGCATTTCACAAACGATACCACCATGAAACCCAGGAATGATGTTTGCCAATCCATTTACACCTGCCTTGATTTTTGTGGGAAAAAAGCAGTTGTTAAGTTCCACGCCACATCTGTTTATCTAGAGCTGTGACAGTAGCTTAGAACCTGGCTACATATAATTTTCTTTTTTCAATATTTAATCTCATATATCTTTTTACTTTCTGGCAATTTGTAACCTTTCCAAATTCAGCGATATTATCTTCTTTTATCAGTATAGTGTCTCGTCATCCTCCTCATCTAAATATCTAGTATTGATCAGTGGTGTTCTCCCAGAACAAAAAGTTATGGGACAACTTGCGGATAAAGAGTCTTCTAAAATCAATAATACGTCCTTTCCAGAGCCACTTGAGAGCAGCCAATCCAGTCTTGCGGGCCCTCCAACCTCCAAGCTCAAGGCCGTCAGAGTGACTCCGCTGCGATTTTGGTTACTCGGAATTGGGTATGCATTTTGGATGCATTATCATTAAATTGATAGCTAATAAGAATAATCTGACAGACTCTATATCGGTTTATTCATGGCCGTGATGGACTCGTTGGTAGTGGCGTCCAGTCTTCACACAATTGCTCTCAATTTCAGAGTGTTTGTGTCCGTTAACTGGGTCGCACTTGCGTATACCCTGGCCGATTGCAGCTGTCGTGTGGTTTATGCACGTATATCCGACATTATTGGTCGACGAAATGCATGGATTGCCGCAACTGTTGTGTTTTGTATATTCTCCCTGGCCTGTGGTTTTTCCCAGAGCTTGTGGCAGCTGGTCGCCTTTCGAGCTCTTCAGGGAATTGGCGGTGCAGGTACGATTAGTACCATCTGATAGTATTTGAACTCCTCATCTTTATTGAACCCAAATCTGATGTTAGCATTGTAGGTTTCTACTCCCTGGCACTAATTATATTGCCAGAGGTCTGTCCCGATGACCACCTCGGATATGCAAGTGGACTGGCTGGAATAATTATCGTCGTTGCTAGTATAGTAGGGCCCATCCTCGGCGGCGTTGTGACACAGTATATATCGTGGAGATGGATATTCTGGATTAAGTATATACATTGACATGGATTCTTGTCTCGAACTTGACTAACAATTTTAGTGGCCCAATATGTGTTGTGTCGCTGGCATTTTCTCTTATCTTTTGGCCAAAGGAAAAGGACATCGTACATATTGCCCGTCGGTCGTGGAAATCATTTGATTTCCTTGGATCCATACTCATTCTCGCGGCCAGTATCCTCGTCGTGTTCGCATTTCAAAATGTTGGAGTTGCTGCAGACTCTATATGGGGCAGCGCTGTCTTCATTGTCCCTCTGGCTATTGGCTTTGCATGCTGGTTTGCCCTCATCATCTGGCAATACGTGGTAGAGTATCAGGCTTTTGGATATCATGTTTCGCCCGTGTTCCCCCTCTCCTTATTTAAAAACAGATTTTATGCGTCCGCAGTCGCGTCCTCGCTTTTCCTAGGCTTCCCACTCTTCGTGTTGATATTCTCAGTTCCTCTGAGGGGCCAGCTGGTGAGCAACAAGAGCGTATTAGGCGCATCAACCATGTTGATACCGATGTTAGGGCCATCCGCGATGGGCTGTGTCCTCTCTGCTGCATTGAATGCGAGAAAAAATTATACTTTCGAATGTATGCTTATAGGGGCATCCATGTCAACTATAGGATGCGGTTTACTCACGACAATTTCTGATTCAAGAGACGATAAGAAGCTACTCGGATACCTCGCGTTGGCAGGCCTCGGAACTGGACTCTCACTGGCCTCATCCACAGGGCTAACAGCTGTCGAGATCCCGCCTCGGAATTATGGTATGTTTAGTATCATCTAGCAGCTCTTCCCGTTGCAGGAAACTGTTGACAGTGTATACAGCGCCCGCCCAGGGCATTATCACTCAAGTTAGAGTGCTTGGAGGAAGTCTCGGTCTCGCTGCGTCATCTGTTCTTTTGCATAACGAAGTAATCAGGTTAATTGGTGGGCCTATACCCCCGAACCTCTCAGGCCTAATAAACGGCGAGTCACAGCTTCCAAGTGGGCTGAAGACTCTGTTACGAAATGCATGTTCGCAAGCTTTCCGTCATAGCATGATCGCATCAACTGCTTTTTCAGGGGCAGCGGTCCTCTTGACGCTCATAGGATTCCAGAGGGATCACAAGAATTCCAAGCAGCAACGTCTAGATTTAGTTCGAGCGGATGCAGAGGCATGTGCCGACGATACGAAGAATGGCGGTGCTGATTAGCTACAGTCAAGAGATATGAGGCAGTCCTATGAAGGAGGGGGTTATCGGACTACGTATGTGTACCTGTTAACATTTGAGGCCGTTGAATAGTTATGCTGACGCCAACTTTAACCAAAATCTAGAAAAAGCACAAGTACTAAAGCTACAATGTTACATATATAAGATCGAGTAGAAAAGCCATATCCTTCCCATTGAGAAAACACACACAATCGCCTATCTTAAAAACATATCTCCTCGTACATACAATTCGCCCCTTTCCCTTTCTTGATAGGCACCTAAACACATGAAGCTTGAAATTTGACTCGGCCCCAACAAAGAACAAAAACAGGCAAATAAAGACAAAACAAGAAGAAAAACACGCATACACAAAGGGAGAAAAGGTTTTCTGAGACGCATATGGGAAAAGGTTCAAATGGGAGTAAAGTATAACAGAGAAAAGAGAAAATTTACAAATTGAAAAGAAGAAGGGCATTTTTTTGTTTAAAACCAATAACAGAAATGGAAATACAGGCAGGCCAAAAGGGAAGTTCAAAAAATGACAGTGGTTGGAAAGTATAGTGGATTGAGGGAGGGTGGTGGTGAAATGGGACGGAGCACATTTTCATTTATTGGCTGTGGCTGTGGCTGTGCATGGTGTGAACCCAACCCTCATATTCCTAGCTAAATCAACCCGGCGGACCAGCACTGGGTAGAGATAGGTAGATATGGCCACATAGATAGAAAAAAAGATAAAAACACAAACATCAATGGTAGATGGGAATAGCTATGTGCCATGCCATATTGGATTTAACCAACGTTACAATTGAGACTTCGACATTCGGCGCTATTCCATGCACATAAATATGATGCAAATCAAGGCGACGCAGTAGTAACCATAAATGACTTCAGAAATTTTACACATATAGCTGCATCATTGGCAACATAACCTGAAGAAAAGCGTGTGTGGAGTTCATGAATCAATTAGGAATACTGTATTAGAGAAAACGGATGTTAGATCAATGGCTACAAATTTGGGGGCGATTAAAATATTAGTAGTGGCTGGGGGAGCTTACACGACCACGTCGACCAGAGGGTGGAGCACCCTGTGTTCCTGGACCTGGCTGGTAGAACTGTTGAGGATAATTATACAATTGTCCCGTACTCATGACAGGGCTAAATTGTTGGTTTCCATAAGCTTGTGGCTGAACTAGAGAGCTACCACCCATTGGTAGCGGAGCGCCGCCGGGGCCTGCCATGGATGGTTGCATGGAGCGGAAATTATCCATCGTTGAGGCTGTGGTGACGGGGAAGCCGTTCATGTTCATGTTCATGCCGTTTCCAGGAGGACCGGGTGGGAAGAAACCGGTAGAGGGCATGCCACGGGATTGGGCAGCGAGGAAAGCCTGGTATTGGTACTGTTGCGGGTTGAGTGGTGGTAGATCTTGGGCAAGGGCAGGGTTTGTCATTGGGAGGCCACTGAGAGTGCTCATTGGACCAAACGCGTATGGATCGTATGGCGGGAGGGCTTGTTCGGAGGAGATTGATCGTGACATGTTTGGAGGAGAGTTGAGAGATGGTTGCATGTTCATGTTGTGGGCACCCATTTGGCCATTGTACTGGCGGTCCGCCTGGTGTGGTTGGGTTGGGAAATTATTCCCCTCCTGGCGTTGCTGGCCTGGTTGACGCTGGTGTTTTTCTCTATCATGCGTGGCGCCGTGTTCACGACCGTGGTGCGCGTCTCGAGATGTTCCACTTCGAGAAGACAGACCAACCTCGTCCATGAGGCGCTTGTATCCCTGGCTGGGGGTAGTTTTTAGCTTAGTGAGCACCTTGGCGACAGTCTTGACCACGTCAGCACGCATTGCCTCCTCGAAGAATGGAGTGGTGAGGACTTTAAAGATCAAGGTGGCACCGGAAGACTGGTCTTTGAGAATGCTTTCCAGCGTCTCATCGCCTGGGCTGAAGAAGAGTGCCTTTAGGATGATTTCTCTGGCCTCGGGCTCATTTCTCTGGTTCACGATCTTTAGAACCGTCAAGTACGCGACTTTATGCGTGCAGAGCGCCACAAGGTGTGGCACTAGTCGTGGAGCAAGTACGGTGCGGCGATTAGGGAATGTGCATGTGTCGAGGAACCATGTTAGGAGTAGTGCACCATTGGCATTTGTTGCCAACTGAACGCTATGTAACGCAATCGCGGAAGCAAGCATCCTCTGCTGATCCTTTGAGGCATGGTGACTCTCCAAACAAGCCCTCATCGCTCTGGCACCGAACCGTCCCTGCGAAATCTCCCACATACGGCTAAGCATGGTCTCGAATATAAAGTCGTTGAATGGTGGACCGAAGCGCAAGCAACATTGCAAAACGTAGTTTCCATACTGATCAAGGAACAGTGGAACAGTATAAGGCCTCAGGCTCTCAACAATCGCTTGTTTCTGAGCAGGCACCTTGGATACGTCGATGATTTTCTGTGCAGCCCATGTACCGTTCTTATGCACACCGATTTCTGCAAGGTGAGGTGCTATCGGTGCCAACATTTGCTCCTTCGCTGGCTCGGAGCAGAACTCGAATAGTTTCTGAACAACGGTGTTACCCAGATAATCAGACGCTAGCTCAGCGATTTCAGGGAGCATTTCGTTGGCAGTCTCCTCAATTTCCTGCGCGCTACAGGCACCATTATCGATCTTTTTCCTAATTTCGCGAAGACGAGGGGCATCGAAGACACGGGACTGACTGGGTTCGGGAACAGGGCGGATTTCGTCTTCGAATGCTGTAAAATTGATTGCTCGTTGGATGCTCAGGGTGATATTTCGGCATTCAGTTTCCGAGGAGCCGAATTCAGCCACGATCTTGCTCATCTCCGGCTGGACTTCTTTCAGATCGGGAATGGTAGATGAAATAGAAGCATCGCCATCTTGGCCGGTAGTTCGACTGCCATCTCGAGCTGCAGATCCAACAGCCCCAGCATTCGCATCTGGTGTCGGGGAGTGCTGGCTGCCAGGTTGTCCAGGAGTTTCCGAGACCGGAGTAGCTGGTACCTTTGCGTAGCCGATACGAACTGGGCCAGCTCCTGGGAAGATCTCTTTACCGTTTAGTAGAGATTTGGCCTGAGTAGCACTCTCGACACGCTCAAAGTTGACAAACCCGCAGTTCTTATGGGTCAAGACGCGAGTCGACTCGATTTTACCGTATACATTGAATATGGCATCCAACGATGTGACGGTGGTGGAGACTGGAATGCTTCCAATCCATAATGCTCGGGTTGGGCCCTCCAGGTTATTTTCATCCACCGGCTCCTGAGATCGTAGCCCTCCCATGCCTCCCAACTGCATCCGCTGGACAGCCTCTGGTAGACCATCATATTCGGACCCTTCCGTGATGCGAACATCAGCTGCATTTATGCTGTTCTCGAGCCTAGATGGGCTTGCAAGGTAGTTTCGGATCGAAGAGCGCTGGAGTGGAGCGTCTAGGACGCCAGCGGTACGGGCTCGGGGACGGTTAGAGGATGCGTGATTTGCGAAGGCTTGGACGGCGAGGTTGTGTTGGTGGATCTGCGCTTGGGTGGCGGCAAGTTGGGCAGCGGTGGCAGCAGCAGATGGGGTCAGAGTACCCGAGGGGATGCCAGAGTAATGTGCACCAAACTCTTCATCCTCCTCGGCATATTTCTCCTTTGCGTTGACAGAGTATGATCGGAAGCGGTTTGAGCCTCGATTGAGCATGGCTAGTTCGGCAAGGAGAGGTGGTAGGGAGGACGACTGCTGTTGCTGTTGTTGCTGCTGCTGTTGCATGAGCATGGCAACCGACGGCCCTGCAAGGCTGGCACGAGACTGCTGGGGTGTCTCTGCCAACCCCAGATAGTCCAGAGTCCTCACATCGGCGTCTGCAAGGCCGTCCTTAGAGAAGGAGGATTGCGTAGGCGACGAGGGCCCCTCGGAGGATCGTATGCTAGCCAGTGTGGTAGCACGCTCGCGTCCGGATGCCCAGTTGGTCGAGAAAACTGATGGACCGAATGGACTTGCGTTATTTAGGAGATTGGGTCGCTGTGGCATCGAGCCAGCTCGGAGACGAGACAGCAAAACTGTGTTCGACTCGGTTCCTGGAGCGGACACCATCGAGGAGTCTACCCCCGTCGTATTCTGCGGACGGAATGGGCTGGTTGATGGGGTAGGTCTGGACGTTTTTGAGATGACGGAAGATTGGACGTTGAGTCCGTTGAGCGGTCCGACGGGAGAGAAGCGTGATGGCACGGTTCCCGCACGAGTTCGTCGACCAGGATTGTACGCTATGGTTTCAGATGATGGCACTAGACCTGGGAATTCGTCTTGGTTCGGTGACTCGGGAATATTTTCGCGAAGAGGAGTGGAATTACCACTGGTGGGTGGTCCCCCCCAGAGATGTGGAGTTACTCCTTCCTGGGCTTGTATTTCCCGAGCACTACCATCAAACAGCAAAATTAAGGTTAGATATAGAGATCGCAGACGACCAAGAATTTTTTCGGGGGGTAAACTAACACGTACCGTTTTGGATAGAGACGGTTGCCAAGATCATGAGAAGGGGAACCTGCCCCCATTCTCGAACCCCCAATCGACTGCGATGAGCCGGTCAACCCGTTTGAGCCACCAAAGGGCGACTTTGTCGGTCCAGCCTGCTGTAGCTCGCTGGGTGACGAGCTGCCAGTGGATGTGCCGGATCGTGGTTGAGAGGAGGGAAGGTAGTTGAGATTGAGATGCCCTTCGGGCCGTGACGAGTGGGCCATTATAGATTAATAGTTCAGACTGTTAATTGGATAAAACAAATCAAAATCCAATATAGACGCTGGATCAAATATCCGAAACGCTCTATGCCTTCTCTCTAAGAAGGGGGATATGCCGTGTTTTTCGTTGGTTTTTTTTTTTATCTTTTCGGTGTTTGCAACGACGGCGAGAAAAACCGTGCAAGGCCGCGCGGAGGCAGGAAAGAACGTGGCGAAGAGGTGGAGGTGTCAGAGAGAGGTATTAGTTCTTTCTACCTGCTAGCCAGACGGATTCAATTAAAATTGGATAGATGGAGGGGAAACGGCCACAGAGGGAGGGAGGGAGGGAGATGTCGAGAGGTCGAAGAGGTCGAGGTTTTTGGTTGAGGCGAAAAAGGACGTCAGATAAGCAGTGATAAGATGGCCCCTCGGGTCACAACGCAGCAAGAGGTCGATGTCAACAGTCAAGATGAAGAATGCTGATGCTGCGGGCGAGCGTCCCGACTCCAGTCCGGGTCGAAGTCGAGGATGAAACGGGTTCAGGACAAGGGGAGGATGGCCTGGGAGGGCGTTTTGGGTTTGTTAGATCCCACGCTGCTTGACGGCGATTCCTTTTTGACAATTCCTTTGTTGTTCGAACGAAAAAAGCACGGTATTTCACATTAAAGGCCTAATTAGCGTATATGCACCGGGACCGAGGACAGCTATGCGTGCGAGCGGGAGGTCGAGGGCGAGAGAGACGATGGCGGATGGCGATGAGAGGCTGACCGGCCGCAGAGCAGGCTGGTGGAGAAATGGACGAGCAGGATGGGAGCAGGGAGAATTAGGATGATCCAGTAAATAAATAAATAAATAAAAGGAGCGGATGGGAAGAAGAAGAAGACGAAGAAGAGAAAGGAGCTGGTGGTGGAAGCTGAGAAGCAGAGGAAGAGAAGAGAAGTTGAAGGTGAAGTTGAAGTTGAGAAGTTGAGGTCGGAGGTTGATATTTGGCGATGGCTTGGCACTTCCACTGCACTACGAGACGACGACGAGACGAGAGGCTACGAGGACACTACGAGGACACTACGACGATAGCAGGATAGTATGATATCAGGATAAGACGGGGTGATTGATCGAGTAGGATAAGATTATTCGTGTCTGAGGGCTCGTCTGCAGCGATCTCGCATCTGAAACTCCCGCCTGCCAGCCACCGCGCCGGCGACGAGCAGATCAGCCACCGGGGACATGAAACCTGGATACGAGTCTTCTCTTAGCGAGTGATATATCAATTATCTTATGCCTCACATTATCCTATGCCTCATGACGATACCGAGTAATGTGGTCGTGTGTGTAGGTAGACACCGTAGTATATCATCTCCTCTTCTCTACTCTTATATCTATTCTAATTATTCTTTCTATTCTATTTATTCTCTTCATTGTAATCTATTTTCTGTTTTATTCTCTTCTCTATCTATGTATTCGATAATCTGATATGACAAAGCTTGTACTCCATATTAGGCGTGCCACTCGAACTTCACCCCACTGCACATTTTTATACCGAACACACGACAGAACAGAGAGAAGAGAGAAAGAAACGAAGAGAAGAGAGAATAGGGAAGAGAGAAAGAAAAGAAGATGGCGACTAAAGACGTCTTCATCGACGAGGACGTCGGCAAAGACGATGACTCCGCGACTGGCACCGAAGCCGCCGCCTACAAGACGCTCGTCTATGCGATGCTGCTACACCCCGCCACGCCTGAAGGCCCCGTACAGTATATGACCAGAAAGTCCGAGACTGGACCGGTCGCTGAAGGGGAAGAGGCCTCGGTGCGCCTGCAGTGGAAGCCCGCGACCAAGTCTGCGCTCAAGAAGGCCACCAACCTCGTCGAGCAAAGGAAGAAGAAGGCGCTCAAGGAGAAAGAGCTCGCTGTCAGGGAGAAGGAGGAGTCTGAAAAGCGCAGGCTGGTGCTAGAGGAGGCGAAGAAGGTCGTCATCAAGGAAGACGAGGCGCTGCCCAAGCCTGTCAAGATCAGGTTGAATGAGAGGGACCCCGCGGTCGTCAGGCCTCGAGCCGAAGGGGATGAGCAGCCTGGAACTCGCGTGCGCGTTGTCGGGAGGGTGCATCGTCTACGGACGCAGAAGGATATGATGTTCCTGACGCTCTCGGATGGATATGGGCTGCTTCAGTGTGTCTTTACGGGAGACCTGACCAAGACCTACGATGCGATGACTCTTACGCTCGAGACTTCGCTGGCCATCCATGGAGAGATGCGGGCTGTACCCGTCAAGCAGCATGCTCCCGACAACCGCGAGCTGCACGCAGACTTCTTCCAGATCATCGGTCGTGCGGCCGGTGACAAGGAGGCCATCACCACGCGCGTGGCCGCAGATGCCGACCCGCAGACCCTCCTCGACAACAGACATCTGGTGCTACGTGGAGAGACCTCTTCATCAGTGCTCAAGGTCCGCGCTGCCGTCGTACGGGCCTTCCGCAAGACGTTTGAGGAGAAGCAGATGCTCGAAGTCACCCCTCCAGCCATGGTGCAGACCCAGGTCGAGGGAGGAAGCACCCTGTTCGAGTTCAACTACTACGGCGAAAAGGCCTACCTCACCCAGTCCTCGCAGCTCTACCTGGAGACCTGCATTGCTTCTCTGGGTGACGTATTCTGCATCTGTCCGTCATTCCGTGCTGAAAAGTCCCTCACCCGCCGCCACTTGTCGGAATACACCCATATCGAGTCAGAGCTAGACTTCATCACCTTCAACGACCTGCTCGACCACATCGAGGAGATAATATGTCGTGTCATTGACATCTCGCTGGCTGATCCGCAGATCGCCGCGTTTGTCAAACAGCTCAACCCGGACTTTAAGGCGCCATCTCGTCCCTTTAGACGTATGCGCTACAGTGACGCCATCGAATGGTTGGTTGAAAATGGCATTCACAATGAAGAGGGCAAGCCGCACTCGTTCGGTGATGATATTGCCGAAGCTGCCGAGCGCAAGATGACCGATATCATCAACCAGCCTATCCTACTCACTCATTTCCCGGCCGAGATCAAGGCGTTTTACATGAAGAAGGACCCCGAGGACCCGCGCGTTACTGAGTCCGTGGACGTGCTCATGCCAGGTGTTGGCGAGATTGTCGGCGGAAGCATGAGGATGGACGACTGGGATGAGCTCATGGGCGCGTATAAGAAGGAAGGGATGGATCCCACCCCGTACTACTGGTATACCGACCAGAGGAAGTAAGTCACCCTGACATATGCATTAATGCAACCTAAACTAATTGTGATCAGATACGGTACCTCTCCACACGGAGGATACGGACTTGGTCTTGAGCGATTCCTCGCCTGGATGTGTGGACGATACACTGTCCGAGAATGTTCGCTGTACCCCCGCTTCACAGGCCGATGCACGCCATAAACCCCCAGGGCTAGAATTTTTAAAATAAACGATAAAACATTAAACGATAAAAAGAGGAGAGTAAAAATGATAGACCAAGAATTAAAGAATTATGATGACGAACTGCATTGGTGAATGTATGAAAATAATGCAAATACCATTCATGACGTATGTGCGGGAAATGGTGTCTAGAAAACATGCTACCTTGTACTCCACCCATCCTTGAAAAAACATCATCTATCGCCGGAAAACAAGGCTTGCAAACAGAATATTAAAAAGTAAAATAAGAAAGAAAAGGCACATGCTTTGTAGACACCTCCATTGATGAAAGCAGCTCATTTAGACCGGACGGGCAATTGAGTCCACGCACTGCTGAGTTTGCTTGACGAATGATCCATCCGCAGATAGAATCGAAGGAGTAAGAGTTGTAGCCTTGGACTCTAACATGTCGTCCTGTAAGAAGGTGAATTTGTCCGCTGGGCCGTTCCCTGGTGGCGTCAGGGGGCTGTCGTCTGCCGAGACCACTGTTGCGGCGGGAGAGTGAGTTAAAGGCGGAACGTCTGAGGTCTCCTGGCAGCTTGCGCTGGTAACAGTGGCAGCTTTGTTGCTGTTGAATGCTGTTCCAGGGGATGTTGGCAGGGTAGGAGACGCCGGGCTGCTGTGAAGGAACTGGGAGAGATATCGGTATGCCACCGTGCATTGCACTGGCTTAGGTCGAGTTTGACGTGCGGCAGGCATCCTTGCTGGCTCCTGATGTGGGATGCTCAACTGCGGAAGGCTAGTGGAAAGAGATATTGTTGTGTGTGGCGTTGAATAAAGAAGCGCTGGAGCAGAGAGAGAGCCGACTCGCGCTCTCTTTGTTGCTGGGTATGACTCAGAGCTAAGCAGGACGGGAGAAAAGAAGGAAGATGTTGCATGCGAAAAGAAGATGGTCCTGTATGGGGTTGAAAGAGGCTTTAAAGAGTCCTGATTTCGGCACCTGGAGAATCAAGAAGAAGAAGAAAGGAGAGGTAGAATAAGCAAACCTGAACCCGGCAGGAGAGAAGAAATGCTCACCCACACACCCTTGATGAGATGTGAGGAGACTAGACAAGGTAGAATATCTTACCGCTGACTACAGTAAAGGAGTGAAGTGTCTGGGTTTGATATCAGTTTCTCACATGTAGCGCTGCAAGGTAGACATCGATTTGACAAGCGGTTAGCAAAGATACTACATTCTTTATTTGAACCATGTCATGCATGCATCATCTCATGATATCTTCCCCGCAAAGGCAAAAGAGAAAAAAAAGGCTTGTTCCATGTCAAGCAAAATTGGCACGGCGCCGAGGACGAGGATGGAGAGGGAGAGAGAGGCTTGTAGAGGGAGGACAGGATAGAGACGCCTTCATCCATACCAGTACTGGCGAAAGCAGGTGGCCATCTGCGCTGCACGCTCCTCTCCCACCCCCGTCCCCAGCAGCCGGTGGGATCTTCAGTTCAAATCCTGGGGAATATCCTTCCCTCTGCCCTGCCCTCTTTCTCCTGATGCGCCGTTTAATCGCGGGCCCTCGGGCTTGGGTGCAGGCGGCGACCAGAGCCAGGCCGGTGCTGGGCTCCTCTGGTCTCCTGCTGGTCTCCTGCTGGTCTGCTGCTGATCTCCTGGCAGGCAAAGACAGATAGTAAGGAACAATGTAGATGTATAGTGTATGGTGTAGAGAAAAAGTAGAGGCAAAGCACCGTATTTAAAAAAAAGTAAAAGGCCAGGGATAGCGTAGGGCCGTAACTGCGTGGTGAGGCGGTGTAACGAGGCCTCGCCCAGTGCTGAGTCACCCCCGGGAAAAAAAAAGAATAAGGACTTCGAGCTAGTCCATCGAGACAAAACAAGAAAAAGGGGGTCGTGGCTCTTCTCCTGAGGATCGGATGCTGAGGACCAGCCCCGGTGAGACAGCCTATGGTAGCCTCTCCCTGCGCGCGGCGAGGGTTCCGGCGCCAGATCGAGTCCTGCACGTCACCGAATTTCGGTCCTTTTTCGGTCTTTGTATAGGCAAATATCGCCCGTTTGTCCTCATCGTCGACCCTTTTTTGGTCCCCCTGATGGCCGTGATGTGTCAGGAAATGACTTCTGGTCGCGTGACGCCCCGAACCCGACTCTATCCGGCCGAAAAAGGAAAAAAGGGTCGAAGAGAATAAGCCGGAGGAGTGGAGGAGAGGGCCAAGGGAGTAAAAAAGAAAGGAAGACGACGACGAGGAGGAGGAGGAGGAGGCAGAAGAAGAGCTCTCCGTACGATGGCAAAGTAGATTCAACGCCGACGCTAACATGCATTTCATAAAAGTACAAAAATATATGCCTTGGCCCTGGGCTTACTTCCACCGTGGGTCTACGGTCATTTGCCGGCAGCAGCAGTCGTGTTCTCGGGAGTCGCAGTCTGTTTACCATCGCCCTCTCCAGGCCCAAACAGCTGTTGTGGTGGAGCGGCATTAGGCGCAAGGAACCTCTCCGGTACTCCTCTGGCTCCTACCCCGATGGGCCCCACGAAGCATCCAAACGTCCCGCTCCATGCATATCGATATGCCAGCACTTGGCGGATTTCACGGTACGCAAGGGAATTTGAGTAGGGGATGCCGGTCGTCGGGTCACGATAGCGGGCTGGGCGAGAGGTAATGGGACAGAATTCAACTTGGGATCCTACATGTCATTGTTAGTTTAACGTTCGAAATATGTGTTTGGGACAGGGAGGGATAATAAATTAAAAATGACGTACTTGGAAGCTTTACAGGCTTCTTTGGGTTGTATAGGACACCGACGTCACTTCGTTCGGGGGCGGTAGAGGCGTCAAAGTTGTCTAGAACGATGCAAGTGCGGGAAGACCGTTCAAGACCTGGTTTAGACTGGCCTGGCTTCTCTTCCGGGGTCGTCCCTTGTTGCATGACGGGCCCTTGTTCTGAGGGTGCAGCTTGTTCCAGAGACACAGCTTGTTCTGCAGCTGTATCGGTAGCTGGCTCTTTTTCCAGGGCTGGAGCGGGAGGCGTATTCTCGTTTAGTTGGACAGGCGTTTCTGGCGCAGGTAGAGTAGGTCTCGATGTGGCAGCGTCGGTCATCTCGGTGTCAGGACATGCTGGAGCTGTGGTTTCTTGCATGGATGCGTATAGATGGATTCCATTCAGGAATGAACCAGGTTCCTCTGGAGCTTGCTGGCCATCGTTTGGAGGAGGGTTTGGCTGAACTGTCGCTAGATCCGTAGTTTTCCTCGACTCCTCAGCTGCCTTGTTGACGTCTGGTACAGCTGATGCCCCTTCACGGTTCGCATCGCGTCCTTTCTTCTTACGACCGTTGTCAGCATCGGCGGCCTGTCGAAACGTTTTAACCCCCACCATCGCCAACTTCTCATTGATCCATTTCGCAATCCCACTCCAGAATGTGATCACGGGGCCCTCCAGCCGTCGATTGTGAAGCGCCTCCATCTTCAGCCTTCGTTCTTCACCCCTCTTCTCCTCCATCTCCTCCCACCGACTTAGACTGCCGAAATTCAACCTTTCGGTCTTCTCGGCTTCAGCAAGACGGTCAGCCTGCGTCATTTGCTTCGGCTTCACTTTTTCCTTGCGTTTGGCCGTCTCTTCCATCGTGGCAATGAGTTGGACTCGTTTCTGTTCGCTGCGTTTGAGCCGAGCGTGGGTCTGTACTCTGTTCTGCATCGTCTGACGACGAGACGAAGCCCGTGTAGGTCCATCATCTGCCGCAGGGAGCCAGGAGATACGCTCGGATTTCTTCCTGTGTCTTGGAGCCGGTAGTGTTGATGTTCGTGTAGGCAAGGTCGGATCTATCTTGACCTTTTTCTTGCGTAGGGCTGGCATTCGGAATCCTTCCTGCTGTGCCGTTCGTTTCTTCGCGCGTTCAGCTTTCTCCTGCCGTTCTAGCTCTTTTTCTCCTTCCAGTTCGTCGTTACCAGTAGCAGCAGGGCCTTGGTCTCCTTCATCAGAGGACGACGAGTCGAGTTCCATATCATCCGCGGCCGCTGCACCTCCGCCTTCCTCCTCATCGTCTCCAGACTCAAACTCCTCGTCATCTTCCTCCTCTGCGAATATACGAGCGAGTTCGTCATCAGCCTCCGCGTCGAGAAGCGTGCTCATAAGACGACCGGCCGTTGATCGTCGCGCTCGACCAGTCGCGAGGGGTTCGACATAGAACTCATCTTCTCCGCTGCCATCTTCGGGGTCGACTGGGGGTTCCGCCATGGTTAGCTGCCGAATCACATCGCTGGGGGGGCTTCTCCGTAGGTTCTAGGGACGACCTTCTATCCCCTTAGTCCATCAGCTAGCGCAAGGGAAGTTCCAGAAGGATTGCGTTGTGGCCTGCAGGAAGCAGCAAGTCAACTTTTTTGCTCGCGTTTCTTCCCGCCATAAAGTGAAAGTGAAAGAGCTATGGCTTATGTAATAGTTAAGGCTTAGGTAATCCACCACTTTATCTTGACTTTAACATTTTATATCAACATCAAAAGAAGAAGTGAAGGATGAAGGATGGTATTTAGTTGTCTCTTTAGGCTGGTCTTGGGTGAACTGCTTCGTTTCTGACTATGAATACGAAACCCATGGTTGCGCTGGGCGCGATTTGTCACGCTTGTCTTCCTCTGGGGCGAACTCCGTCCTATCCAGAGTGCATCCTCGTATGCCAGAACTAAGGCTGAGGCTGATGCGGATGCGAGTCGGGAATACTGCGAGCTGACATGCTAAGTTTACATTCACGAACCCGGAACCGTCGGCGATCCTTATCTTCCTAACCAAGTTCTCTGTCAGTTTCGTCTCGGATGGTCGCTGGTTGCAAATCAAAGTCGTAGCGGCACTGCGTGGTGTAGGAAAATGCAGCGTATAATTTACGTCAGAATTATGAAACAGACATGTCAGGCTTGTTGAACTACCATGGTTTCATCCGCTTCCGAGGACTGGCTGTGCGAGCTGGATCCGGGTACCTGCATCGGATGACACCAACCTCTCGTTGTCCGCCTGCGTTTGTCCTATCCTGCCAGCTAATATAACCATCTTCAAGGAACAGACAGACAGGTGTTTCGACGATCTGACCAACGCTGAGTTGGAGCTATGTTTGAGCTATCCGCCCACCAACACGCAAGAGGCATCGCTCCAGGCACCGGATGTCCCTGACTTTCCCTTATCAGGCTCTAGCGGTAATTAAGACCCATGGCCCAACCCACCGCGGCCGGGATGATGATGTGAGGAATTTTCCCTATCTGCATCGCCCAGGAGGTTTGCCCAAGATGTTGCGCGCCAGGGCCAATAGGGAGGGAGCGCTGGCTGGCCGCCGCCGCCAACCTCCTGCCAGGCTGCTCCTGAATTGAACCAACACTGTGGATACAGCCTGTTCGTTACGGTTGCTGTGCCTTTTTCATGCTGTACAACGGGGTTCACCACATGGCTCTCGCGCCGGTGCTCGTCTCGCTCGTCTCCTTGCAGCCTGTTCTGTGTCGCCTCCACGCCAGGTTATGCTGCTCTGTTGCCTCCGTGCTCCCTGTGCCTGGCGGCCAAGCGCCCATCCCTGGTATTTTATCGTATCGAGGCAGGTACCAAATACCAGTCCGGGGTGCAGACGGGCGGGCGGTTTGGGCGGTTCCTGTGTGTAATTTTGGTAATCGCAATACGACTAGTCCCCATCCACCCTTTCTTGGTGCTTTGCTCTCTCTTTCTCTCTTCTCTCTTTGCTTCTCCCTTTTTTCGCTCGTCCTTCTCCCCCCTTCTTCTTCGTCCTCCTCTTCTGCCTCCTCTCTTGCTCGCTCGCCTTGCCAGCAGCTTCGTTCTTCTAGTTTCTCGCATTTTATTTCACCTTTTTCTCATTCATTCCTTACCGATCCCTTTTTTTACTTCCCTTCGACGTCTCCTTTTTTTTTTCTCTCTCTTCGATTCTTGCTTGTTTTGGTTGCATTATCAGAATAATACCTATAGTAAAACTTGCCCTTTCTCTGTCTCTCTTTCATCCTTTCATTAATAACTCTTCCTCCCTTTATATATCTTTGCATGTCCGCCTAATCTTACGTGAAACAGCAAGTTATATTGGCCGCCCTGACCCTGCGCTGGGTACTGAACCCGGAATCCGATCGTTGATCCGAGTCTAGTTCCTTTGGCTGTCGCAGCCCATTGGTTTCCCAGCCGGACGATTCCTGAATCCCTGGGAGAATAAACGACATCGACTACCAGACCGGCATCCAGACATAGGGGGCTGAAAGATTGAAGTTCTCGTTTTCGAGCGCGAGGCTACGTCGACTTGTTGGCTAGTCTCTCCTCGCGAAAATATCCTGTATGGAACCTGGCTGACCGTTATATATACAGACACAGGGCAGCGAGAAACCGTTGCTACGGCATAATACTAGCATACCGTTTGTGGTACTTGTCATTGATATATATATCTAACGGCCCGATAAATCTTTCAAAACGGCGGTACTACCTCCCCTCAACCAGGACACTACCGTCCTTCCCCCTTACCTCCTCGCCATGCAAGCGATTGACGGCGGTCGTTTGATGCAGCCTGGTTCTAAAGTCTCCAACAACGGAACTGAATCGACGGGCTTCTCTCACAACGCATACGCATCTAATCAACACCTAGGCTTCACCGACCGTAACGCCCGGAGGGCCAATATCCCCGCCATCAACACTAATTCGGCATCCTCGCATTCCAAAGAACAGCTCCCTTACAACACCCAATTCGATATGAATTTCGCACCGCTGCTCCCATCCCAGCTCCTCCTGGGTAGCCCTTTCCAGCCAGGGACCCCTTCTGCCTTCGCCTCTCCGCAGTTTGGAACTTTCCCAGGGTTCTCTCAGGCCACCCAGAGCGTTGGTCAGAATCATCAAAATCAGCTCAACAGCCCGACACAGGCCCAGCATGGTGCTCTATCGCCTCAGATGTACCAGAGCTTGATGTCTCCTGATGGCATGGGAAGTTCTCAGTTGCTAGGTGGTCCTCATTCGCCTATTTCTGGGCTACCAGGATTTGCCAACGCATTTGCCCCCAGTCCACAACTTCAGTCTGGACACGGTATACTGTCAGGTACCAGCCGAACCGTATATCTGGGCAATTTGCCTCCAGAGACCACCTCCGAAGAGATTTTGGGTCATGTTCGAAGTGGTCAGATCGAGTCCGTTCGTCTTCTCCCCGATAAGAACTGCGCGTTCATCTCTTTCCTGGATAGCAGCTCTGCCACCCATTTCCACTCAGATGCCATTCTGAAGAAGCTGTCAATCAAGGGCAACGACATAAAGATCGGATGGGGCAAACCATCGCAGGTCCCCACGTCAGTTGCACTTGCTGTTCAGCAGTCTGGTGCGTCAAGAAATGTATATCTTGGAAATTTGCACGAGGATGTAACCGAGGAGGAACTACGTGAAGAGCTTGGAAAGTTCGGCCCAATCGATACCGTGAAGCTCGTAAAAGAGAAGTCGATTGGCTTTGTCCACTTCTTGTCTATCAGCAATGCGATCAAGGCAGTCACTCAGCTTCCTCAGGAGCCAAACTGGCAACCGCCTAAGAGGGTATACTATGGCAAGGATAGATGTGCCTATGTATCCAAAACCCAGCAACAGAATGCCGCACAGTACCTTGGGATCGCGCCTGGGTACGCGCACATTCTGAACTCCGCCGATCGTGATCTCATCTCGAACGCCCTAGCACAGCAATCAGTAGCCGCTGCCGCTGTGGCAACCACCGCAGGAGGTGTGAACAACCTTGGAAACAGGACTGTTTACCTAGGCAACATTCACCCCGAAACCACCATCGAGGAGATCTGCAACGTTGTCCGTGGCGGTTTATTGCATCACATCCGCTATATCCCTGACAAGCACATTTGCTTCGTCACCTTCATTGACCCAACGTCTGCTGCTTCATTCTACGCTCTCAGTAACATCCAGGGCCTAATGATCCACAACAGGCGGTTAAAGATTGGATGGGGCAAACATTCGGGAGCACTACCACCGGCCATTGCATTGGCGGTTAGTGGTGGCGCATCTCGCAACGTTTATATCGGCAACCTAGACGAAACCTGGACTGAGGAACGTTTACGCCAGGACTTTTCAACATACGGTGAGATCGAGCTGGTCAACGCGTTGAGAGAGAAGAGCTGTGCGTTTGTTAACTTCACCAACATTGCCAACGCCATCAAGGCAATTGAAGGAATGCGAGGATCAGAGGACTATAAACGATTCAAGATCAACTTTGGGAAAGATCGTTGTGGCAACGCGCCCCGTCAGGTTAACAATAACCAGCACAACAATCGTATGGATGGTTCCAGCAACTCCGTTAATGGGAATATGCAGTCAGGACAGAACGGACAACAGTCGAGCCCGACTCGACCAGCTCTATCCCCGGTCACTGGCTCCTCCGGATCGCTCTCACAAAATGGTCAAAGCAGGCACCCTCTACACTCGATTGCAAACCCTGCTTCCATCATCAACACGGGAAGCAACAACCCCTTGACTCTCTACCTCAACCAAGTCTCTCAACAGCAACAACAGCAGCAACAACAAAACCGTGAGCAGGAGCCCCGCATAGGCAACTCGATGCAATACCCCTCGCTCCAGCAACAGTCTCAAAACTACGGCTCGTCCCAGAGCAACCATAGCCACAACCACAGCCATAGCCACTTCAACGGAAACGGCAACGGAGTGACGGATAATGGTGCTCCTGGAGAGTCTCTTCTTCAACACAAGTCCTCTCTTAACGGGTTGTTGAACGTTTCTAGCGCCTCGAGCGCCGCCCAGCAACAGCACAACTCGTCAAGCAACAACTTGAGCGTTCCGCGTGCGCAGCATTCCAGAACTGTTAGCTTGCCATCCTTCTCGCAAGAGCGTTTTGGACAAGGCCCTCATTCACACATTCCATCCCGGTCAGGCATGAATCATCAGGCCCAAGGTAGCTTCTCTGGCTTTGGCGGGCTAGGAGGACTGAACCATAGCGGGTTTGGTGGCCTCTCTATCACCAACGAGGGATCCCTCCCCGGATGGGCCGAGGAAGAGATTGGAGCCAAATAACTCTTATTTCCTCACTTACTTCATTCATACCAGCTGTATTAATTTAAACTATCTTTACCTTTTCTTTTTCGTTTTTGATTTATCTATCTTTTTCTTTTTCCTGGAACTCATTTTGTATGCATTTAACTCCATGTCTTGTGTGTTTTTTTGACTACCGTCTTACCCTAATTATTCATTTTGCCACTCAATATCCCTTTATAATATGTCACTCTTCCTTTTTGTTTGGATGCTATTCCCATGTTTGATTTTCTGTTCACTAATTCTGATACGCACCCAACATCAACCTCTATACTGAACTTTTAATGCGCTTCACAACAATCATGTACCTTCACTTGTGACAGCGGTTTTAGGGTCATGCTTCGTTTCTGGCTGGTTGGAATAAGAGGAGGGAGATAATTCAGTTGCAAATACATCGCTCATGAGCCCATCACCTATTTCATTATACCTCCTGCCTGATTCTTGTTTCCCGTTGCGTGCATTTCACCCGCCCAGCTCGCCGCATTTCGCGCTGCTCTTCCTTTGTTAACTCTTCGTCTTTTTCTTTACTCGTTCGTTTTTGGTTCTTTGGTTCTTTTACTTTTTTTTTTAACGACGCTCCTAATTGATCAAATACCCCCAACACTGATCAACCTACCTAATAATCCCCTGAAAATGATGTGGGCGAAGCTAGATAACGTGGAGATCGGATGGATGTATAATTAATAGGCTCCCAAGGGCGGTCGAGGAATGGAAAAAAACATTTATTTACGGGAACTTATATAATATAATCAATTTTTATACTGCTTGCTTGATATTCATCTCTGTTCTATTTTCTCCAGTAACTTCTTGACCAAGTGTTGTCCACGTGACTTGAGTGGTCAACCTCTTTCTCCCGCATCTTTGTATCAAAAACTAACTTGATCACACTGAGGAGAACTGAGGAGACAGGCAACCCTTTGCAGAACCTGTTAATGCCCACCAAGAGGTTACCTTGCTGATAACTGCTACTATCTTTGGTTAGCTTCAGTACTTGGTCGACTACAAATGTCTCTCCCGCCTGAACGAATATGTATCAAACGTCGGAGGGAGGATGAGCCTGTCGAAACACTATGTAAGTGCTCCCATCCCAGGATGCTCCATGTTCAGTCACTTGCCCCATTATATCCCTGGATATATATGAATTTACCCCCTTCCTCGCTATATATTCTTACCTTTAGTTGTGATACCCAACACTAACAATTACACCCCTCACTTTGCGTGTTGTTAACATCTGTGCAGATATTCAATCAGATATCCATCAGCCCAAAAGGCGATTTACAGACTACGTGTTTCAACGAGTTGTTCTACATGATCCTAAAGCTGGCAAAGGGGATACCTCAAGTGGTGATTCTACGTCTGGGACTCCTGCAAAAGGCCTTGTCAATGGCAATCGTGCCGTAAGCGTCCACAGCACTAGAGCTTTAACGTCTGGGAATGCAATAAGCAGTTCCGGGATTCCTATCATATCAACTCCATCAACGCGTGGCGATGGAGTTAAAACTAAACAACAGCGGCCCAAGACCCCGGATCGAGAGGAGCACGACGCCACTGACCATGAGTCGGCTAGAAGCGACTCACCATCGCTTGCTACTCTATCCCATGTTCCTAGAGTTATATCCCCTACTAAAAGGTCGTTAGCAGCGGCAACTGGTGGCCCATCGGTGCGCCGTTTTCACCTCGAGGCACCGGTTAGTGCAGATGATCTGGAGGACACTTTAAATGTACTTCATAGGGTTGGCGGGGGAATTCAAAAAAAAAGGTTGCGAAAATCATCCGGTTATCGGCCTGTTATTGTGGAGAAAGTTGCGAGCAAGAAGGCCCTCGGGAAAACGTCCGCGCTCTCGAAAGAAAGTGCCACAGAGCTACTTAATGAAACAGGCGAAGCTACGTGTACGGGACGCCAAAACAACGCTGCAAAACGCCTTGCTGTGAATGAAGAGCAAGATGGCAGAGAAAATAAAGAATCATATGAGTTTTCATCCCAAATAAGCAAGGGAGGTAGGAAAGGAGAATCAATATTTGAAGATCCAAGCACATGGGATCATGAATCCGATGATCTTGCAAACGAACTAGCCCGGATTGCCCTAGAAATGACAAACGATATCGAGCCTTCTAATAGGTCTGCTCAGGCGTCCGCAGCCGCTCAAATACGCCCAACTCCGCAGAAACGACCCCTCAAATATAAACCGCGGCTGCCTAAGGCACCTCGTGCAGCAGCTCATCAAGATATTATCCATGATGAAAATCCCGTACGACTTGATAGCAGCTCAGCTGGGCCAGATGCAGATGCCATGGATCCGGTGCTCACTGGAGCTGATACCAATAAAGCCCAAGATACACCAATATCTGAAGCTCAAGAACAACCTATAGCGTCCGAGATGGATGAAGACTCTGATTCCGGTTACGTTTTTGACGAATTTGTGAGACGGCCTGTGCATGATGTTGTAGCTGACCCAAGCGTCGAGTATTTCAGAGATGGTAAATGGATCGAAGGGCACGAGGTCCCGAAGGATGTTGGTGTTGTTGTCATTACACAAGATGATTCGCACTTTTGGGATACCATTGCGGAAGATGAGGATGAAAAGGACTGGGATACGGAGGATGAGGATTCAAACGGTGAGCTCCCAGTTCTATTCTTTGTCGCTATATAACACACCACTTATATATGCCTTAACTACAGCCGAGGATAACCCTGCAACCGAGTATCCTGACGAGGACCTCGATTTTGACGACGAGTATGATGATAATAACGCAATTTATCGACGTTTCCGCGTAAATGCATCAGATGATGAGGAGTATGATGCTGTAGAGTACGACCAATATGGGTATCGTGCTTATAATAGCAATATGCCTGATGATAGCGAGTCTGATGATTAAAGTACCCATGAATGATAATGGAGCGTGGTTATTTGGTTGCTGAATTATATTACAATTATACAGTATCCCATGTTGAGGGCCTCGACAATGGTAGAAATATTCATTCACTAAAGTCCACCTATAGTTCCCTCGGAGGAATCTATCATCAATTATGGAATTGTTGGGTTGCTAACAATTTAACCGCGGGTTACGCGTTGTAAAGGCAGTAGAGTAGCAGTCAATGCGTGCAATAATGGATCACTACAGGAGTGACATCTTTCATAAAAATAACTAAAACCATTCTGATTTTAGAAAGGAAGTGCATGTAACATAATAATAGACCTACGGAATGGTTTACTTTAAAATCCAAAATCAGCTAATTTTTCAAGGTCTCCCACGAAATCCCCGGTTTCAAAATATTCCCACTGCTTTCCTGCAAGTGTATCCGTCAAGTCTTCGTCGTCCGGTTCACTCACGTCTGGAGCCTTATCGCCATCTTTACCTTGCGGAAGCCGAACCCCTTGGTCCCACTTGAAGAAGTTACTCTTATCCCAGGTCTCCTTGACACGTCGAAGCTCTTCGCGGTTATCACCGAAATATGCCCTTTCATGGGTGTCATTCGTCATTGCTCCATCGGGGAAATTTATAAACGCGGCCTCCTTATTTAGGGAGAAGGGTCGCAGTCGCTTCTTGACTTTGCCTAAGAAGCCTCTCATGTCCCTCTCCATCCACTTGTCCTCCCACTCTACCGTGACATATGTGTGATACACAGCCTCACGCCAGAAGAAGGCTGAATCCGAGGGTCTCCTTTCTGTCGCCTTGCCCCCTGTATGAATCCAAGTGACTAGGAACTCAACCCGTTCCCCTGCATATAGGTCCCGGAAATCTTTCATCTCCTCCCGGATTATGGCCGTCACTTCATTGATATTCTTGCTATCATTGTCGAAAACAAAAGAACTGTAGATGCTATAGGTCCTGTTGGAGGGGAATGCTCTTGTGGTTTCTTCTGACCACTGAGCCACGAGCGTCTCGTGTAGGAAACGGGTGGACTTTTCGGGCAGGGTACGCCGTTTGAACTGTTTTACCAACTCTGGGTCTTTGATGTATTCGTCGATAACCCCATCGAATTGTTCCTTGTTACCATCATAGTAGAAAAGGAACCGGACCCCATCCCCCGAAGTCTCCCGGAGGTCACACATCCAGGTGCTATCAATGGTCATCTCCTTGGGCCATTTGATCGAATAGAAATCGTTCATGGTGGTCATGAACTCGTCTGTGGTCCCTGATTTGGGGAACCATTGGTATCTCCCAGCTACCACAATACCATCCTCGTTCTGTAGTTGCTGGACCTTCAGCTTCATCTTCACTAATACGCCAAAGTTCCCACCACCTGCGCCACAGAGTGCCCAGAAGAGCCTGCCTTCCTTGGAGGTCGGTGCATGGCTGTCCTTGACAGTAACCATATCTCCATCTGCGGTCACAATGGTGGCCTCCTGCAAAGTGTCACTCCCCATCCCGAAGGTCCTTGTGAACGGACCGAGGCCGCCTCCCAGTATGAAACCGCTTACTCCTACAAAAGGACATCGCCCTCCATTGATGATAAAACTCTCGTGTCGCCCGTTTATCAGTGTCTTATACACATGGCCCCATTGGCAACCAGCGTCCATCGTCACAGTCTTTGATCCCATGTCCAGCTCGACTTTGTTCATCTTCTTGAGGTCCAGCGATATGCCTTTGAAGGCTGTGGAATGCCCTGCATAAGAATGGCCGCCACACTTTATAGTGATACTGAGGTTCTGAGATCTCGCTTGCTTGACAATAGCTTGGACATGAGCAGCTGTCTCAGGCTGGATCACACAATCGGGCCTTGAGAAACGGAACAGGAGATTGGGGGTCGCGACAGAACGCTCATACTCTTCCTCTCCAGGCTCGAACACTGGTATTTTCTTGGATCTGAGGGACCTGATTGCCTTCTCCATGGTGGAAAAAGACACAGGACTATGGGCTTTCCGAAATTAGAGACCCTCTAGCTCTTTTGCAAAGCTCGTTGTCTGCCTAGACAAATCGCTGCAATAATTGCACATTTCCTATGTGTAAGAATTACACCTCGATGCTGGCCACTTCTGCATAATATAGCCATTCTATTATTGCACTCGTGATACCAGGTCATTGAACGAAATAAAAGAGGAAAAGATGCGGGGTATAGATGGTACCGGCAAGTGGCCGAAACCCCTTGCATTCAGCTCTCTCCCTCTGTTTCGGATTCAATATCGCCAGGTAGGAGCATGTCACTAGCCAGGGCATTTGACTTGTGCCCGGGTTTAGCCAGTAGAAAGTGATATTTCCGTTCGACGCGGGGGTCGCCTCACCATGGCAGCAAGGCACGCATTCATTTGTCGACATGTATATAACCACCACACAGCAGCGGGTCGGACCGTTCAACCCCGCGAAGGCAGAAAGAAGCGAGCGACTTGTTCAAGCACCCATGACCTAGATACCAGTCCGTTTTCAAATTGATAACTCTAATCTTAATGGGAGGTGTGGACAAGGCAGCCAACGGCTTTATGTCTCGTATCCTATGGGGAATAGCCGGAATCAAGGGGATTTAACGTCATCCTTGATAAGGCGTAGCCGGAAAATTGATAGTCACTGGTAGGTTGGGTATTGATGCGGACGGGTTGTGGCCCAACATCTACAACCCCTTAGAGCCAGCAACAATCCATCCATCTCAAATAGCGATAGGGGTGTGGCTCGTATATCGTGATCATCATCTCCCTCGTCATGGATCTCTTGGTTGATTGGGGGTTGGGGAGAAAGCTGCCACGTCGAAGATTACTCTTTCAGGCGTCTGGTACTTGGGTGGATGTATAAATAGGCATATATTGCTGGCCGCGATGCTCTTCTGAGCCAGCTGAAACAAATTGAAATCGTTGTCCTGGCCTAAAACACGCACGAACTTATGAGATTTTAACCAAAACCTACAGCCTTATCATGGGAATTCACGAAGATGCTCGGCAGGGAACCCTCTTAGGGAGTAAGCTTGCCGATTATATCAAAAGCAACCCGAACATAATCAATGAGCAAGACCCTGAGGGAGGCCTGACGCCATTGGCAGCAGCCACGGTTGGGGGATATACTGAGGTGATCAAACAGCTCCTCAAAAAGGGGGCCAAGGTAGAGGTCCTCTCCAGAGATGGCGAGACTCCGCTCCTCCTTGCAGCCTGGAAGCTCAACAATAATCGCGCTCGAATCATCCAGCTTCTCCTTAAGGAGACCCCACCTGACGTTGTTGACACGACCTGCTCTGCAGCGGAGAACAACACGCCACTGATTTTTGCCGTCATGAAGAGGGATGTTGAGTCCATCAGACTGCTACGAAGGGCCGGGGCTTCTGAGACCATACCGAATAAGGATGGTATCAGTGCTGAAGAAATGGCTAAGAACGCCAAAGAAGAAGCCGAGGAGAATGAAGATAGGAACGAGGAGGAGAAAGCTAAGGCCGTCATTCGCGCACTCAGTCCAGAAATGGAGAAGGAAGGCCTTGCAAAGATCACTTCTATGGTTGTTTCGTTCCTCAATTTCGTTGTCGCCTGGGTGAACAATACTGCCAAAGGAGTCGTCCGCTTGCTGTACGGGCTGGACCCCGAGCTAGATGAAGATCTTAACAAGGCATGTAACAAATATTTTGCCAACATCACAGGGGTAAATACCTTCGCTAATTCAAAATCATAGAAAGTGAACGGCCCCGAGAAGCCAAGCAAGGCGAAATTCGTAAAAAATGTCGACAAATTCATCAAGGACACCCCACTAGAGCGATTTTTCAAGAAGAAGAAGACATACATACAAGAGCTGGCGCAGAAGGGGGTGGAACTGGAAAACGACAAGAGCACACCCCTCGGCAACAAAGATCTTCTGCCCAAAACCATCAAGGTGTCCTTGCATCAGCAAGTTATTTATTGTGGTAAGATCCTCGAATTTTAGGAGTCATATAAACGCACAGCCCCCTGTTCGCCCAATTCTTACAATGGCCGTTTAGATGACAGCTCCTCGATGAAAAGGGAGGGTCGCTGGGAGTCCCAGAAAAGCCTCGTCGATCGTATCACCAGGGTTACCACCAAAATCCTCCCCAAGGGCGAAGGCGTTGCACTGCGCTTCATCAACCAAGATGTAGACGACTCCCCAAACCTGACCCAGGAGAAGATTACGGAAATCCTCAAACCGATGAAATGGGCGCCGAATGGAAACACGGAGATAGGCACATACTTAAAATCTAAGATCTTGGAGCCGATGGTGTATAGCAAGCTTGAGCCGAAGAGTTTCGACAAGCCTCTTCTCATCTCCGTCATCACTGACGGTATGCCTTCCGTTGAAGCAGACTCCGTATTTGCAGATGCTATCCTGGAGTGTGGTAATAAACTGGAAGATGCCGGGTACCCTCGAGAGAGTACGTATCTCAGGACCTTGTTGGTATTGTCATTTGCTGATCGTATCAAATTCCAGGCGTGAAGTTTCTCGTTGGCCAGATCGGGACTGGGGCTCAGGCTGCAGCCTTCCTTGAGAGAGTAAGAAAGAATGAGCGCATAAAGGACTTGGTATTTTGCACTTCAGGTAGGCTTGTTGCCCAGCCCATGTGCTATACCATTTGCTCATATCATATACTAAACAAATGACAGACCAGCTGGATGCAAGACTTAAGGAATTCCGCGACAACGAGTGGGATCTCGATAGATGGGTGAGCGCTACCCCCAATCCTTAGGTCTGGGCCTTGTCGCTGGCTTGAGTGTTGCTAACGCGTACCATCTAGCTAATTGAGACCTTGTTCGAGCCACTTAAAGATCGAGAAATCAAAAAGGACCAGTAGGAGTTTAGCTACTTGGTTTATTGGTGAAGCGCTGTGTTGCTTGTCTGATTCATACCTGTCGAGATATACACTTATACGGAATCAATGATATTTTGCCCTTGATATGATCCGAGCTTTGTAAAAAGGCCGTCATTAAATTCCACTGGGTTGCGCATTCAAAGCCAGCGATGAGCTTGGGGATCAACCATATGAACCAGATACGGCTTCCTGTCTCGTTTTCTCCATGCCTCCATTTATTGGTCGGAATATTGTGACTGCGCATCTCGAGGATGGGACGAGAATCCGATGCACAGTCTCATTTCTTCGTTTCTTAGCAAATAATTACACTTAGAGAAAGGCATTGGAGACGAAAACCCGGGGGCGAATTTACACTTACAACCATGCTGCCAGTTGGAGAGCCGTGACTGCACGACCGAGAATTCCTTGGACTTGGTTCTCCCATCAATGGGTGCTTCAGAATAGGTTGCTGCAGCCTCACAGACGGGAACTTTGTACGATCGAAATAAGAGCAAGGTCATCAGAGATAAAAATAACAATAAAGACGTTGCCGGTCAAAAAACGGGTTTCATCAACGAGCTCTCTGGAGCGTCAGAGCATATCGACGAAAAACCTTTAGAGGCGGAGTCACGTGGATAGGACGAGCGTCCACCCGTTCTGAACTCCAAAAAGCCAAGTTAATTCTAAATAATCTTCAGTTTAAGTCAGGTCATTATGGGCACGTCTCCGATTAAGAGGGAGGAAATTGATTCTGCTAAGTGGATTGTTGGTAAACGTGGAGCCTCGCATGGGGTCTATATCACAGAGTCCGGTACGGTGGTCAAATATGGACATCATGTACAAGCTGAACGAGAGGCTCGAGCGATGAGCTTTGTCTGTAGGGCCTGTCCGCAGGTTCCTGTGCCAGAAGTGCTTGGCTGGTGGGAAGAAGGAGAAGGTGAGGACCGCGTGGGACATTTGGCGATGTCGTTTATTCCGGGGGATATGCTCATTAAAAGTTGGCCGACCATGGATCAAATGCAGCGGGATAGTATCCTAAAGGATCTAGAGGAAATATTGCGTCAACTACGGACACTCCGTGCTCTGTCAACAGCTGTGATCGGTCCAATTGACGGTACGAGTCCCGCTGCCGATGTTCGAGGCAGCCATACTGAATATGGCGGCCCTTTTAAGGCTGAGTCCGACCTCAATGAATGGCTGGTCTCCCTAATACATCCGGACTCGACGCGGTTCTTCGGTTCATTCTATGTTGAAACAACCCGGAATAGTTTAATGAGTAACCACCAACTACGATTCACACACGGAGACCTCGGCATGCATAATATACTGGTTGACAAGGGGCGGATTACAGCGATTATTGATTGGGAGTATTCAGGGTGGTATCCGGAGTACTGGGAATATGTGAAAATGATTCAGTTTTCGCGGGATACGGTCTTCCGGTGTTTTGGGAGAGAGTGCTGGAGGGATGAGGAGGGGAAGCGGGTGGTTTATGATTTGGAGTTTGTGATTGATCAGATGCTGGATGGCCAGGCGAGAAATGGGCAGAGGGTTATCAAGCGTCCTCGATAGAAAGATAGACAGTTTGGCTTTTCGTCCAGTTGACAGCGGCTATCTGGCGCCTACAGCGGCTGGCGTATCCTTTGCACGTCTCCACTATTAACCGGCATAGAAACTCTAATCAAATTAAACGCGATGCATACACCCCCACATATTTAACTTCCGCGCGGTTATATACTCTATTAACAAGGTGGCGCGCTGGTATTTTATAAGCGCGCCTACCCGAATTAGTAAGTAGCCGCTTACCGTACCAAGAAATCTAATTGGCGGCGTCGTATGCGCTACGGCCTATAAACGCAGCTTAAGGTAACTAATATTTTGAAAAGTTTAAGCAGCCGGGAAAGACGGCAATATCTAGTAATAACATAACCGTCTATATTTTATCCTGTGAAAATGTGTCTAGACATGATTATAGGCCTGTGGATGCTTGCTCCGGAATGATCTTAAGTAAAATGTGCTGACGACTTCGTCCTATTTCAATCCTTACCAATTGTTTTCCTTGTTTTGCTTCACATAACTATAGCAAGACGGATGTAATCTACGCTCGGTGTAATTGGATGGTTCATTGAAAGGATCCTTGACTGAGTGTTCATATTAATGCTCTATATCAATCTAACGAATCTTCGGGGTCATTCAGGACTCAAAGGGGCCTAATTTACACGGCCAGTTCAGCCCATCGTACAGATATCAGCTACTGCTTGTTTTCCTCCGCAGCCTTCACTTTTGCCTCATAATACGTCATTGCTGCTTCAGCCTCGGCATAGTACTCCTTAATCAGGCGTGCAAGGCTAGGACGAGTCTCTAGCCTCTTAGTCCAGGCCGTCACATGCGGGAATTCCACCTCAGGGTCGAGTTTACCCTTCCAAACAATCATAGGCAGGAACATCTGCCAGGGGAGAAACGCCAGGTCCGCAAAGGTGCATTTATCGCCCACTAGATAGTTCCTTGGGCCCTTGCCGTCACCACCGTCTTCGCCGCCCGCAAGCCACTTCTCCAAGACCGTTACCACGCGGTTGATCTCATTGTAGTATCGGTCAATTGCGCTTGGAACTTTCTCCGGGTGAGATCCAACGAACCAGAAGTATTGGCCGTAATATGGTCCCTGTCCGGACATCTGGAAGTGAAGCCACTGGTTTGCAAGGTGGTATTCGTTCGTATCGTGCGGGAAGCTGAGTTTATGATCTTTGTCATACTTGTCGATGAGGTAGATAACGATTGCGCCCGATTCCCAAATCGTGAGGTCGGTGTTCGGGTCGTAAAGGGCGGGAGTCCGGCCATTTGGGTTAATTTTGGTGTATGGTGCTTGTTTTATCTCTTCTCTTGGAATCTTCTCGGTTTCATAGGGGATTCCGAGCTCTTCGAGGATAAGGGCAACCTTGAGAGGATTGGCGGGGAAGATGGCCCCGTAGAGCTTCAAAGGCTTGAGAGAAGACATGATTCGAGGTCTCTGGCGTAGACGCTTGTGTTGTAATTGATGGACGATGTTGTTGTTATTATGGTTGTTGTTGTTGGGCTAATTTGGTTATTTTCCTCTTTCCCTCGGTGGGGATTGACATCCCCTTATATGTTTCCATCCCTCGACTGCTCCGTCTTTGCATCGACAAAGTATCCGATCCATCTTGAGAGAGCTGACGTCGGACACTGTGAGGAGTTACAGCTCTCCCCCACGTTTCGTCCGTTGCAATCCCCTGTCTCACCCGCGAAGTCGTTTATCTCCGGTTTTCGTCCGTGATCTTCAACCACATTTATCAGCAACTTGCTTGGTTCGGCCTTAAAAGCTGCAGACTTCCGTCATCTTGCTCTCATGGTTGATAATAATATCAATATCATGCTTAGAAATCCAGATTATACACTCTGTACATCCTGTACGTACATGGTACCCTTGACCTATCCGCTTCCATGAAGAACGCCAGCGGACCAAAGAGACACCGAGTACCAACCCATGTACGATCAAGCTGGATGCGAGTGCATCCTTCGCGCGAGGGGATTATCAGTAGGCTCGTCCGCTAGTACATCATTAGCATTGACTTTACCTCACCGCACCTCCTTGTGCTATAATATTGGTGCGGGTTAAAGCACACATCTAATGGAAAGGACTGGGCATAAACTGCAACCGACTAGACAACAATGGAGAATTATAACTCATCACCCGGCATGATGAGACTTATACAACAACAATTTCCACCCTAGGGCCAGCTTTTCGCTCCTTAATACAAGGTACAGAGAGTTCGTTGTATAAACGTTGGTGATACTTACAGGTCATCACCAAGACTTCTTTGACTTCTGAGGGCTCTATTGAGACTCAAAGGTCGTCTTTTGGGTACAGCACAAACCCACGCCACCTACATTCTACACAGTAGTACCTCCCACTGGCAGGAGAGCTCACTTCGTAGTTGCTGGGCCTGGGTAGGGTTGAAATTAAGAGTGATGCCAGGCATATGTTCGCTTAAGGCACATCAAAATCACTAACTCCAACTGAGAGGAATATACGCAACACCATATTAGAAAGCAGAGTACTCAAGCCTAGGTTTCATCCACCTATACATGGGCCCTGTTCAGCCAGTACTAACAATTGAATGAAGAAGGCGTTTAGAAGGGAGTTTGATGTAGCCAACAGACGGGGTTGACTGATTGGTATGGATTGCTGTGGGTAGGATACTTGCATATACAGGCGGCTCATCCTTAACGCCACAGATCTGGCGACTTGGAGTAGTACAATTTTATGCACGTTTGCAATGGGAAATCTACGTTGTTTCATCTAGCGGTCTCAGCCGTCTCATTGTGGGACAAGCAAGCACTCCACAGATGTTGTACACGCTGGCAGGCCAGAGTAATAATAGCAATATACGCATGAAATAATTGAGTGGAGAATGAGGATATTTAGCTAGGATAATCGTTTTGGCCCCATTTACCTGTACAGTCGATAGGTGGCAGTTGCCACTGGTAAGAGCATCGGTATAGCGCCTTTCTCAAGCGCATATATCCAGGGAGTTAGCAGCTCTATAGACGTACTGTGTATACTAACTATGCAATACAATATTTTTATATACTAGCATGCTCAGATAACTAGTTATTCAGTTGCTCACCAAACCCAACCCTATCCCATCCCACCTGCAAGCCCGTGAGAAATAAAAAGACAAATCAAGGAGACATATGGTGTGATACATGTATAGGAGAAAGTAAGAGAGGACCCTGGAGTGGAAAACAGGAAGTACCATAGCCAGTTGGTATAAGTTAACAGTTTGCTTCGTCACACGGGCGAATAAGGGTTATAAACGCGACACAGACCCTGCACGAAGCCAACAAACAAGCCTATAGGCGAGTGTAGATCGATACATAACAATGCAAGACCGAAACTGGAAGTGTCGGGGTGCCGAAGCATGGGTGAAGAAAAAGTAATAACAACAAACAACCAAAAAAATGTATGAAGGGATATCAGGTATGGTGTCTCGCTTGGAGCACTTATTTACACGTTGGTCTTTCCGACTTTTCTTATGAGACGTAATTTAGCGAGGAAAATAAAAAGGTATATAAAAAGGTAAAAGGAGGATAAGGGGTGCTTTGCGAGAGAACGACTGGAGCGTGTCGTGTAATCTGTTCCCTTGGCTTACCCAAGAAAGGAAAGTTATCATTAAGGCATAAGTCATTTCACGCGTGGCATCGTAATAGTAGATCCAGTCATCGACATAGAGAAGGTAGATTCTCAATCTCTGGTCGATGAGCGGCACCGCATAGGTGGATTCACTGTTTCATCCAGGGGAATCGGGTGCCCGTCCAGCGAACTACTCCGTAAGCTGGACCATCGTCGTTGAAACGACAACCGGGTCCGCCAAAGTTGTGGCCTTTCCCTCTAGCCTCTGAGTCGCTGCCAGTATCACCGCCGGCAGTCGTTGAAGTTGCAGCTGCACTTCGTTTTCTCCGTTGTTCTCGCAGGGTGGGACAGTTCTTTTCTTTTATGAAGCGGTAATATTTGCACTGTATTCCCTGGAAGCCAGTCCGTTGGCGATTTGGGAACTGGTTATTAAAACACTCTCGAACTTGCTTCCACTCCTGGCCTAGGTCGACTCGATGGTACCAGATAAAGTACATTTCTTCCTCGTCGTATTTTGGACGTGGCGGCCGACGGCGTTCGGGTACTGCCGTAGATGATGTTCCGCTAGATACGGACGGGAAGCGTTCTCTTCGGTATGGCTTTGGGGAGGACGCGGGAGATACTGGGCCCTTGCTAATGCCGTTGGCATTGCTGTGCCCATTGCTGTGGTGGTGATGGTGGTGGGGGAAGTGGTAGCTGTCGGAGGTTGCGGACGTGGGTTCAGGCCGTCCATCGTAGGAATTGAAGCCGGTGTTTAGGTATTGAATCGGGCGGAAGTGTGTTTGATGATAGCCCTGGAAAGATGAGTTTGTGGGCGTCGAGCATGTGCTACTGATAGTGGTCGAAGATCCACTGGAGTATCTCTCACGGCGGTCTTGATAGTCCATACGAGTCCCTGACTCGTGTATGGACCGAGGGACATAGCGTGGGCTATACGCTGACGGACTAACACTGCTGGTCGGATTCAGCAGCGTATCGATCGCGATGCGTTTTGTGGACTCCGTTGGTGATCCAGGGGATGGTAGACTGTAGCGTGCAGACTCCATCTCTGAAAGGGGTTCGTTGTATCTCTTCTTCTTAGGGAGTGAACCAGGTATGGCGGATATTGGTGACTCTTAAATAAAATGGAGCAAACGATAAGAGTCGTGTAGGGGGCGTAGTAAGAAGTAAGGACTGGTTTGGGTAGTGGGCAGAGATGTATGCGAGGATTCCAACAAGGGGAATTTATGCAAATTTGCGAGCAGCGGGCTTGAATGCGGGCAATGCGATGGGCGCGGAGATAAGCGTGTGCCTAATCACCTTTTCAATAGACGCCCGATGGACCGGTTACGCAACCGAAACGTGGGTTTCCAAGTTACTGAAGTGCAGCCCTTTTGCAAGTCCTTTCTCCTTTCTCCTTTTGTTGCTCGCTAGGAAACCGATACCACAGCCACGTTGATAAGCCACCCCGTGGTTTCAAAGTAGTATGTTTTTGGGTGAAGCGGACAAGAATATGAAGTAACGGGCGTTGGTTACTCAAAGGGAAGTATCTGATACCGGCTATGAGTTGGGAAATGTCCCTCAAACGTGGAACGGCGTATCTTTGTGTGTTGCCTCCGCTGACGATTTTGTGATGTAACAGCAGCAGTTGGCCCGAGGAGGGAGATGATGTTGTAATGGGCCTCCACTTTTTTCCTTCTGTTTTCGCCGTCTCTTCAGGTTTTGTTGTCGTTGGTAAAATGTTCTTTGTTAAAAGAATTCCGTGGTGTTCTCCCGACTTATAACCTTTTTAAGGGGGGCCCTGTGTCCTTTATGTGCCTTTGAGCCCGCCAGTATGGTTTTGTAGTCACGCTGCTTGCACTCAAGGGCAGCTTAAAAAAGTATATCTTGATGTATATATATAAAAAAGAGAGTTTTCGGGGGTATATGTAACGGAAGTGGGCGAGGTCAAGAGTGGTCAGGAGAGGGCATATATATGTGTAAGTCGATCCCTGAGGCAAGGCACCAAAAGAGTATGTGCGTAATAACTCTGGAGACTTGATTAAAGTGGGACAGAGGTGCTCCGGTACCGTTTCTTCTCATTTATTACTGTCTTCCTCTCCCTAGTCTGTCTGTTTGGTTGGGCTAGGTCGCGAGCAGGCGGTACCGGTCTTCTGGGAAAATCAAGGTAACCATAGGACAGGGGGAGGCAGGAAGCAGCAAGACCTGGCGCCTACGGGGGGCAAATGCAGCGTAAACGAAGTGTTAAAAAATAAGAAAAAAAAAAAAAAAAAAAAAAAAGAGAACGATTTATTCGCTGGTCGAGCAAGGGGAGGGCCGCGGCAAGGAACGTGGAAGGGGGCGCACTCCGTTAGACGGTGAATAATGCAGCAGGACGCACAGCAGAGCACAGCACAGTACCAATGAGTGTCGACAAGAGAGGCAATTCATGCGAATAAGTCTGATACTCGTGTGTAGGAAACTCCCCAGTAGGATTCTAGACCGGGGGACTAGGGGTGCGCGATGGAGAGAGCGGGACGAGTAATGAATGGACAAGGGGACCGAGTCAGGGAGCCGAACGGGAGGGATGCTTTGAAAATCACGCTGGGAGCAGCAATTCGAGCGGCAGAGAGTCAAGAGCCAGCAGCAGGAGCCTTGTCGGTATGGGTTAGACCTTGCATGCATGCATAGACGCAGTTGAGTATTATGATTACAGGATCATGGCATATATCCGTGCATCCACAGAGCGAACAATCGTGGTCCCAAGGGGGGTGGGAAAGCCTCCAAAAGCGGGTGCCTGTACGTATATATAGAAGCTATATATGCTGCCACAGGGACTCCGTACCCGAGAAGGGCATAGTAGGAGCAAAAGAAGGTATTGGAGGATCCAATATCCTGCACGCTACGCTCGTAAAAAAACGAGAGAGACCTCCCAAGACCTCGATCCTGCATGTCCGTCTGCAAAAAGAGGACCATGGAGGCCCCCCTCCCTGACCCCCTCCCCCGTATGCAAAAACGCGGGCGAGAGAGAGAGATGGAGGCTGCTAGTTTCTGCTTCTCAACCTTGACAGCGATCCACCAGCAACCTTTTTTGCTCCAGATCAACGAGCGTGGTTGGTTGAAAGCCGCGGCGCAGGTCATCGATGCGCAAAATAAAATAAAAACATAAAAAAGTCCGGGCAGGTTTATATTATTTTTTTATATTTTATTTTTCTTATTTTCCTGTTTTGGTCAAGAAAAACAGCGTATGGTACTGTCAGGTTATTTATACGATACGATACGATACCATATAAATATATATATAATATTACGATGTTAACTTGCCCTATTTCACTATGGACGGCGATACGAGAACGACTTTCCAGCGAAGCATCCCAATGTGTGATGCGTTTACGAAGCACTAGTTGTGACTTCAATTCTCTAGAACTTCGATGGAAGCCGCGTCGACCTACCCTGGATCGAAGCAACGGACCGAACGGCTGTTGGGATTCTATATAACCTCATGGATCATGGGTGTGGCTAGGAATCTCTCGCAAGCTGAACTAACCAGAACAATCAGCACAATCAGAACAATCAGAACGATGATAAAGACCAAAATGTTGGATTCTTTGCCATAGTCTTCGCCGATTTCGGGGATCCCTATTCGCCAGCAGAGGTTCGCTTAGGCTATTCAGATAGGCTACCCCAGACGTTTCTGGACTCTTTTACGTGTTTGAGGACTCATGGAACTCTGGCTTTTCCATCGATATGGTCTTGGTGCTCTGCGCCCTTTATCGTAAATTCGGCGCTGTTGGCTGCGAAGACGGTTGTCATTCGATGTCATTTCCATATCCCGGCAGAGGCACCTCATCTCGCCTCTGTTCTGCGCTGTACCTAACGAAGGCTAAACTGGGTTGTCTTCCCATTGCTGCGGGTTGCCTTAACCGAATCGTACTGCCGTTCCATTCGCACCATTAGACAGATCTCTATGGTTGGACTTGGGCGTGATTCGTGTGACGCGAGCATCCATCCTGGCGCGAGACTAGGGGTGAATAATTGTCAAGTACGAGGCGTTCCCGTACGACATGGCGTCTGGTCTTCTCTATGGTTCCCCGGCTTGCTGGTTGAAAACAGAGGCGCGTTTATAATTACATTGCCTTTACGGGGTACACTATGTATCTCGGACGGAGTTGCCACGAGACGGAAAATTGGGGGCCAAAAAGTGGTCGTGAGAAGTCGAGATATATTACTTGAGCAACGATGGCGATGTATATGCAGCTCTGGAAATGGACGAATTGTTCCCCCTCTTTCCAAACGCACATATATTCCGGGAACTGGACCCGATTCTGCGTTACCCCGTGGCGGATGGTACACTCGCTGCGCCAAACAATGACGCTATCTTAAATCACTCATGTCACCTTTTCTTTCATGCTCATGCACATTCAGCTCATGCACATACAGCACGTGTGGGTTGGTGCTGGATCTCCAACTTCCTTAAAGGTTGTATCTATATTATGTATGTATACATATGTTGTTCTTTCTCCATACTCGGAACGATAGTTACTGACTGCATACTAGACTGGTTATCGAGAAATCCCGTAAGTTTTACCAGTGCAATAGTTTTGCATGTCCAACCTTCTCAGTTAGTTTGACTGTCAGGCTGACGGGGCTCGACTGGAGAGCCGTTTTTTTTCTCTTCTCTTCTTACGAAATGTGGAGTAGATCTTGATCTGTGGGGCGGGCATGTGCAGGAGATGGAGAACTCGCAAACAAGAGTTAGACAACGGTATACACACCCTCGATGCGTGTAGGGGATGAATAGAAACGCACGACGGGGTCTCATGCTCTAAAAATCATGCAGGATATACCCTTTCAGTCGACGCCGTGGGGGCATATGACCAAGCGCAGCAATTTGGGGGTGTCTTGAAATGAACGATCTGAGCGAGAGGGAGAGGAGGAATACATTAGTCCGTCTGCGTGCATGTGTTGAATCGGAGGAGCTAACCTTGAACATAACATGTCGATCATAAGTGTCTCGTCGATGGGATATAGATTATCCAAAAGAAATGTCCAAACGCCAGAGCAGAGACAAGGGATTAGGGAAGAAAAGAGGGCACCTTGGAGGGGAAGGCAAGCGACCCGAAGAGACCCGACCGGCGGCATATGACCCTGGGTGGATAGCAATGGGGATAAAACAAATAGGCATGTATGATGAGTGATGTTCATGAGACAAGTGTTGGATTTTTCATATGCCTTACCCTGCCCCTTGAAGGGCCGAGGAGGGCCGCGAGACGAGGGACAGAGACGGAAGAGCACGAAAAAAACTGTGGCAATGTCTTGCTGCTACATATACCCAAACCACAGCGTCGGTGTCAGGGTGGTATCTATTTGTCTCAGCACGATCAACGACAAAGTCAGGGTAGTTTGCTCAGTGGGGAGTTTAAGTATAAACGCGATGATGCAAACCCTCATCGAATAGCTCCAACTACGGAGGGGTGCTATCGCGAGATCTGGAAGTATAAAAAAAAAGTCGGAATTGTCGGATATTAGCAAAAGGGGGGTTGAGAGATAAGAGACTAAAACCCCTGAAGAATCTAAGAAATCTTAAAAAGGTGAAAAATAAAAAAGGAAATAACGGCAAAAAGTATGTTCTCGGCTATACCTACACCATACAGCATCTGTGCTTTCCTGAGAACTACTATGAGCCATGTTATTGCTCCCGAGTTCTGTCGACCGAGTGATGAACTTTTGACTTTCCCACGACAAAGAAGGTGTCATCTATGGTCGGTAACCGGTAAACAGAGGACACGGTAGAAGACGCAGCGCAAGCTATGGTGGTTAAGTGGAGATGAAGAGATAGAGGGAGGGTCGGAGGGTCCTGGAGTAACGATCTGATGAACCGAGCTCCTGACAAACCCACATCGCCTGTCCAGATCAGGGCAGGGCAGGGCAGGGGAAGGGAAGGGAGGGACCGGGAGAGGGTAAAAAAGAAGAGCCCGGAGTCAAAGTAGCGTGTCTCTTTCTTACATATTGCGATGTGAGCTGGGTGGGGCAAGGCAGGGAAGCCCGCTGCTGGTTGTCTGGTGTCTGGTTGCTGGCCGCGGGGGGG